ATACATATATATGGACGTCTGAATAAAATACCATATATCAACATACAAGGCTAGAAAGTGCAGCGAGGCAGTTGCATCAGCTGATCATGAGAGTGCTGCAAAATAGAGCCAGATTTGATTTTCCTGTAAATAACCTCACCCGTCTCGTCGACCTCCCTCCCTACTTCGTCTCTCACTGAACACACAACGCAGTAGTACAGCTGTTATTGCTAAGTCTGCAGCAGTAAAGTACCACATCATAAATCTGATTTTTCTTCTGCTGGTGCAAAAGCCATGTTCTGCAGCTGACATGTACCGCAATCAGCAGAAAGAGCAATAAACACACACGTGTGCACAGCACATCTGCAAACGTAAACAATAGCACAACTGTTGTGTGCTCATGTCACGTATTGGTTGAAAATAAGCATTATAACCCTTTCCTTGATTAGGGTTGCACACCCATATGTCAATTTGCCACACATTATAATACATCAAATTAGTTTTCATATTTTAATAGTTGGCAGCGATGAAGCATTATCAAGCATTCATCCAGTCAAACAACAAGATATTTAACATGCATCAGACACAACTCAACAGCAACCCAGACAAAGACCTCTTGTCCAGAGTTTAGTAAATACATATGGGAAAATAAATAGATTTATAAAACTTTGGTGCAAAATTTATATCAAATTTTACCAGATGTACATTTTTATACCAAAAGATTGATTGAGATAATAATAAAATATCATATTCTGATTCTGATGGGATCCAACTGAAGTTTCATGAACGTCCCCAACCTGTTTTTATTGCATTTTTATGTCTTATCACTTTATTTTTATTAGTACTGTTTCATATTTTTACGACCCCCTCATGCGTTGACGTTCATTGATGCTGTTTTGTCTTTATGCTGCTTTTGTATTTCGTAAATCTGTACATCTTGGAGCAACTTGTAACTCTGCGTTGGAAGGAGATTTCTAATACAGTCATCATTCTCAATATTATTTTCCGCCTGTCTTTTTTCACAGTAAGGATGGGACTAAATAAAGGGATAATATAGATAAGAAAAGATTGGTTTAAAGAGGTGAAAGTGAAACATAGCTTAGAAAAATGTATGGCTTCTGAACAAGGGCCAGATGTAGAATTAAAATTCCCTGTTTCAGTGTTTAGTATGCCGAACACATCTTGTATCACTCATCACTATCCAACTGCCTTGGCACTTAGGGCAGTGAGCTCTCTCTCCCTCACTCTCGCTCAGCCTTTGATGCCAGCTGAGCAGGAGAAAGGGATGGGACATGAGGAGGGGGCTGGGGGAACTGCACTGTGCAGATGTTAAGTGTGAAGTAGAGTTGACGTGCTGTGTGCAAAAAAAAAAAAAAAAAGAAAAAGTGCAAGTTCAACCCTGTGGGCTAACATGGAGGAGGAGATTGTGAAGCCAAAGCTTGACAAACAAGAGCCGGTGCATTACTTTGCAGATGAAGAGTGAAGAGACTCATCAGTCAAAAGCTTTAGAGCTTTTGAGGTGATTTAGGATTTCAGCTTATATCAACTTGAAAGCATACTGGGGAGATACAATAACTAGGAGGAGACAGACATGCTGGGATTTTGCAGAGGTCACTGGGTGCGATTCTTATTTGCGTTACAGTGTGTCAATTACACTGCGTAATTGAAATGCCAGTCGAAAGTTGAAAACATGTCAAAGAAACATGCAGTCTGCCTTTGTCTAATGTCTACATGCAGGAGCAGTCTACTGCTCTCCACGGTGCACCTGATTATTAACCTCAGCGTGTCAGCTCTACACCAAACAGCTTCTGATTAATACGCAGAGGCATGCAAATTCCCTTATGTCCCACCATGACCATCGAGATGTATCACGACCAACCGCACTGTTCTGTGAAATTAAATTACCTGTTTTTTTATAAGTAATTATTTCTAGTTCTTATATCATAACCGCGTGAGCAATCACCCATTAATTTGTCATGGTATACAAGGGGCAAAATCGTCAAGAACTGTAACCAAAGGGTAAAAACGGAATCCAACTTCAGCTGAATAGTTTGCACAAACTGTCATGATGGTCTGGTCATTTTATTTATAGTGCTTCAGTCATACAACAAAAGTCATCTCAGAGCTCTTCTGATATGGAGCCGGCCTTGACAGACTTTCAACAATATTTTTCACAGAAAATGAACCATTCCCACCACATGAAATGACTTGGTGAAAGCAGCAAAGAAAGAAAATTCCTCTTAACAAGCAGACACCATGAAGAAAACCATGCGCTGTCAGCCTTATGAGGTCGGTTAGAGAGATGGAGGGGAGAAAAACTGAAGTAATAGAGCAGTTGCACCATGAGAGTCCAAGTTTTAATAGAAAGCTTTTTTAGGGTTGACACATGGTTCAAACTAAGTACTATACCATGAAGTGTGAAGCTGGAAAGCCAGATTATAGCACCAGTTATTAATGTACAGCCTTAAGGGCGCCTGACTGACAGGGAGGTGGGGAGTGTCTTATCCAAAGCCTGAAAATACTTCCTCTAGTGATGTGATTTTTAATTTTATTACAGCAATGCAAATCCTAATTCCTATTGTATTATCAGAGAATGAAACTACAGAAATAAAATCACACTAAAAAAGGAGGGAATCGTGAGTTCAGTTTTACAGAGAGGTCACTGAAGTGCTAAGAAGAGCTCAGTATTGCAATATTCAGGATAAGATGTCATCTCTCCTACGCCTGACAGCTATTAGTATAACCCTGTTAAAGACAGCTACTGACGTAGTATCACAGCCCAGCAGAAAGTGTGTGTGTGTATAGTGTGAGCATGCATGTGTGTATCTGTGCTCTGACAAAGAGACTGCACATCAAGAGAAATAGAAGCAAAAATATGAGAAAAGGCAAAAGAAATTTATCGCAGGACTCATGCACCTGTTTGTGTTCAGTCTAGCAAAGTTGATTTTTCTGACAGCCTGGATTTCCAATTAGACACTGGGGAACTCAACGATTGGTAGAACAACCCAATTATTGTTTGGAGCAGATGTTCCTTCAAGAAAACAATGCGCAGCCTGAGACTGGGTAGTCATTAGTGATGTGGCCTCTGGAGCAATACCAGAATATAGTTAAAGTGAAATTTTTAAAATCCCTGCCGACTCACAGTCTACATCTTACAGCTGCTATTCTCTGAGTCAATCTTTTCTTTTGTTTTCTTTAATTCCTTGTTCGCCTTGCTAAAAAATGAGACATCTCTGTTGGAGTATTAGAACTGCTGTTAAATCTGTTTGGAACAGTTCCTTGGTGTAGAAGTACTTTATAAGTGTCTATCTATGTATCTATCTATCTAGATAGATAGATAGATTTACATAGTTTTTTCATTTTGATTTTTTTCATTTAAAACTGCACACAATATTTTAATCTTAGTGCGTTAAAGAGGAACTTTGATATTTTTCACCTTGTGTTTGTGTGTACTTGACTGTTAGGGAGAACGATTTCTGAAACTGGTCCAGTATTGAGGGAGTTGAGCTCGACATAACTTAACTGGACAACTGCGCATCATCAAACTGCGTCCACTACAAGTGCTTTATTTCAATACTGACAGGCTCTGATTATTATTACAAGTCTTGAGAACAGAATAGAAAGGGTTTCTTTTACTTTTCACTGGTGCCTGTCTGTGTACAACCGAATATCGACAGTGGAGAAGTCTCGCTCTGATGTCTTGTGAGATTGCTCTAGTTGCAGAAAGACAACAAAGGACACAACAGCAAGTGACAAAGAGTCAGAGAGCACCGGGACCAGAGCAGAGCTTGTTTGAGAACAGCTATGTTGCAACGATTTTTTTTTGAAACATGGGTAATTGGGCTCTATTTTCGTGTCCGCCAGTGATGCGGTGGATGGCGGACCCTGCGCGGAGGTATTTTCGTCTGGCAGAGCCCGTCGTACAGCCAGTTTGGTATTTTCGTGGACTGAGGCGCACCAAGGTCCGCCAAGCTGGGTGTGGTGGCGTGGCAGGGGGAGGTGTCGACAGAATCAGCTGGCGCAGTGACATTTTTGTGCTCGCCGCCGGTTGAGGGGCTGCCTTCTGCATCGTCTTCAGCAATCTCTTGATCTCTTTGACTTCTTCACAAAAATTGTAATACGCCTCACCGGTGGCAGATTTAAAGGCGAGGAGAGGAGCTTATGTTATTGGTCAATACAGGTCTCGGCTATGTTAAACCCACTCCATGCCCTCTCTCCTCCCTCGCTACGACTTACGCCGCTGGGAGGAGCTGAGTTGGGGGGGGGGGGGGGGGTATTATACCAGGCTGCACCGCTTACCAAAATACCAAATTGTGCTTGGGGACGCCTTGTCGGCGCGGCGGACTTGACTTACGCCGCGCTGGCGAAGCACGAAAATAGAGCCCAATATCTGCCTGATTACCTCCTTAGACTATTAGGAGGTAGAGCGGTCGAGCACTTATAAACACATGGGAAAATAGGGCCCAGGTAGAAAAATAGAAAGTCCCCCTTTAAGAAAAAGGATGTTACAGGAAACATTCAACACAATCAAAGATGAGCAGAGAATTATCACATTAAAAAAACACAAGCAAGCCAAAATGATTAATTCCAGCAAACAAGTAATGACTAATGTGTCAGACTCATAAAAGCAGATTACCTCAATCCTATAAATAAGCCACTGTAGGGTTTCTATTTATGACAACCAGTTTGTAACCTGTAATACCACACCATGCACATGTTTCTTGCTTGTGTGTATGAACTAAAATAAAGAGATTAGCTCAGTTGGTCCCCAACCAAAAACACGGTAAGCACTAGACCTGACCTACATATCTGAATTGTTATAAAAAGAAAAGAAGTGACACCAACACCTCAGAGATTTAAAACAAAGCTTCTGTACTAAAAAAAGAGACAAAAAAGAGACACTGATAAAAACCTTATCGTAGAGTTTATGAAGTTAATTGAACAACAATGCAGACACAAAGTAGAAAAAAACGAAACAAATTTTGAGTACTTATCCATTTTCTTTTTAACTAGTAATATGTCTTTGTACCAAAAAACAAATGGGATATGAAGGCACAGAGTGTACTTTAAATGAAGCTTCGTATTTAACATCGGAAATCCTTTCAAGAGTCTGTGAGTGTATAAAAGGACAGGATGTTAAATATCGAATGTGTGCTCAAGAGTGAGAGCTAGGAGAAATATGGTTAACTAATTCTGATAAGGTCGATATTTAGCTATTGAATAGTTTGCCTTAATGAAATGGGATATTGCAATGGCTTTACTGTCTCTATTTAACCTTTTGGTCTTGTGGTCGGCACACACGAAGACACACTCAAGGACATACAGAGACCTTCTTTCGCTAAAACCCACATGGTCACAGATAGGAACAAATTATTTCTGCCTCAGATGTTCTGAAGAAGTGATCTGGATCTCATACCCCACCAGGGTTCCCATTGGGGTTTTTAATCACTTGGTGAGAGTTTTAACAGGATTTCCTTTATAGTAGAACTCCAGCTAGATTGGTTGGAAGGTCCTGGAGGGCTCGCTGAAATGTGGGGTCAGAGGTGTCATCATTATCTGAAACAATGTGATAAGAGAGAACAAGAACAAGTGTCCACTTACACACAGGCACGGGAGCTGCAGACAGATTGCTCCTTTGGCCCCCATTAGACAGAGGTATGAGTCGGAGCAGTGTGCATTATTTTAGCTGGGGAGATATCCTAGAGTAACGAACAAGTTATTTCTTTCTATACACTTGCATATCGGAATATATGTGTGTACTAATGTGGCCTGTAAATGTGCAAATACACTATTCGTATGTCAGTCTGTGAACATCTGCTGGCATTTCAGGCTACATTTGTAAACATCAGTGTGTTTGCCTCATCATGACTGTACATGTGTTCATAAATGTCTTTATGGTTGTGTTGTCCCACCCCTTGCCTGAACAACGGGCCTTTATTGATGCCTGCTGTGATATTTAAGGTCAAAACAGGAACAGATTCCTGTATTGATCTGAAGCAGATACTCATGGCTATAAAAAGTTCATTAAGTCTTGTGCCGGTATTTGTCATGTTTTCCTTTGACATTTCCTCTCAATCCGTGTATCATTCGTTCACTCTTCTTTCAAATTAAAGGGAAAAAGAACAAGAAAACGAAAAAACACATTTCATATTTGAAATACAGTCAAATTACAGTAACATTAAAATCTTCAAGCTACAGACCTTATGCACAAATATGATCTTGCTCCACTTTTGATGTGTTAGGATACATTTCCATGTTATTATTACTTTAGTGCACTCATTGTTCTTGTGTCATTCCCTTTGATATCACTAGTAGTTTTTAGTCTGGTACTTTCTTCAGACTTGCTCCCAATAATGTCAGTTTATGTCTCTAATATTAGCAGAGAAACTGCCGTTTGCCGTTGCTTTGTGGGTTGTAGGGATGGTATGGCCTTATTTCTGTAGACCTAGCCCAGGGGACACTACTGCAATTACAGATAATATACAGCCTGATACCACTGAGCAAGTTATAAAAAATAATTAAAAGCCTGAATGTTTGTAAATGATAAAGATGTGAGCACACAAACTTATCTGTTGATGACAAAATCACTGTCTCCAACTGTGCGTCTGACACACATTTGAACACAAAACAGGGAATTGGGAAAATGAGTTGTTATTCATTTTTTCAATTATGTTTTGGAAACAGCTATCAAAAATAAGTGTTGTTCTCTTGTTTTTAATGTTATTGTTGGCTTTATTTTTAAAAAATGGATTGAGAAATTATACACTGATTCTTCTTTACTCTGCTTATTGGGCCTGCAATTGTCAGCAGAGCCGTCAGTCAATTATCTTTTTTAAAATCAATAAAATCGGTCAATGGTCCTACCTTACAACTGGCAACAGGCACCAAAACAGTGGAGCACAGTTACTGACTCACAGTTCTGCTCAAGGTTTCTGTCTTTCCACTGTAACTTGATAAATAAAGGTTTTCACTCATGTGGTTGAAGATGGGATGGGAGGGGGTCTGATCTCACAAGATGGGGCTCAATCCGATCCCATCTTTACATTGGGTCTTTGTTAAAAGACTTTGGTCTGGACCAGCTTTTTTGTTATCTACCAAGCCGCTTCCAATTTGGAGCCAGTTCTTTGATGTTTCACAACCAAAAAACTGACTCTGGGCTAGAGAAAAATGGTTCTAGGATGCCATCAACTCCTTGCTGGGCTAGAAGAAAGAACTGTTTATGTCAGGAGCAGAGTTGTCAAGTCCAAAGGGCTGAGGCTAACAACAGCTCAAAACACCCTGTCAGGCAGAACTAATTCTCTGGACCTTCTGTTTATGTTTTGAATGATCGTCATGTTGGGAGCAGCACTTCAAATCAGACTCAGAAGTCATCCATTGTCTTTGTGCTGCAAGAAGTTGTGCAGGGAAATAACAGACCTATTCCCTGATGTTTGTGACACAATGATGTGGCTCTTTTGGGGCCCCAGTCGATGGAAAAAGCAAGCCAGTTCTTCAACGGTTTGCAAGTTGAACCAGCTATGAAACAGCACTACACCAGCCCAGAGCTAGAACTAGCACTGGCTTGGTAGAAAAGGGGTATATGTGTGTAGCAGGCCTCACAGCAATTAAACAGAAAAAAAGCCAGTAATGCAGGAAAAATACTTGAAGTAAACTTGCTGCCGTTTTTTGCTGTGTGTCTGCAATGCCACGCCATATTTAATACAGTTACACTTTGTGAAATGCTTTGTTTACATGTCAACATAAACACACTGACAACTGCTTTAATCCACCCGCCACCTTTTAGGGATCCAGAGTGTGTAACATGAACAGCATACAGTTAAACATGTGTTACTTTATGTATGTGTATGTTTGTGTGTGTGCATGTGTATCCCTGCCACTGCATCTGCGTTAAGCAGGCCCCCAAGTCGCAGGTCTACTGTCTGTCACATTGATTCAAGTTGACAGCAGGGTCTTCTTCAATGAGCTCATTGGAGCTTAGCCAACAACCTGCACTCTCCCTCCCTCTCGTCCCTTCCTCGCTGCCCCTTTCTACCCCTCTTTCCCTCAACCCTCTCTTCTTTTTTTTCCTCCTGTAGTGCAATCTCCTACCCTCCTATATACAATCTTTTTCTTCCCTCTGCCATTCTCCCCCCATGGAACCTGCCTCCTGCCTTTTGAGAGGCCTTTTACCCGGGTTATAACGAGAGTGTAAAAACAGAAGGGAGAAAAACACCTTGGGTCTTCTCCATCCTCCGTCGAACAATCTCAACACGTCTAAAGGCACAGTGCAAATGTATGCATTGTAAAGAAACGGGACTAATCCAAAGAAATAAATATATAATGGAAGATTTGGGTAACAAAACTAGAAGACAATGAATGGTATTTGAAAATGGCAGCTCTGAAGAGTCCACCATCTTGAGAGTGGTTTGGTGGGGTTATGTTTATTTATTTATCTGTGAATATTTCCAGATGTGAGCTGACAAAATATCGACTTCATTCCATGTTAAACAAACCCAACCAGATGGTTTAGATGGTAGCAATAAATAACAGGACAAGGTGAGTAATACATATAAAATTCCCACAGGACTGTGTGGAATGATTGTGTCCCTCACCCCAGAGGAAGCCTTGTTAATCATGTGTAGACCTGTTACAAATAAAATGCAGCAGCCGATAGTCCTGATAAAATATATACCTGCAGCTGACATTGCAAATGCACATTTGATGAGCTTGCAGGGTCCCACTCTGTTAATCACTTTTATGTGTTCTGTTCCTCCCTGTGTTTTCAGGACTGGATGTCAAAGTGCATGGTCTGCATCCATTCGATCAACGACTTCTAGATTTAAGGAAGATTAGATCCTGCTCTCGCATCCTCCTCAGCAAATACTCAGACAAATGTCTAAAATGCTGTATAGTTGTGTTTTGTATTGACACTGAGACAGTGAAACAAATAAGAAACCAATGCTTTGTCGTGCAACCCCTTACTTCCTGATATTGATCAATCCAATCAGAATGATTAACCACGAGAGAGAGAGAGAGAGAGAGAGAGAGATAGAGAGAGAGAGAGAGAGAGAGAGCAAACAAAAGCAAATTAAGAATGGGAAGATTAGGATGGATGAGGGGACAGGAGGACTGATGTATGACAGGACATTATTAGGATGAGGGGAACAGTGAGACTAATTTTGAATGTGGTGATAACATGAAAAGAAGGTTATCTGAATTGTCATGGTTTGATGGCTCCTCATTAGGTCAAGTCACCTAGAAAGAAAACCCCAAATTAAAACAACCCTTCATTCAGCTGTGTAACAATTTTACACATAGTGCATTTATGGGATACCTGTCCACTAACTGCATTGCCATTAAGGGTTTTTGAGCATACACTCAGTAGTAATAGCCGAGTTTAAGTGACTCTCAGCAATCTGTGTTCTTCAGCCTTGTGCTTTTTCATACCAAAGAGCTCCCTCTCAGGCTCTGTTGGATCCAGCAGCAGCTACTGACTATTCCAGCTCCACCTACCACCTTCTCCCCGATCCATGAAACCCAACAATTTGTGTTCAGGTTATGTCATATCAAAGTGGTGTGTTATCTAGGTGCTGCACAAATCACATTCCCTCAGCAGTTGAAGTCAGGCTTAATTGCTGCCTGTTTTTGTTTACTGTAATTTGTGGTCTTAACCTTAGAGTTTGGTGTCTTATTTATAGACTCGGAAGTTGCAGACATAAAGGTTTCTTGTTTAAATTTCTTAAGCTTATAGGTTACAAAGTTAAACATTAATCTCTGTATTGAGGAACTGTGTAGTCAGTATTGCACTGATGCATACCTGAAAAGTATTGGATGCTCCCTAAGACTATTTAACAACCTAATATGTAGAAAGTGTAAAACATTTAACAATAAAGGTGGAAACGTCACAGTGAAAAGGCTGATGATTTCATGTATGAATCAATGCATCATTAGTTCCAGTTGCTCTCCATTATCTAATAATACAGTTATGATGAGAACCAGATTTCTTTTAACACATCATCAGTTAAGAGTCATGACAGAACTAGCTTTTCAAAGTGAAGTAATAACAGGTACCTGTTGGTATTTGGTGTTTTACTCACAGAGGATGCCACTCAGCTTGGTCCTTTTTGTTGAAACTGGCCTGACAACAGGAAGGTGAGTGAGGCCACCTGCAATTGCACACCACTGACACGACTGACACCACTTCATCCAACAAACGCTGCACTGAATCGACACAGAGTTATTTAAGCTCAGTCTCCCCCTTCAGCTTCTAACCCTGTGTATTTTGATAAGGGAAAGGTTTTGGGTCTTAGTCATGAAACTTAAGCAGAATAAATTTGTGTGTAAAATGTCCAGAGAAGGAAATTTAGAGGTGATCTCACATTTCAGTACCCCTGATCCGTTCTTAGCTACTGACAAAACCAACACCTTCTCCTGACGCTCATAGAGTTCCTGTAAGTAAGGGATACACACAAATATAAGTAGCTTGTTATTAAGAATTACAATATGCATTTTGAATTTGAATAAGGTGCCAGAGCACATTAAATAGAGTTTTATGATCCAAAACTTTACAAGCCTCTCTAGAGTTAAAGTGTCGAGATCATTAAATCAATATCAGTGATGCAAAAGTGTGGTGAGTTGAAGTACACTTTATAACTGTGGTGGAAGGACAGCTATTACATGGGTAATGATCTTACATAATCATTTTGTCTAACCAATAAGATGCGGTAACTTTGAGTTATGATGTTACTCTCTGGGACGATGATAATCAGGTCCTGGTTATTACAGCCTGTCTGTGCTTATTTATAATTCACACTCAGCTCTGTCCTGGCCGGGCTCTGTGGCTTCGTCGACTAAAAAGGGAGACAGTTGACTCTGCCTGAGGCCTCTAATAACTAAAACTGGTGTTATGTAGTTGGGAACAAAATGTTTGTAATCATCGTAATTCTGACTTTTTTATTATTATTATTGTTAATATCATTTACTTTTTCTATAGTATTTTCAATTGTAAAGTAAAATTAAAACCCAAATACATTTGATACTTAAGTACCAAAATGGTTTTAGTAATTTTGGAACAGACAACTTTTACTTTTCCCAGTCATTTTGAGAAGTGATACCTTCAAGTATGGCTTCCAAGTGCTTAATATTAAGAGCATAAGTTGTGCAATTATGCATTAAAACAAAAAAAAAGTGACAAGGTTCATACTCACTTGTCTTTCTGGTTCTCTGATTTAGTTTTTAAAAACTGAACAAAGACGGAATGATTCAGGGAACGCTGCTGTGGGATGTTGTAGGTTGAATCTGCTCTTGAGATGGAGGGAGGAGAAGGCCCACCTCTTCTGTTTTTCATTGGACTCTGGATGTGGTGGAGGTCTGTGGAGGAGGAGATGTTTGTGGTCAATCTTACGGGCTACCTTTTTTAAAATCCATAGATGAACAGTAAAACAGATTGAAAAAATAACAGAGAAAAATATCCTCACACTTCTCTGTAAAACACACAGTAATACACTCAGTCTAATCTCCCTCCTTCATCAAAATATGAACCATTTGCTGCAATGGTTTGTTGTGTATGTCACTGACTCTATTGTGTTTGTGGATCTGTTGTTTACACGAAATAACCTTTACATAAACAGGTGATTCAACTGGACTACTGTCCTTGTCCCACTTTATATGCAAAATCATTGAATCATTGACCGAAGCACGTCTGTCTCTGTTATGGTAGGTAGCAGCATGTCCTCTTCCAGCTCATTACTATCAGATGATGTAGGCTAGCAAGATGCGTTAGCAAGAGGCTAACAGTATGTCACTTTCACAGCTCTGTGCTGTTTGTCAGGAAAGTTTCGTTTTATTTATGCTGTTTCTTCATCGGCCCAGGTTTTGTTTACTACCTGGCTTCTTAGCAACGCATCCATGCTATTCAACAACCAGCTTAGAGCCTGGTGTGCAAACACTACAATATGCACAAAAGGCTAAGGCCAGTTTTAGTTTAACAGAGCTGTAAATATGACAGAGAAAGTTGATCTCCAATCGCATTATTCGGGTTTGTAAATCCAACTACAAGAAGTTTGATTTTAGTGTGATTTTAATCAGACTAGTGTGCTTATATGTATTTTAAAAGTCCAGTTTCAGTCAGACCATAAAACATATGTAGACCAACTGAGTGTCTTAGTGTGCAAAAACATCATATCTGCAATGTCATTTTCCTACACTGACTTTTTCTATCATGAGCTAGATAATTTTGCTTCAGCATGACTTACTAATGAATACGTAGCTGGTCAGGTCACCAGTGTGCAGGAACGGTATGAGGCATCTGGACTACATTTTATAGAGAATTTCTTAGTTCACTGTGAACAGTTAGTTGTTCATGTTTATATAGCGCTTTCTCTATTCTTCTGTCTGCTCCAAGCGCTTTAACATTATATGTCACATTGATCCATTTACACCACGTTCACACACTGATGACAGAGGCTGCTTTGTATAGAGCCCATCAGTTTTAACTTATTTCATTCACACACCACTGGGCGCAGCCAGTGGGGGGCACGTGTCTTGATCAAGGACACTTTGGCCCGTGGACAGCCCTGGGATCAAACCTTACAACTGGGAGACAACCGACTTTGCTTCCAACCACAGTCTGCCAACTTTCCTCTGCTCTGGACACGTAGAAAAGGTGTCCTTGTTTGTACTTGAAAATGGACTGTTCATCTACTGGATCAATGGACTCTACAGGTCTTAAAACACTAACATGACTACACAAGGAGTACTTTGATAATAGTGACATGGGACAGACTAGTTCTTAATGAGATCTTGAATAGCCCCTAAAGATGCCAGAACTCACAAAACTATCGCTACTTCCTATTGGCTGTGACAGCTGTCAGTGGGTTGGAGTGAATCCAAGGAGGCTTCGTTTTAGGCGATGTGGATTTTTTTATAACCGAGTTGGAGGGTTGGAAAATCCGAGGAGTTCCCTGAGAGAAATAAAACGGGTGGGTGGCCCTTAAATATAGGAAAACCCTGAAAACTGGAGAGTTGGCTGGTATGTAAACATGAATTTCTTGAATTTTAGGATTATATTTTCAATATCATTTGCTTTTTTTTTTTTTTTTTTTTCTGCAGACCCATGAAGCCATATTGCTCACAGTGTGATATATGAAGTGGACATAAAAAGGCTGTTTTATACAGATGTGTGCTTCAGAGGCAGCAGTTTATTATGCATGAAAATGTGGGAGAGACGTCGATAATGTTTATTAAAACTGATGACTCGTGTACTCTGGATTCAGATTTATGGGGATTATGTAAATAAAGAGACGTGCCATCACCAAGTTATAATGAGATTGGGGTTAAAATGTGGCCATACATTTAAAATATGCAAATTTATCCAGGACATGACTTACATTTTAGGCTTGTATGATGAATTAAAAAAAAAAAAATGCACCGGTTCTTGTATTTTTGAAATGATGTTTAAGAAGTATGCAAGTTTGTACCTATTTGCTGAGTGGAGATAAATCAAAACCCGTCATAACAGTCATCACCCAAAGTTTTAACAACAACAGATGAACTGAGCCGTTCAGACAAACTGTTGTTGGATGAACTGCTTCACTCTCATAATAATATCACTGTTAGATTTTAACTCGGAGTATTGTTCTGAATGCTTGATTAGACAAACATCCTGAACAGCTGCTTCACTTGGCTCAGATTTCATCCATAGTAAATCTTCTTTCTCAGTATGTGTCCGAGCGTGCGTGAATGTCTGTTAATGTGCATATGTGCCTGGTGCTGAACTCCATTACTTTTCTCCCGCTGCGAACCCAATGTGACTGATGTGTCGGATCTTGTCTTTGCATGACAGGCGTTCTGCCGCAGTCTGCCACCCTGTTTAATGGTCAAACAACATCACATTCAAACACACACACATACTGAGGGAAAACCAAATCGGCTGAGAGAGATCACTATAAATACACACGCAGCTTTATGTAACACAGTGATTTGAGATGGTATAATGTCTAACAAGAAAATTGAGCCATGTGCACACGCAAAGGGGTGCTCAGCATGGGATGGAGTTAAGGTGGATGGAAACTCTGGTGGCAACTGCAATTAGAATTACTATACCTCCCAACCACAGTGAGTGGGTTAGGGGGCGCACACAAACACATGTTGTAAAGCTGCTCTAACATTTACCTCAATATCCAGAAATGATGTGTTACAATAACTGCCTGTTTTAGTTTGTGATTTGTGCCAAGTGTGATCCCGATGCAGCCTGTCCATTTCTTTAACAATTAGAGACTAAAGCAGTGTTGCAGAAGGGAGTGAGACCGTTACCCTAAAGCAGAAAACATACAGGATCCGTATTGAGCGCGTTCCGTATGTACTCCATAGAGCAGCGCTGGGTATCGCATTCAGGATGCGTATTTGGAGCGTAGCAGCAGCGTAGCAGCAGCGTAGTGCAGCCGCGGTCAGATGGGATCAGTATAGAGGAAACAACATGTCCACAACAGGTTGTTTTGCCTTTCTTTGGTCTATTTCCTGCTAATTTGGATATAATTCAGTGACTGTTGAGCCTCTACTATATGTGCAAAAGCAACATAATTATACAGTTTCAGTTTTTGCAGGTTTACTCGTGTTTAATTGAGGAAATTATGTTCCTTTATGCTGTGCTGTTACCTTCAGACAGAGTTAGCAGTTAAAAGTCTTGTTGGGGTCACATGGATCAGGGATTGGCCATCGGACTGTTCAGTGTTACTGACAAATCCATAACCAGGAAGTATTTCTCATCTACGCGAACTGATACACGGTCAGGAGTTCGCATGGTGTTTTGTTTTGAAATACATGATGGCATGCGCGGTTTTCGTGCTTGACTTCCTGTCTATAACGATCTTCTCTGTGTGGATTGATGCTCATTGGAAGCATAGAGCAGCAAAAATAGACTTGCCACATATCTTTAGCAGTGCTGCTCTCGATATGAAGCTGCGACAGAGCTGATACGTGTCCTGTATGCTTTGCTGCATTGATTAGAACGGTAACCTATTTGCTGTGTGATACGCAATGCTGCTGCCACACTCCAAATACGCATCCTGTATCATCCCGTATGTTTTAGCCTTAACACTAATGGCTTTCAAATTAATCCTTGCACTGAAAGGACCATTGACATGATGCCATCATCTCAGAAACATGCTGGTGAGATCTGGTGAGACCCCCCCACCTTCTCTTACACCAACAAAACTTTTATTTCTGACTTCAGTGGACCAAAGCAATTACAATTGTGTAAATACAAGCTGTACATATGGTGTTTTACTGTCTATATGTGGTTTTGCAGTGTTTCTGTCTATGAATTTGAATGTTTACATGGTGTTAATTGTTCCTTTATGATAACTTTTGACACAGAATTTGATATGCATAGGGTGTGTTTAGGGCTTATCATATAATCTGATTGTTACGCAGTCTGATGGTTTGCTCTACACATTACTCACCCGGTGAATTAAATTCCTGGTATATTGGAGCTCTGCAGAGAAAGCCATTTTCTTCTGTCTGTCTGTCTGTCTGTCTGTGGCTAATGTTATGCTTGACTCAGCACCTGTCCATAGAAGTTTGGATGTGCATGTTTTATACACTATTTCACCTTAATGCCACGGGCCCAGTCCAAAAAAATAATCACATTTTGCTGATAACAGCATAATATAACAACCGGGTGTGAAATTGCTTGAATTTTTTTTTCAATCAATCATTTGGCTCTGTCAACACAGTTACTTTTTGATTGGTCTGGGCTCATTGATGGGCAGCACATTCTCCTGCTATCAGGCCAGAGTTCACCTGTGCATTTCAATGGACTCTATATTCTAGGCAATCATCTGTCTATTTCAGTTGATCTGTTGCTGTGATTTCAAGGTATAGACTAGGCTTTAAACAAGAACCTGCAGCTGTAATAACTGATTTTATTCATACATCTTGTCTAACCTTGTTGGGATTCCTAGCTCACTTTACGTCACCCCTCAAATGTGGTTGTAAAAGAAAATTCCACACGTGGAACATTTCATTATGTTATAAAATGACAAAAACATTGTGAGTGATATTATTTAGAGGCAGAGGAGGGAAAAATGCAATTTTGGAAAAGTGAGAGAAGAAAGCAACTCTGGTTGTCATTCTGCTCTGAAGTATTTAGAAGGAAACTCCCACAGAACTCAAAAAAATGTTGCTTTAGGCAATTCATGAAAACTTTCTGCTTCCCCCTCACGGCAATGATGAGGGGATTTTAACAGAGTGGGTGACAGTAAGATTGGTTGGCTTGTTGGCATAAAGGATCCAAGGTATGCTGCCTTGCAGTTTAAGGGTAGAGAGGTAACAGCAGTGTACAGCTTTTGATTCCCTTTAAATTATGAAACAGCTGAAGGAAGAAGTATATCTGCAGTACAAGCCTAGGATAAACTGTAAACTTGTACCAATGTTCTTGTTTTTTGTGTAATTGATGTAACTGACATGCCTTAATTGGACAACAGTAATGTTGTGTGGACACTTTGGATACTTTTGTGGATCGAGTTCCCTGTTTTGTCTTTTGTATATATATATTATGACTGAGAAAAAATGTTTTATATCTAATACTCTGTCGTTTACTCACAAGAATAGTATGTAAAATATCAGGTTCATTAACTTAGTGAACGATTTGCTTATTGATGCTGATTTGAAAAGAGATACCACACAGTACAACGTTTTGCACAATCTTTTTCCTGATACTTTTAACACTTGGATGCTGATGCACCAACACTTAAAGAACAATAAAATGATTTGCTTCACGCTCCTTGTTCTGGTACAAGCAGCTAACTGCTCATATTGAACAAATGCTATGACTTTATTCTCATAAAACGATGACTGTAGTCTGCAAATACCATGACTTTGCTATAATTTCTTGTAATATGACCTCTTAAAATAACACGACAGTTTGTATGTCTGACAAATAATTCTCTCGCAATTTTATCCTCATGAGAAAATGACAGAGATTTGAAAATTTTAGAAAAATGTTTTTCAAACTTCGAAAAAGTTCTAATTCTCCACAAATTTCCCCCCTCAATGGGGCCCATTGTTAAATATTTACCATCTGTCATATCATTGGAGAGTACAAGCAAAGGCCTTCTGTGAACAGCCTCATCTAAAATAGATCAACTGGCAGCAATTACAGACTTTCACATTTTCAATGTAGAAATAGTTTTAGTTTTTTCCCGTCAGCATTGATTTTTTAGGTTTATGTAGCAATCAGCATCTAATTCAGTCTTTTAAGACACCTTTGAAGAGGAGCTAATTAAAACATGTTACTGAATACCTTTGTTTTGGTGGTAGTCCTCCATACAGCAAACAGTTTTATGATGACCCACAGTTGAATAAATCTCAAAATATGACAGTTGTGCACTTGATGATAGAGGCACCACCCACTATTGATAGTCAGGAAAGAAAGCAAACAGAAGTTTAATTCAGAAATCAAACATGAAATCAATCTCATATATCAAAAATATTAATTGGCTACTTTACAGCAGCATTTTTTGTCACTTTAAAATGATTGAATTTAACACGACTAGCTAGCTATAACTTCCAAAATAGCACTCGATGGCCTGTAATTGGCAGGTTTAGGTGCTGATATGGTGCTGTATGCCCAATATGATAGGCAATATAAATCTGACTAGTGTGAAAGGCGATACAGAAACACACACACACACACTGCTCTGATGATTCAGGTAATTTTAAATTTATGTACAATCCCTCGCAGAAATTTTGAGGAGGCTTAGCCTACATTAGCCGACGTAAATGCAAATGAGGCTGTCAGCTTGGAGCAGTTGTCCAGTTCTGTGAAGTTGCTCCAAAAACTCGTCAAAATAAATACGTCAATGACTAAGCAGCTCTACAGTGACAGTTTTGGTTACAAACCTCCCCATCCCCCCTGTTGTAAGTGTCTGTTTGTTTGTGTTGTTGTAGCTTCACAGAGTATTTCTGTGTTCTTCTCACATTTCTTTGCGTTTTAAGTATTAGCTAGCCTATCTGTGTTATTTTTAATTTTTTTTCTCTTAAGTTGTAATATCTTTATCATCTGATAATATTTTCATAGAAGAAACTTGTGTGTTGGTAACTTTAAACTGGTCTTTTTGTCTTTTTGCAGTGTCTCTGAACCTTCTTGTAAATATCCAAACTCATGAGTACAAGTCAAATTAACTCTCTCGTCTTTGTAGATAACATAAGTCCTCCCATTTTAATGTACAAATGTATGGTAGAAATGACACAAACTAACGTTTGACTCTGCCTACATTGAGCTCTTATTAAATTGCATTTTCTCTTATATTTTGATAAGAGTTGGTGTAGAACAGAAATGTTCATTTTCATCTTGCAGTAAGCTCTTCAGTCTATGTCTAAGGCAGGACCAGGGGAACACCTCTCTTGCAATATTGCAAAGAATGAAAAATATTGATGATAACGTGCTAAATGCAAAACAGTAACAGCCTTAAGCAATGCAAGTGTGCATAAACTGTCAGCAGTATTGCTGAATGCATGAGTCAACCTACAGGCATTCTGCAGCTCCTTATACAAATGCCACATCTGGAATAACAAGTGTATTTGCATTTTAGCTTGAACAGCCTGAGTCTAACTTGTGTACAGGAGGAGCTTATTTATCCAAACATCCACATCTCTACTCCACAGATGAACAATGCCAGTGCTCGTTTTGCCAGCGCAACAATTTTTTCACACGCTCATATAAAATGTGTGCAGTCTAGAACTCGAATATCTATAGAGATGTAATTCTCGCCTACCTTGAGAAATGGTTTGTATTTGGGGAGACTTTTGTAAGTCCACTGAGTCTCTCTTGCTTTGAAATAGCTTTTTATCAGTTTTAGCTTGGAAAACTGGGTTCTCAGTGCAACTGAAACTGAGAGGGTGAGAAACACTCATTATTTTTATAAAACTATTGGGAAAACGTGGATTGTTTCAGTTGTCACAGTTGGCTTGCACCCCAGCTGTCTATTGTTTTGTGGGTGGGGGTTGATTAGGCCCGAATTGGCTCAATTATCTTGTCATATGATACCATGTCAGAATAAACAAATCGTCAACCGATCAGTTTAACAACTGGAGGATTGGTCTAAGCATACAGGGCGGGTATTTGTAAAGCCTTTTTTTATTCTCTGTCTGTCTTTGTTTTATGTCAGCGGGGTTTTGTCCTATATGGCACACGAGAAAACAACCTGAACAGCAAAGGCAAATGAAATATTTGTCTTTACGATTTTCAATGCGATTACTGGTGAGGAAAAAAAAAAACACATTTGTCAACACACAGATGAAAGTCTGTATTCAACCTGCAGCATCTACAGCTTAAATTTGTTATCACACTCTCACTGCGGAGTGCACAGCATAGCAAGCACCAGTCCCAAGGGTCAGACAGCAAGGTTAAACAGGCAGAGAGGAGGGGAGGTCACCGCAGCTTATCTTCTTTTCTGTCGTTCTGTCTGCCGCCCCTCAGGCTTAACATGAGTGCGCACACACATGGACACACTACAGGCCCGTGATGATGAACTATGAAGACACTCTGAAAATTGCTGCACAAGCCTTGTCTCACATAGTCGCCTGAAAACAAGGAACAATGGATGCTCCTCTGTGTGTTTATCGACTTTTTTAATTTGCTTTTATCTGCTTCAAGTCATCGTAAGTATTGATCTTCAAATGGAAAATACTGATGGAACACTTGCTTTAATTAGATGGAGAATCATATCAAGAAATCAAGACTATACAGGAAATTAGAGCATGGTAAACCAGTTCATGTTTTAGCGAATAAGTCAAAGTCAGTGCAGCTGCAGGTGATCTCAAATGGATGGTTGCTTTCCAAAATGATTGAGATGTTATTCAAAATATTATAAGTAAATGTAGATAAATTAATGCAGTCCTAAAATGTTAAATCACTTTACTTCTTTTCTTTGTTGCTACATGACCCCTGAGGAGAAATGTGGCAGATTAGCATCATAGCAGGTAAATTCACAGCCGCTGTTGTTGATCGTAGATAAAAGGATCGAGAGTTATTTACCTGGCTAAAGTTCAGGTTGGTTTCAGGTTGATAACATTTATTCTTTGTGATTTTCTTTCAGGGAAAATCTAAAACAGCTCAATCTGACCCCAACTCCACAAAACGGTCAAGGTCTTTAACACTCCCGATATGTGCAGGGCATTTCAGCCGGCTCCCTGAGCTGCTGCGGCTTGTACCGTTGTGAGTAAAACCGCCTCAGTTTAGCTTTTTGTTTTCAGGCTGTTTTATTGAAAGTTGGGATTTAGAAGATGAGTCTTTTCAGGCTATCTGTGAGAAATGAGTGATATACCAACAGGGTTTAAATAACTTCTCTAAATAATTCCACAAAATTAAACACCGACCCTTTTTCTTCCACTCTTCTCCCATGTGATTTTTTTTTTCTTTTTCTGTGTTTAGCCTCGTTTTTCTGCGACCGGTCCAGAGTCTGGCTCTCCACCTGTCTCACCTGCTGCACCAGAGCAGGATATCACAACAGGTCAGGTGTTAATGTGAATTTCCTGACTTACATAATCTGCTCCTTACATAATCTCACAGAGGCACAAACACTGGCAGACAGACACGCAGTGATGACTGTCCTGCTCTGCTGCTCTGTTGCTCTGCAGCTCTTCTGCTGTGCCGACTCTGTTTGCTGTTTACAGCAGCGGGCACATGGAGTAACAAACCAGATCTGTAAACATGATACAACCTAACACATCATCCGTCGAGCAAACCTGGTGTAAACCGATTTAGACCTGTTAAGAATCTATGGTTTTAGGCCTTTTTAAAACCTAACATCTATTGGCATGTCATGTTATTTCTATTCCTGTGGTGCATGTCCTCAATACTGGTGCCATCCTGTGTTTTCTTTTCAGGTCAGTTCTAGTAAAACCTTATTATTGTCAAAGTGAAACAGTATGCCGTAAACTTCTGCAACCTTTGGTGCAGAAAAGTTGTAGTTCTGGGTCACTGAATCTCAGCAGGCTTGGTTAAGGTCAAAGGGATTACACAACTGAGAAAATGAGTAGGTGGTGAGTTTTTGGCATTTGCGAGTGAGGATTTTCATAACATCGAACTATTTTGGGCTATTGAAGCTATTTTCACTTTGCTGGACCCACCAACCAGATTTCTTTCGTATTCCTGCCCCCTGGAGTCGCTTTTTTGTTCCAGACTGCTTATGTAACGACAAATATAAACTGTATCATAGAATGACGAGGGAAATCCTGGGTACAAGGTCCCCAACTGTATCAGCCCATTCAAGAGCTCTCTCCACTCAGTAATCTCACAATAATCCTCCAACACGGGCTAGAGTTACAAAACTTGTGAAAATAAAGTGTAGTTTTTCTTTGTTCAGTTAACCCTGTGTCTGTCACGTTGCTGTGTAGGTACTGTAACACATATTTATAAGATGAATTGAAAGAATTTTAACCCTCATAAGAGTCTTAATACAAACTTCCTTTCTACATTTTAACACAAGTCAGAGGACTTTTTCAATATAACCACAGTTATGTAGTTTGTACACTGATTTTATCCTGCTTCAAGGGGAGCAAAGCATCTGAATTAATAACTTCCACAATGATGTGATATCGAAATACCCACTTTTTAAAAGGTCATTTAAATATCACTGCAAATCAACAATATTACAACTGTGCATCAACAGTTTCATTTTTTGCCTCTTAGCTGATTGAACCACGATTAACTCAATATTATTCAAAATGTTATTTTAATCGTAATTTTTTACTTTACTGATGGATGACCTTCAGGTAACTAGTTTTGTCAAATGATGAAAATGTTTCAGTCAGGCAGCTTGTACATCTACATGGTTGATATGACTTTAACCTTCATGACGACCAGCCTCTAGTAATGCCCTCCACTACACACACACACACACACACACACACACACACACACACACACACACACACACACACACACACACACACACACACACAAGATCACCCTTCAGCTTCATTACACAAATACAAGTTCACTCACACAGAGTTCACAGGTCATGTATGATTTGCCCTGGTCTTTTCATTTGGTGTACAAATGCACATGCACACAAATACACACTTGTAAGACTTCAGAAGGACTTTATAATGTGTTGTATCACAGTAACAACACACATTATGTGTGGTGACTTCAGAGTATCTGAATTTTACTCATCAATATGATCTCCAAAGCCCTTCCCCTTCAGTCTGTGGTTGTCTTGAAAGCTTTTATGAAAGATTCATTTAGGTATCCTATAACTCTTTTACATTATCTCTGTGCCACAAACTGAGTCCTCCTCATATACAGTATTTTGTACAATCTCACATCTTGAGGCCAGAATTTCTGCTCTAACCTGACAAATTTGAAGATCATCCCTGGCATTTGTTGTAGGGAGCCACCTCTACATAATGTTTCCTTCATATATCCACATTTTAAAAAACGCAATCATCAGTCTTGAATGAATTTGTTGGTTATATCTTTCATCAATACGTGAACATACCTTTAAATTGTGCTCAATCTTTTGTGAAGTCTGAAAATCAATACTGAGACAAGTAAGACATGGAAATCGATTCTCAAAAACATTTGGTGCAAGTTTATCATCACATGAGGGCAATTTGGCCTCCTGGCAGAGTTTTCAAAATACAACAAATACGCCCACTGGCTAAACCCTGAGGACAAATGAAATGAACAGACTGTAGCTGACAAGCCCCGGTACTGTTTCTGGTCATTATAGTCAGTTTTTGCCGTTTTTATTCTTTTGGTTTCTGTGTCAGAAATTTCTTCGATATATTTTTCATCCAGAGCGAACACTGTGTCCTTGGTGAACACTCTCTGTCAACCTGGGTTTGAAACATGAGCATTAAGTCTCAACAGTAAAATCCTGTGTTGAATGACTAGCTGAGAACTAGTAATTAAACCTGGAGCATATCTTGAGCTTCTTTGAGAGGGGCAGTGCTGCTGGCTGCTGGCACTAAAATCAACTCTTAAGATCTTTGGCGGACTTCAAAAGTATGGCGATCCAGCACAGCAAGACCCAGGCTTCCCCCAAACAGGCAATCTCCTTCATTAGATCAGGACAGAAGGGACATCACCAGCAGCCCAGTTCTACAGGGGGTCTTCTCACCACCGCTCATGACTGGCAGCTTCAAGCTGACCTTGAAAAACAAGTTCCCAGTCAACTTCACAAACACTTCTCTCTGCCTAGTTTTGGTACTTACATCGAGTCCACCGAGCAAACGGTTCTTCTGGAACTGACTGTCCCATGGGAGGACATAACTGATGAAGCCAACAAGTGAAAGACGGCCAAATTCGCAGAGTTCATCGCCACTGTGAGCCAGTCGAGAACGGATGCTGAAGCTTTGCTGGGAGAACCATCAAGCACACACTTGAGGTCAGGGGTGTAACAACTCTGGTAAAGAGACTGACCAAATGATGGGATGTAAAAGTTCTGACTTTAATGTCAGAGTAATGGTGGTTAATCCTTCTTCCCAGCGTTAACCTGTTTCTGTAGATTCAGATCACGCATTGGCCACCGTCTGAGGGGCTCAAACCGACTTCAGTTGACCATTGCAGTTTCGTTTCTCCGAGTTTTCTGTGCCATCTTGACAAGAATCAAGCTATCAAAAGAATAAAAACACGCAAAATGTTCCTTTCAAGAAGCTGTACCTGAATGTATTATCCCTCTAATTTGACCCACTTGTATATTTTTCATCCCACCCCCTTTACTTTCCTGTTTGTTGCCATACACTACAGCAGGCGATGATTCTGCCTCCTGACCCGGCAAGTGAAAGCGTTTTACAGGTATTATTTGCCTTTCATGGTTCGACCCTTCCTAGTTTTTCAATCGAATCACTTCTGCTCACTCCGTTCCTACCCCCTTTTTATTCCTCCTCTCTTACAAAGCGCCTTCATTTTTTTGTATAACATCTTTTGTGTCCTCCGGTCTATCTCTTTCTATTATCTTTTCATTCTCCTTGTCCACTGTATCCCCTGTTTCTCAGTTCTAATATCTTTCTCTGCCAGGGACATTCAGCTCAAACTCATGAGAAGATGAGTGAAGCCTTTTTATTGTAGGAGGAGGGAAGGGAAAAGTGTCTCAGTTTGTCATGTTGACTCTTTTCCCCTGTTAATTCTTTGGTTTTCTTCTTCTCTTTAACAGAATATGTGTTCCCATTTCCTCTATTTATATTATTTTATCCCGTATTAAAACGTGCCTCTCTTTGTCATCAGCTTTCAGACAGAATTTCATATATTATCCCCTCCCAGACCTTTAATGAACCCTTTGACATCTCTTGGGTTGAAATTATTTAAGACCCCACCAGTATCTACAAATACCAAGAAGCATTTTAAACGCACAAAGAGGAGATATAAAAGTGGAGCTAGCAATCCTTAAGCTAACTGTGGCTTCAGGCGCAGTTAGAAACTCTTTCTACCTTGGCTCGAGGGTCTATTTTAACGGATTTGTAAAGATTTATCATCCACTTGTCCATTTCCCTTGACTCCTGTTAGAGTTTTTCAAAGATGATGAGGCGTTTTGATTGACTAATTTCGTTCTCGAGTACACAGCAAAAACTGGAGTGTTCAAGTATGTCACAGTTAATTAACTCCCAAAGTCTAGGTTTAACTCTTTCTTGTATAAATGACCTTCAGTGTTGGCGTTATGCGACAATGTTGATCCATCAGTGCTACTCCAACTCTGCGAAGAGTTCATCTAAGTTCTGCCAGAGGTTTCTTTGGGTAGGGTCAGTGTCTCCCTTGCATTCGTTGAATTTTCAAGTGCCGCAACTGAAATTTCACATGATCATTGATATCAGTGCACCACGAATGAACAGCACACAAAATTATTTTAGACTTGTTTTGAGTCATTGAGTCATCTTATTGTATCAGCTTTCATTCATTTTCTGAGTGTTTAGTTGAAAGAGTTAGGAGTTCATTCTTTTGTCTTCAGCCTACAACCAAGACGTGTCACCTCACTTGCTGCTAATGTAGGGTGACCACATTCTGACTTCCCAAAAAGAGGACACGACTACGCGAAACAGAGTCATGGAGTCACACAAAGAGTTTTTCGAGTCGGATCAAGTGTCTTTTACATGCTTCCAACTCAGTAAGTCCACGTGACATCAACTCAAAACTTTTGTACAAAACCGCGGACATTTGAGGGATTTTATAAACTGCCCCAGACAAAGGCCGGACAGCCCCCCAAAAAGAGGACATGTTCGGGTTAAAGAGGACATATGGTCACTCTAGCTAATGCACAAAGGTTATCATTTTGATCATCTTTTACATAGCCTTTTTTGTCACATGTATCAATCAAAAAACTGAATCAGGAAAAACTAGCAAAACTCTGTGATTGCATGTCGTTCTCCTAAATAAATTTCAGTTTTCATATCCCGATTCTATTCATGCTGGAGTTAAAGAGGCTGCAACCAGCAAAAGGTGCCATCCATACCTCCACACTGATAAACTTCAGACAAGCAAAGACTGACAGTTTCTGTATCGCCGTAGATAAGCCGCTCATCCCATCCAGACAGATTACTTCCTTAGGGCATCTGATGAACTTTTCAAAGAACATTTTAGTGTTGAATTCATTTTATGTTTTGATCTTTATGGGTAAATGTAAAAGAATAAATGTTATTATTGATAAAATTTCTTCTTCCAATTGTATGAATATTCTTGTGCTTTTAAATTTGGTAGTTAAACTTAAGTTTGTCCCAAAATACAAACGAACAAAAAAAAACATCATGGCAGCGACTCCTTCAGTTGAATACTCTATCACTGTGTTAAATTTGAACTCTTTTGAAAGTGCTGGAGTGGAGTGGAGCTTCATAAACTCTGAAATGGTGTTTAAATTAACTCTGTGGGAACTGAATCAACATTAGACTTTCAGCCCTGTCTGGAGGAGGTGAATGAAGGAAAAAATCATTGTAGAAAAATTGATGTTGTTTTCTGCCATGCAGTCTGTGTGGCACATAAAGCCCATCGTTTAAAAACAAAAAACAAAAACAAGAATATGTCCCTGAGCAAGCGGGAAATAAGACACAAAAATAACTCCATTGATCGATATATCACAGGTGGCGAGTGTGTAAGTGGTTTACACAAAATTGACAATATAAAAACAAGCACCTGAAGGCCACAGATCCGATCAAAAAAGTGATAGCAGGTGAGAAAGACATTTTAGAAACCTTGTTGCAGTCGCCTCACAAAAACTGTGAGCATCAATCCTGTTGATCCCGGAGCTGAAAAACTCAGAGAAATATCTGAATTGTTTAATAAACGTAGATTGGACTAAATAAAATTGGCTTTGCATCATTTCGTAGATGTTGTCCCAATTATACACTAACCCTGTTATGATATTTTAATGTCATTTAGCAGACGCTTTGATCCAAAGTGATGCACAAGCAAAGATCTAGACAAGAGGAAAAAAGATCAGTCAGATCCCCAAAGTGCTTCAAGTCCATTTGGACGCAGGTACTATCCTCTACTCTGCTTCTTCATTCAAGAGTACCTCCATTTAAAGATTTATCAGCATTCATAACCTTGTTTCAACCTTGTAAATCTTCTTCCTCGCTCTTCTTCATCCCCTTTCACCTACTTCACCGCCTCCCTCTGATAGCCAGTTCTCGGTGTCAGCTGATGGTGCAAGGATGTTTAATGTTTCATCGCTGCTCATTTCAGTGTCTTTAACATCCCATCCTCCCTCCATTTGAATCTCTTGTGAGATCTTCTACTTTACTTATTGGAATCCTTTTTTTTTTTTTCTATACCTGCTTCTCATTCTCTGACCATTTAATATTCATCTTCCAGTTTTCACAAGAGGCCTTTGGTTTAAACTGTCATGGAGCTTGGAAAAGGCTGTTACATTTTTTATCACGGCACCCCTGCTTCCTGACTTTCATCTCCCTTTTATTGACCTCATCACCCTTCCTCTTTTGTAACTTACATGAGCAGTTTGCATTGTAAAAAAAGACATAAATACCCCAAACTACTGGGAGTTGTAATCATTGAAAACAATCAGCTCAGTTTTTCTTTACTCCATCCCCACTTTGGTGACAGTTATCCAAACATTTTCCACTCTGCTCTCCATTCTCTGTGTCTCTTATTTATTCACAATTATGTCATAAATTTCATTCAAAAGCGTCCCCTCCCCTCTCTTCTGCCCTTACATCCCTCTAATCCTCCTCTCCCTCCTCCTCTTGACATACTAATAGTGCCGAACAATCAGTTTAGAGTCTTGGAGAGGTGATCAGTGGAACAGCTCAAGTTTTATTGTCCACTGGAATTAATGCAGTCGATACAGGTCAGCATGGAGATGAAGCTGATAGCTATGAGTCAGGACTGAGTCCAAATCAATGAAACTCTTAACTTTATTACAGCTATAAAACGCATGGGAACCAGATTCACACCCACCTTTGGTTTTACATATACATACATATATACACTTTAAAATGGAGAGAGAAAAACGGTCCATTGAATCTTGGATAGTGTGTACATGTGTTTGTGTGTGTGTGAAAATCTTTGCAGTAAACATTTATATGGTATTAGGGCGGGTAAGGAGTTTCACTGCAGTCATTGACAGGTTGACATTGCTCAAGCCTCCAAGTCTGCTCTTCTTCTCTTGTTCTTAACTTCTTTAAAAAACTTAAAAACCACTTTTAAAGTTATATCACTGTTAAAAACCCCACAAGAAAGAGTCGTATTATCTTTGTTTATTTTCCTCTCTTGGCCAGTGTACACACATAGTTCACTGTTGGCAAGGTGAGTAGGGTGACCATATGTCCTCTTTTACCCGGACATGTCCTCTTTTGGGGGGGCTGTCTGGCCTTGTCGGGTGGAGTTTATAAAATCTTCCAAATGTCCAGGGTTCTGTACGGAAGTTTTGAGTTTGTGTCGCGTGACTTGACCCGAAAAACTCTCAAAATTAACTACGTGGGGGCGGAGTCACGCGTAGTCGTGTTCAGAGTGGTCGATTAAACAGAGTGGCGACACTCCCATAGACAGACGCTGAACAGCCCGGCGGACCCCACTTCCGGGTTATAGAACTCTTTATAGTTCCAACCTGACCGCCTGTCACGTCGGACGCCGTTCACTTCTATGGCCACAAGGCAAGCACTCACCGGATTAAATGATAAAATATCAACAAGTTTAATGCCAATACATGTGTTATTGATATCGAGGGGACCCCTTTATATGTAAAAATGTATATCCCAAATGTAATTACGTTTTTATAGTCAGGAATTGGGATCGATTTTTAGCCACGGTTTGCTCCCACACTCCCCGAGGTAAAATATTGTATCAACGAATGTAATGCCAATACGTGTGTAAATGGTATTGAGGGACCCCTTTATATGTAAAATGATTTTAATTTTCGTATGCTCAAATTGTAATTACAGATGTAATTACGTTTTTTTAGTAAGGAATTGGGATCGATTTTTTAGCCACGGCCTGCTAGCTGGACGTCGTCAGCTGTAGAGGCCTGCCAAAATGTATTGTGTGACTGAGTTATGAATCACAGATGAATCATCATCATCAATCATATGTTGAGATGGTTACTTATGGGCTTTATTTTAGATTTCAGCCTTTATCAGTTCCCGATATTATATGCAATTTATTATTTTTAGACTAACATAAGTGCTATGTAATTTGATTTCTGCTTATGGGATGATAGAGTAAAGGGGCCGCTACTTTTTAAATCCTGTCAGCACTTAAGGCATATGTTTAACATGGAAAAATGTTATGCAGGCCATGCTGCAAGACCAAAACATTGCACAATTGTTTAAACAGCTTGTAACACCTGTTACTTACCACTTTATTGTATTATTTTCTCTTATTAAAAAGTAACACGTGTTACCAAACTTGTCTTATTTCACTTTTATTTGTCATCCAGCCGCTAAATATACGTACGTGACTTTGACGTGTACACAGTAATCCAATAAGAGTTGCAAATGTTGACTTTTTACGGTTAATTTTAATATTTACCTCTTAAATGCGCGCTCACTGCAGTCTGCCCCGTTGCAGAGCATGGACAGTGCAGGCTGCGTTTGGAACTATGGAGGGGTACATGAACCACGTGACCGCTCCGGCGGCGAGATCTGAAGTTGTCGCCACTCTGTTTAATCGACCACTCTGGTCGTGTTCTCTTTTTGGGGATTCAGAATATGGTCACCCTAAAGGTGAGGTATGTCAGCACATAAACAAATGTATATCTACACATTAACACACACACTTATACACACTTACAATTATTGGTAAATTTGCGTAACCATCTGTGTGTCACACAGACATCTGTGAGACGACTATATCTCTGTTCTCTCTATATCTCAGTGGAGATAGAGTGTATGTGTGTTTTTTCTTTGCATGCTGAAGGATGTTAGAAGATTCAGCAGTGGGGGTACAGCTGGAAAAGACCATTTGGGGCTGAGTGAAAGGAGAGCAGAGGAGACATCATGTGGTAGAAATGCCTTAAAGTGGATTGAAGTTTCTCTTAAACACATGGGTAGCTTAATTGCAGCAGTCGTTTAATTCTAGCCTTGTTACAATGACACCTTGCCAGGTCATTCTACTTGAATCTATTTAATTCTTGTCCACACATCTCTGTGTGCCTTTCCTATTTCTCTAATTATAGCTTTGTTGTCCTCTCTCCCTCTGTGTTTTCGTCTGCTGACATAAGATCCTCTCTGTCTGCTCGGTATTCACTGCAACACTTATTGACGCGATGAGTGGCACTGAATATAATGCTTTCACCTGAAGGAGGCTGCATGGGTTTGCTTGCATTCTGAAGTGTGTGTTTGTGTGTGTGTAGGTCTGCTGGTGTATGTGTTTACAGTGCTGAGTGATATGCTGCATTGAGTCACAGAGAGATGCATGGCCAAACACTTCTGTTTTGACAGCGAGCGATGAAAAAACACTTCCCGGCCAGCACCCACCATTGACATTGAGTTCTTTTGCTATCCATTCTTGTGTCAAGCAGCACATTACTTACACTAAATACATAACTCTAAAGGCGCATGGCACAGCAGCATTAAAGCCATGACTAAGACAGCTAAGAGGGTATCAGATCACTTTGGTTTGTGACACAGCGCTGTGATTACACTGTAATTATCAGCTATTGAGTGTATACTCAGATCTTTGTTTTTGTGGTAGTGTGACGTGTAAACATCGATGAAAAAGCTCTTAGGCTCTTTAATGCCACTCAGTTCTCAAAGATTTCAAAACAACCTTGAATCTAATGCATACATACATTTGATCCATCAGTCAGAAACAGCAGTGATTTAAAATACTTTCAACCACCCAAATGTCAAATAATGTGCCATCCTAATTTGACTGAGGCATTGGATAAATCGTCTTTCCCTCACAATTTTAATTTCAGATGATGATTTCCCTTTTTTGTTATTATTTAGCAGCCTTTCTAAAACATTGTCTCATGATCCAGTGCAGGGATTATGACAAAGCACAGAGTTGTTATGTGCTGCCAGTGATGAGAGTTGAGCCAAGAGTTAGTGGGCTATGAAACTCTTGACCAAGCGTGCTTAAACACACTGCTGTTTAAAATGTCATAATACGTGTCTAAAATATTCAGTGGACACAATACAGGTCACAGCACAGCAATGAGACATGAGGCGAATGTGGAGTTGCTGAAAACTGCAGTTCTTAAAGTTTCCACTAGGGGTTTTTACAGCAAAAATTACCATTTAAAAAAAACAGCTGGGGTTCAAATATACTAACATAAGATTTTTATTTATTTATTTTTAAATTATTCTTTACAACTTGTTAATTCTGAAAATAACATGGTTATAAGATTCGCACAGTTAGGGGCTTGGCTGACCTACTTGACAAGAGAGGACAGAGTACGTTCACATGCAGTTCAAGAAAATTGATTTATTGCAATACTCAGACTGAAACTGGACTTTTAAATATCGTGTAAACCAATTAGTCTGACTGAAACTTCTCACAGTCGCACCAAAATCGATGGACACTACCGCTTGGGATTGATTTTGTCTGTCATGTATTTAGCTTTATCAAACTGAAACTGGCCTTAGCATTCTGCACATACCCCGTGTTCGTACACCGAAGTTAAATGCATAGATGCAATACAAGGATGTCTGGTCAGAAATAAAACACTGACAGATGAAGAAAAGATATAAAAAGTTTAAACTTTTCAAAGTTAGACAAGTGTGGTCATCATTTCATGCACATCTTGCTAGCCTCTTGCTAGCGTGTTTTGGTGAGTAATACACCAACAAGCTGAAAGGAGGCATGTTGCCACCTATCGTAGCAGAGGCAGACATGCTTTTTTAAGTCTTGCACAGTGCTTGTAAGCTGGGAAAAGAACAGTTGTTCAGCCAAATTGCCTAATCAAGCTATAACTGCAGCTCAATTTGACTGTTAATGTAAACAAACAGAGTATTACTGTGAGCAATAATGCCAAAGTCTCATGTCAACTCCATCCCATTGCCTCAAGCAGAAGTCAGGTTGAATCAGCTTTCCCAATATGAGGACTTCTATTAGAAATCTTGACAACCAGTGGATGATATCACTGAGACCACTTTGATGTTTTATACAGTCTATAGCTATTGCATAAAGCAAGGATTGACTCACCTCATATCATGCTCCAAAACAAATGGTTTGGTAACCTGAACATGCCAGCGAAGGCATTAAAGAAAGCAAAACAAACCCACACATATGCTCAGTGAACCAATGTCATTAGTCACACATGGCAGAGAGACTCCTGTAATGGGAATGAAGCACATGGGAGATTGTAGAGGAGCATGAAATCGAGATGAAGTTGGCAGAGAGAACAGACGCAGAGACACATGGGCAAACAGGAGAATGCCCAGCAGGATGGCCCGTCTTTGTTTGAAAAATAAGAAAACCTGAGAAAACCAGGCATAGGAGAACATGACCAGGGGCATCACCTATAGCTCAGACTTGCCTCTGAGAGACTGTGAGGATAGGAAGGAATAAGATCTGTGAAGCAGTAGCATCCTCTCCACCTCCTATCCTTGTTTTGGTGTGTCAATAAAATCTGCAATACAGAGAAGACTCTTTGTTTGCGTGGGATCTTAGCATTTGTTAAAGATAAAAACATACATGCAGAAATACGTCCAGGGGGGTTCTGTTTCTGGAAAGTGCTGGAGTTGTGAAAGATGTATCTGTCAAAATCAACAGGCGGCAAGAAGAATTTTCTCTGTAAGGTCTGGGGTTTGATCCCAGGTCCTGCTGTCTGATATGCCAAAGTGTCCTGGTGAAAAAAAAACGTAACCCTAAAACTGCCCCTGGTGACGACGCCCACAGTGGCGGTTAGTACAGACGGGTGCCTAACAGCAGCCTCTGTCATTGTTGCATGAATGTAGTACGACTACAGCATGTAATGTAGAATATTCTAAATGGTAAAAAAGCCAGAGGAAGCAAATACAGTATGTCAAAAGCAACGGGAAATTAATGTATTGTCACCTTACTGTACAAACTTGTAAGTCGAAGAAACCATGGAAGTGACAAAAGATTTAAATAATTTAATGAAACACCAATCATGTACAGGATTTTCTAAACAAAATGTATTTATGCACATGAAGTTGTTTGGTGGGTGAAATTCATCAGATTTTATTACTGCCAGAAACAGGCACCCGTATTTCCATCTTACTAACCAGCCGCTGCCTGTGCACAAATAAATGCAATCTCTATTTTACACACAAGCTGCACGTGCAAACAGGCACAGTGACACCCTCCCCTCGCGGGTGGGCAGGATGAATTGCTCAGCTGTCCTGTATTGACAGCAGGATTAATGCCATCTGATTCCCAGGTGACTCATTTGACCACAGTCAGAATAGACCTTGTCTCCATGCTTTACTGACTCCGTGTGTGTGTGTGTGTGTGTGTGTGTGTGTGTGTGTGTGTGTGTGTGTGTGTGTGTGTGTGTGTGTGTGTGTGTGTGTGTGTGTTGGGGGGTAGGGGGGTGAGGGAGACAAGTAAAGAGAGTGGGTGTACATGTTGTTGAAATATTGCAGATCCCTGGTTTGAGGACTTTGCATATTCATTAGGAAGAAATGGAGAACAGGAGAGTGAAAGGCTTAGAGCAGGGCTACACTGAAAATTTGTAAGAATGTTTTGATTATAACTTTTTATATTATTACTGTTAACTTTTTATTATTATCATTATGACATTACATTATGTCATTAAGATCACTTTACAAGTATTTCTATAGTTACTGGGGTCAAAAAAGCTAAGCAATCCATCTCTCACAAGTAATTTATGTGCATACATGACAGGCCAAGGTACGACAAGCAGCAGAAAAGATCAGCAGGTTCAGCAGGACAGACACCAGTGAAAAACAAAACAAAACATGACACTGCTAAAGCGCAAACAGGACCAAACTGGGAATTACGATCTATCAGGCCATCTAGCTCCAGGACTGGCACTTGAAATGCATAGGCTTTGGCTGCATCCAGGTTTTCCAGAACAACAGTTTACTCCATCACTTTAGCATACTATCAAATCATCATTCCACCTTTGCATACACGGTATCTTTCCTGCTTTATTACAATATTATTACAATTTTTGACATTGTACCAATAATTGTAACGAAAGTTTCATTTTGTTTAATAGAAAATAATGATCGTGTTTAGTGATCATCCTTGTTCAGCTAACTCACACATCACTCTTGCAAAGAAGCCCTTTGGTTGTACTCAGTCTTGCAATATTACAATATAGTGACCTTAGTGCTGCTGACAAATAAAGACTTTACATAATTTACGAGGGGAGGTGTCTTCAGTGACTTCTTGCATATTTCAAACTCCATCTGTTGGCCTGAGCTGAAAGACAACAGCGCTGAAATCAGCATGCATCTCTGCAGGCATGCTTGTTTGACAAATAATGTGGTTTTATCTTTTCATGCTTAATTAGCTGTTGCAGGTCTGGAAATGGGTCTCTCAAGGCCGTGTGCATCCTCACAGTCTGGAAACAGTCATCATGGGCTGTGTCTGTACTAGTAGGCGCATTGTTGGGTAGAAGGTTGTTTTGTTGTAGTGACTCTCTACGACTGCACATTAAAAGTCTGATGCTGAGGCTTTTTTCCAGTGAGAGGCGGGGTTTGGTGGCAGGGATCTTAATTTGTTATATTTGTATGTTGTTTCCTCCTCTTCCATTTTTGCCAGCGCACTACCTGCAAATCCTGCCGTGAGTGAGCATCGGTGCAGACTCGCTATTTGAGGGCTGAACAGTCCACTTGCCCTCCTCACTCTGTGGTTTGGGACGGCCTTCAATATGGCGGAGCCTCCACGGGGATGCCCAAACGGAGGGAGAGTGTATAGGGCGAGTGTTTAAAAAACGCACTTTTACTCATTGGCTTTTAGTACATTGTAGTGTTAATTTGTTTTTTATCATCTTAGCACTTGCCGTGAGCCTCCTTATTTATACACTTATTTATTCTTTTGCATTACTGTATTTCTGCTTGCTTTATCTTGTTCTTTGATTGTTTTATTTGTTTTTATGTGTCACTGTACAGCACTTTGGCTACCCTTGTGGTTCTTTTAAATGTGCTATAGAAATAAAGATTGATTGATTGATTGTTTAGGGGGCGGTTTGGGATTGAGCCCTTACGTTCCTGTGCGTTACCACTGATAACCTTTAGGACAGTGGTCTGTTTTTAGAGTAAAACAAGAGTAAAGAAATTAAAGCCTGTGCTTTTATTTTGAAGGGCACTATTTATGCAGCGGACTGTCCTCTATGTCCTCTACACTCCTTAACAGCAGGTGGAGATAATTCTAAGTAACGCTGATTTACAATTTTGCAGCATAGAAGAAGACCGGAAAGTTTGTTTTCATATGATAATGGCAGAATCCAAATATGACTCTTACTACTTGAAATATGGGTTCTTTAGCATCTTGGAATTACTATAAATGCATGGTAATAGACCTCCTCATTGGAAACAAAGGGTTAAGTTAGCGTCATTGTAAACTCTATTATTTGCACGGTGATTTACTTGATATCTGAAAACAAAACCTACCTCAACAATTCACACAAAAACTGACCCGTAGGTGCTAGCTTTAAATTGACCTGAATGCCGCAGTGACTCTCTCACCCTTGGTCTCGAAGATAGAGTGGAGAGTGAGGAAACCTGCCATTTTTTTATTGACTTTTCCACAGTTTGTAATTATATACAGCCCCGTGATCTCAGAAGCTCATATCCAACTTTGACATGGACTTTATACTGTGTCAGCCGGGGGATTTTCTAGCAGCAGGACCCCGGCTAGTGCACTTTTGTCCTCTGCTGCATTTCCACTGGACAGCATCAACTCCCCCCTCCATCTCACCTTGCATTAGGCTTTAGAGGGGACGCTATTTCCTGCGGCACATATACATTTTCTGTCAAGACACAGTGTGCTGGTAAGGATATGCTGTTAAGAGTGCTTTGTAATGGAGACTTTGGTCCATTCATGGTCGTATTTGCTCATGAGCTGGTGTTACATGTCCCTGATTGGATGTCTAAAAATGTTGCCTTTGTGTTACTGCCACTTCTCTATGCCCTCGTGGTACGCCTGTGTTTCCCTCGTTTTTTTTCTTGTATGAAAATTTAGTACACACAAGCTCAGCCCTTGTTTTTTATCACTCAAAGTGCAGGAGGTGGCATCAGTTCCCTTGTGTGTGACCAACAGATTTCCATGACCGGAGCACCTGCAGCACTGTTGTGGAAGTGGTTGGATTAAGAGGATTAAATTATCAGCACGTGTGATAGCAGCTGGCATCAGTCAGGGCCAATCAGATCAACTACACTTTCATCCCTTTTTAAATGCAGTGCACACCTTGCTGGACCAACAGATTTGTAATATAGAGGAGAGGCCAGCACAGATTCCCCTTAGAGTGAGTCAGCACACAGTAATTTAAAGGTACCCTGTGGAGTTATTATGTAAACAAACAAAGTAATGCTCCCCACCAGAACACACTGTTAGTGTGCTTTAAGGTAAATATGCCGGCGGAATACGATCGATCATTGCTCAACACTTTGGTGATAGTTTGTGAAATTTTAAGGAGAATAATTCTTTGTTTGGGAATTACTTCAAAGCTATAAAGACCCCACTGAGCAATAGACGGCTATTAGACGTCTAGTTGTTTTTTAGATCTAATTTACACCATCTAGATTCTGTATATTTTTAGACGGAATTTAGACGTTGCACTTTAACCTATTATTCGATAACTATTTATTTCAAAAAGCAACTGTGAGTTGCATAACTGATCTCCAAGTACTTACCTAAAAATAATTATTATAGCTGTTGAGCAATTTACAGTAAGACCTCTGTCAGCCAGCTAGTCTAAACTTGGTCCAAATTTAGACATCTAAAAAACCTTCATTTTTAGACCTGTGGTAGCCTGATTTTAGACCAGTCATCTAGACTTCATTTAGACATCTATTAGACCTCTTGTTGACCAAAAAATGCTCAGAGGGACTAGCATTGAAATAAGAAGCCACCGAGCATTTTTTGGTCTAAAAGAGGTCTAATAGATGTCTAAATGTAGCCTAGACAAATGGTCTAAAGATCAGGCTACCACAGGTCTAAAAATGAAAGTTTTTTCGACGTCTATATTAAGACCAAGTTTAGACCAAGTCTAAATCTGGGCTATATCTGTACTACACTGTATATTGCTCAATGGCTATCATAATAATTTTGGTTAAGTACTTGGAGATCAGTTATACAACTCATAACTACTTTTTGAAATAAATAGTTATCGAATAGGGGGTTAAAGTGCAACGTCTAAATTCCATTTAAAAATATACAGAATCTAGACGGTTGAAATAAGGTCTAAAAAAACAGACATCTAATAGCCGTCTATTGCTCAGAGGATTGCATCTGTCCTTCGTTTTGAACTTTAACCGGTTTGTGTGGGTCTGAATTTTAAGCCCTATTTTAATGTGTAGTGTTGGATTCCAAAAACACTTTCACTTAGCATTGTATTTTTAATGGACAGACCTTTTTTTTTTGTATACTACTCACAAATTCTGGCAAAGGCAATACCACTTAAAGCCCACAAGAGCAGAAGGAAATCTGCTAGCAGCAAAAATACCCATTTGCTGGCACAAGGTCATTGCAGCTGATCTCCACTGCCATGAAAAAGGCCGTTACGGCATGTATGTGCATTTCCGTGCATGTAAAAGACAGAGGGGATTTCCCATGTACTATTCCAGGTTTCTTAAAGCAAAAGCGTACAAAGATAGCTCATAAACATGCAAGTATGTTATTCCTATCCATGCAAGCTTCTGTGCTTTCCACAACAAAGGGCGCGTGTGCACATTGGGAAAAGGTGACCTCGTTGTGCACCTCTATTCTGTTGAAGGAACAGCTTTCATCTGGCAGGTTGGCAGGTCAAATCCCACTTGACTTGCGCCTGATTACACAGCCCTCTGGTACACAGAAACAGCAGTTTACAGGAGTAGGTTGTGACCTCGCAAGATTTAAGGTCAGTAATCTCAGTTTGTTGGGCCTCGACAATTCTATTAGAAAACATTACCAAAAAAAAGGCCTTTTAACCTCGCAAAAAAATAAAGCTATCGATTCTTCAAAGAGAATCATTGATAGTGTTTATGCAATCTTTTCTTTTTACTGCAGGATAATGTGGTGAGGTAAATATCCCTTTTTAACATTTCTACCGCTGTAAAGAGGAGCAGAACGCCTCCAGTACACTGTGACACACATCAATATGTGATGTGAAATGTAACACACACTGAAGAGAAATCCACATTAACCACCGTCACGATCTTTCTTTGCGGGGATGATATTTCTGACAATTAATCTTCAGCACCAGTCTGCTCTCAGTGATATTCAGTCCACGAGTCAACCTTGCCTCTGGAGGTTGATGTTAGACTAAAGAGAGTTACTAGTAACTAATGAGGGACTTAGACAGCAGCTCACCATAGATTAGAGCCAAGGGTAACCAGAGAGGACACATGGTGATGACATCAAACAGCCTTCTTATGTCCCTCTGGCTCCCTGTCCCCAACTCTCTACCACCCTTGAACACAAACACGCACACACACACACACACACACACACACACACACACACACACACACACACACACACACACACACACACACACACACACACACACACACACACACACACACACACACACACACACACAGAGTAAGTAGAAAGACAACACTCACTGCGCTGCTACACAACAGTCTTATCATCACTTGCTGAACATGAACTTCCATGTTCTGTATTTCCTCAGTAAATGTTTCCCACTCCAGCTCTTCACACTGATTTATTACCTTCATCTTCACACGCTGCCTGTCACTGATGTAATCTCATGTTACATTTGATCTCATCTTGTTCCTGTGTGACACACACACACACATATATATGCATGCTTTAAGAGGATATGTCAGGACTTATTTTCTTGGTATTCTTTTCTATTTTTTTTAGATGTAGCTGTATAGCTGTAAAAAAAATGCCCCTTATAATAATAATAATTATGTCCTTGAGCTAAGGCTGAGCGATATACCAAAATTAACTGATACCAAAATTTACCACAACATCTGACATCATTTTGCCCATGTCAAAATATGTGGTTTCAAATAGAGCTGTATGGCTGTAAAAAAATGTCCCTCGGGAACAATAATAATTATATCCTTGAGCTAGGGCTGGGCGATAAACCAAAAATTTACCGATACCAAAATTTACCACAACATCTGACGTCATTTTGCCCATGTCAATATATTCGGTGTCAAAAAATAGATAAATAAAAGTTAGTTAATGTAGGAGGGGGTGAGCAGCTTGTGGAGTAGTTATCATACGTTATTCGTTATTGAGGTGAACTGCTCAATATATCGTGATATTGATTTGAGGCCATATCGCCCAGCCCTACATAGATCCCTTTACCTTGATTTTAGTACTGCTGTTCACCCTGGAGACGTGTCAAAATTTCTTAATTCATGTTTTCTTAAATTTGAAGCATTATGGTAACCTCAGAGCCTAATGGTATACGCACAATGATCAATAATACCTCACTGTCTTAGTTCAGCGGTAAGGGCTACACAGTTAATAGTTTTACTTTCTACTTAGAAATTTATTAATATATGATACAAATGGCGCATGTCATGATGTTTTTAATGAGAAGTCTATCTCAGCACCTGCAGGGGACAGCTGCATTCCCTCCTAAAACAAGTTTAAGAGACATTCTGCAATCATATCTCAAGGCTGGCTGAAATACAGTAAAATCCCCCATTTAAAAATGTGGAGCACAATAAAAAATGAAGCCATGTTTTATTTTTGCTCTGTCTCTCCCTCCCTTCAAGGTTAAATAACATGGTCAGGGTTTTTTGAGTTGCATGTCGAGGTTTACCGAGGTTGGTTCTCATTTCAAAGCTCCAGGAAGGAAAGTACATTTTAATCAACTCAGGCATTTTGCTGTTTACACACTGGCCTGATGGTGCCACAACAATCTGCGTGATTGTATGTGAGTAAATAGATTAAAAGTTGCTGTTATTTACTCTCTGAATTTATTCAGCAACCATAATTTACATGCATTTTACATCAATAGAGCTCCTCTTTAAGGACTCACTTTTCATTTGGGGTGTTACTGCATTGCTAATATATAGATCACCATAAACATACCTTGTACTCTGTATTCATTGGCTTGTGCACACAGCATTTAGTAGAATTGTCTGAAACTGTCAGTTTGTCTTTGAATTAAATAAAAAGGGTCGATTAATCAAATAGGTTTTGGCAACCGCTCATGTATGTCTAAAATACACATGCATATGCACACACCGCAAAGCCACATTTTATGCAGCCATAAAAAGGAGTGCAAAAGACTTACGCACAGCAGCCGCTCAAGATAGTATTTTACACCCTCAATTAATAAGAGCTACTAAAGGCAGCGCTTTCTCCACACTGCATGATTTCCAATAAAAGCTGACACTGAACACAATCTTGCCAACTACATTGGCTCTTCTCCACGGCACGTACACGCACTCACACACCTACACAATTAACCTCATGCACTAATAGTGTTGACATATTCTTAGATCTACGGCCTGTCCCTGCGTAACCTTTCATAGTGCTTAAGAGCAGGAATAGAGCTGTTTTCACATCATAAAGCCGGCAGTGTAACAGCCCTGTGCTTCCGGGGCATATAATTTATTTCAGTGACTTAATGGAAACAGTGATTTTAAAGGAATCTGCAGGATGAGGAAACATTATGATGACGTTTTTTTTTAATAAAAGGAAATGAAACAGAAGATCGTGCTCATCACCCTGTGCAGTGTTTATGAATTCCAAGATTAAACCAAGATCAGTCTGTTATCATTATCATGCAATTCCTACTTTCTAACATGAGTCTGTTTCTGCCTGTTAAAGAAAGTTTTTCCTCTCTTCTGTAACTTGTTAAATGTTTTTAAGTGTTATACTCATGGTAGATAAAGACGGGATGGGAGTGGGCCTGATCTTACAGATGGGATCTTTATCTTTACGTCTGGTGTCCACGTTTGTTGCGAATTGGTGCTATTTAAATGAAGATTGATTGATTTATTGATTGATCGAACTGCTGAGTCAAGAGAAAAAAAAAAAGATGGACATGTAGATGGAAATACAGCAGCGCGGGACCATGAAGACACACGAGGACAGACAAAGATGCTGCAGGACAGAAAAAAAGGAGGCGTACGCCCTTGTGCAGTCAGCATGTCAACTGAGTCGCGTTGGCATTTTCATGGTGGACAGTCAGGATGGGAGATGATAGGAGGGGGAGGAGGAGAAGAGAAGGGATGTGGCAGCAACACATTGGTGAAAGACAGAGAGAAGAATTAGAAAGTGGCATATCTTGCAGAGTTAGGATCGGTCAGAGTTGAGTTTTCATGCAAATACGAAAAGATTCAAATTTTTAGATGCAGGCGGGTTATATATTCACAAATGAATAAAAGTTTTTGTTTTTATTGTTGGAACGATAAATTGCATCTTGGGGTCAAAGCCAGTGCCTTTACTCCTCTATCCAAAATGTAAATAGCAGAGGTAGGAAAGTTGTGTCACATATCTTAAATTATTGCGTTTGTGTTTCCAAAAATGATCCCTGCAGCAGTTAAATCCAGTATTTTGCTCAGGTAGTCAGACTATATATATATATATTTTTTACTTTATTACAAACACAGCTTAATATGAATGGTATATATTGTAAATATAAAATGGTAAACATTTCTTTTAATTGAAGCCTTAGCATTAATCATGTTTAATTCACAATAAGCGATCTTCACAAATGTTTGTCTAACCAGTTGTCATGTAGCCTGGAATCCTGGTGCCACCATGCTAACACTGTTGCACAGCTTGGGGCCGTTTGTTCGCTTGATTATCTGATTGACTGATATTGACTATTGGACAACACAGGAGGAAATAACGATAAACTGTAAACCCACTGAATTTAATTAGTGGAGGTAAAACTGACTTAACTAGTATGTCTGCTGTTTATTGAACAACTGTGAATACAACACAGTTCTCCATGCTTTATCAGGCAGAACAGAGTGGCTTTCCCTTTCCCAGACCTTCTTAATACAGCCAACCGATGACTTTCCAGGGGAAAAGAATTACAAATCTGGTGATGAGCTTTGTTCCTCCTGGTGAAGGGGGAAGCTGCTCTGAAAATTAAGGACAAAAGCCCCAGTTTAAGTTAAAGGGGGAAGAACTAAATGATTCATGATTTGGGGAACCCCACTGCTAATGCACCATTGCCCTTACATTAACAGCCCAAAAAAATCCTTGAATACTGGAAGATCCAGACCCCCATCCTGAGCAGGCCTAAAAATACGCTTTACTGAAAGTCTGTTTTTTGGCCCCAAACTTCCCATGTTTAGTAAAACTTATTAATTAAGTCTGTAACAAACTTGCAGAACACAAATAACAGAATGTTATATTTAAATCATTAGTGCTATGTTTTCAGGCTTATAACAAATATATTAATAAATCGTATATAAATTCTAATGAAGTCCAATTAATGTTCATAAACATCCTACTGATGTTAATGACAGGTATATAAATTGCTAACAAGTTTGTAATAAGATCCTATCAGTGACTTATACACAATAATAAATGTCTGAGTTGTTTTTTAACACTTGCAATATTTACACTTTATCAGGTCTCATAGGTGGCTTATTAAGTGTAATTAATGCTTGGTAAAGGAGCTTCATAGAAAGTGTAACCACACTGTAGAGAGTCGTCATGTTCATCTGTTGCTTGTGTAATTTCGTGATGAGACACCATGAACAACTCTTGTGTCAACACCAGTATCGAACCCTTTTTCCAGTCACAATGAAGGCAATCATATGGTTAACACAACATCCACAGCCTGTCATTTACTTAACATGATGTTTGGAGTGATGGCTTTGAACTTTTTTTTTTTTTTACTAAATCTGTGTTTCAAAACAGGCCAACCCATCTGACAGGATGAAACTGAGTGTGACAGAAATGTCTCCCAAATAAAGAAAAGAAATCTTATAAATGGTAATAACAATGCCCAAATATAACATGGTTACCACTGAACAATCAAAGAAAATTAAGTATTGCACTGTTTTCATCAGATTTATGTTCATTTTGTAATTACTGTGAATTTTGTGAACAATGTCATCCTAAAAACCACGATAAAAAAGCTGTTTTTTTTTTTACTGTCAGTCATGTAATACACATTAATTTTGCGACCCGGGTTTTTTATTCTGTATCTGTGGTACTTTGACGTTATATTGGGATTTATTTGGTTTGTTTGACACCCCGATGCGGCACCCCTACCAGCAACACTGAATGACTAAGGAACACACGTCATCACAGCAGGTGAAAACAACACAGCAGCGTACAGACAGACTGATACGACAGGGGCACAAAAGGGCCATAAAATACTTCCTTTTCACATCTTACAGTTGAGAAAAAAATACATGATGAACTCTTGGTTGTTGAATACTGTTTACTATAGCTTCTTACATTTCATGGTCATGCGTCTGTGTGTGCACTGGCTCAATGTCATACTGTCACAGCTCTTCATTATACAGTCTTGAAGTTACACCTCTTTTCTTCTCTGTCAAGACAAACTGTCTGCTTTGAAAACAGCTCTTCCTCAAAACTTATCCACAGCTTTATTTGTCAGATATCATACCTGCAAGTGTAGGATGTCATCTCCAGCTCCCATCATTGTTCAGACAGAACAATAGTAAACTATCTGAGAGGCAGTTACGACCATCAAATTATGTGACCGCAGACTGAGCTAAAAGAATTTGAGAAATAACAGCATCCTGACTTTTCATTTCTTGCGTCTGCAGCTGCAAGTTCAGACAAAATTGATGTAGACTTGCACCACTAATTATCAACAGCGCAATGTCGCCTATTCATCTTCAGCCAGAGAGAGTGACAGACAATATTGAACCTGAGTGATTTTTGCTTTTTGCATCGAGACAGCCCAGACTCTATTTTACAAGCCAAGTGTCACACGAGAATATGCTCTGACTTGACGAAATACGGACAGCATTAGCGATGAGCATCATGTGTGCACTTGCACATTATAAATCTGAATATTAAAATAATATGAATAACAACAAAATGCCATTGATGACGCTGGTTTGAGGATAATTATCAAATCTTTTGGAGACTCTGGTTTTTCATTTGTTTTTTCTCTCTCTTTTGACAGCATTGTCTCTGAAAAGTATTTTGTCCTGTCGGCTTAAAAGCTGCAGCTTGGAACTTATGCAGATAAGGGTTTTTTTTGACACATTGGGTAATAGCTTGTCCACAAGATTAGAAACTCAAGTATGGACCCAACCTGTGAATGCATGTAATTAGGCAGGGTTAGTGGCAATACAAAGGTCATTGTCTCGTTGAAAACATTTGTACAAAAGCTAATGTTTCTATTCATTTGACTAAAGTGGGAGAGCAACAATTGGATTTTTATGTCATAAGTCTTTGTCATTTGCTAAAGCTGTTGAAGTTAAGATGCATTTGAGATAACAGTTAAGTTAAAGATGTCTGTGATTTTAGGATTGCAGAAAAAAATAAAAATATTCCCAAAATAGAATTATTGTATTATCACTGTTTGTCTCCAAGGTCTGATGTTGGGGTTATGTGCATAACTCTCGAGCTGAGAAATCATACATTTGAGAATTTCCTTGATACACCTGCTACCAGACACTTCTGAAGTGGTCCTTGTGAGAAACCACTCTGGAAAAAAAAATATTTTCAAAAGTGACAAAAGAAGAAGCAGAGGACAGAAACAAGGTTGTTACAGTGGGACTACAGGTCTTGTCTCTATAAAGTTGCCTCTGAAAATGCCCTGTTCAGTGTCCAAGTTTTAAAACCCACAAAGAAGGTTTCTGAAGCTGTAGTAAAATGTACTTATGTGGCCTTTATTTCAGTGGCTCTCATAATAAAACTCTGCTGTCCTTGTACTTTTGATGCCTCACTGGTATTATATTGGTGTCCCAGTATGTGGTTTTCACATGGGGTTATGGGGTTGTTGAAGCACAAGAGGCATACTATATAAACCCATTCCATCCCACTAGCTCTTCAAGGTTATAAGAGTACCATCTTGTCTTGTATTGCCTCTGTAACTACCTATAATTCCGGTGCAGGGGTGGGACACTGGTCCACCAATGAATTTTCAGTTTTATCATAATAGGAAATCTTTTGAAATGTTGAAGTATTTACAAAATGTAAGTTAGAGAGTCAGGTCAATGTTTTTAAAATAAATGACTTTCACATTTATGTTTGCTATTTTCCACTTGCAAATCTTCAAATTAAAGATGTTCTTCTTCCTGACCCAATTTTCCAGCCCACCACTGAAATCTTAGGCAGTGGATCATACCTACTCTATAATCCCTAAAGGGAGTTCTGGGTCAGTCTTGGGGTCTCCCCACAGTTGTACATGCCCAGAAAAGTCCCAAAGGGAGGTATCTGGGAGGCATTCGTATTCAACGCCCAAACTACCTCATGGCTTCTTTTGACATGTGAAGGGTCAAAAGGCATGCTTTAAAACACCTTCAAATGTGTAAGCTTCTCATTTTGACTGTATATTTTCCAAAGAGAGATTGTTGACAGTGTATTTTAATCACGAGGACAGGAAATCCACATACGAGGCATGAATGACTGCCATGCACAGCTTTTTAGTCTTTTTTACTGTGCATTTGTCCCTGTGTACTGTGCAACAAACAAGCACAGTAGCAGCTGTAGTAAAAAAAAAAGGGGATGGTCAATTAAAAGTAATTCACCTTTTTACTGTTCAGACAAGCAGCTGGGATACTGTAGTTTCAATGCTTAAAGGGCAAATTGTCTCAGGAGATTGGTCCTGTGAGATATTCTTGAAAGAATTGGGTGTTTCAAATGAATTACTGGTTTGAGCTAATAAAGGATTTCTCAGATCTAAAACAGTGCACTGTGTTTTTACAACATGGTTCGATTGTATATTATAGTAGGGATGCAAACAGCTCTTTTTATATGAGAGTTGCAGTAGGGCATGTGAGGCTGTACAGGAGCTGGTTGGCTGCATAACAGGTTACCACCTTCAGGGTGGGAAAAGTTGCCTCCAATTTAATATGCTGACACACTGTGCCAAAAGGAAGCATTCAGAACAGATGGCTGGCTTGGTGGGCAGGGACAGTGGCAATTCTTCCATTTCCCTCTCAACAGCCTGATGCAATGCATTTCATTTATACGGCTGACGTTCATTCACCCACTTGACAGTGAAGGAACAGCCCACAAAGCAGGGATTTTACCAGGTGCAACTGTACCTCACTGAAACTTAGAGTACATTTCTGCTTTATCAAAGACTGTGAAAAATGGAGCAGGAGTGATTGTATGACACAATATCACTAAATATCACTTATTCCATCACTGCCTCTGTGTTATTGTTACTAGAATGATAGTAATGAGGCATAGTCTGTGCCGCGGGCAAGGACTGATCCTTCAAGTCGTCTAGATTAGCCAGGAAGTATCCAGATATCAATTGTCCAACTCATAAATAAGGAACAAAATCCAAACTATAAAGACCAGTAATGTGTCTGCAACCAGGTTCCTTATGTTAACCATGATCACAAGCTGTAAAACTAAATAAAGTCAGACTTTAAATGGGCAGCGTCATATTTCTAATATGGAAATACGGAAAACAGGTTTCCAGAGAGTTCATAATGACTATGCATCACCAGTCACATGTTCTGTAAAATAAAAGATCAGTTTGGTAGCTATCTACATCACGCACCATCTCCAGTTTGCTTCAGTTTATTTCAATTTCTTGTGACGGAGATAATAGCTAACTGTTAGCATCTGCACTCCTGCCCAGAGCAGCACTCTGTGAGCTCTCATCCTAATGGCAACAAATTGAATCTATTCATGGTATATGATAAGCTGAGTGAAGAGGGAAACTCTTTATCATTTTAAAGTACAGTCCATCTATGACCAAGGATGAGGATCAATAACTGGATCCATTAAATACCCTGATAAAGCATTTTTTCCAAACCCTAAAAATCAATAACATTTGAGCCTGGTCTGCTATCAGGTCTTGAGGGTTCCTTTAGTTAAAAATCATGATCCGGTGTTGAATTTGGTGTTGAAATCAATGTGGACATCAGCAGGACAAAAGACCTATGATAACACAGTGTAGTGTTCAAATGTCGAGTTAGGTAAAATGAGAATTAAACAAAAGTTTAACAAAATAATGTTTTCATGATGAGTTCAAATGTCATGTCAAAAAAGACAAAATGTTTTGCGGTGAAAAATCTTTATCAATACAGTTTTGGTTGAAATAAAACCAAAACTTACTGAACAAAGAAAAACATGTCACAGCACAGGCTTAGTGAGTCAGGGCCCCACTTTGTTCAAAAAGGTGAACAATTTTAATTCTTTAGGATTGAAAGAATTTGGAATAAAAGTCTGTCTTTAATAGAAGCCTGTTCTATAATATGTCCTGGTACCTTAGGCATAAACACAAATAAAAGACCCATCCTTTACATGTATCATTAAAGTATTTCCAGGCGTTAACTGGAGATAAACCAAAGGCAAATGATAATTGATCAAATTTGGAATAGCTTTATTTTCTTTCGAATCGCAAAGTTTTTCTTTTAGAAAAAAAACTAAAGTTGATGGGTTACTCTCAAGTAGTTTTGAACTGTTTCTTACTCATATCTTTCTAGGCAGTAGAAACATTTTTGAAGAAAGAAACTTTTTTGAAGAAACTTTTTTGAAAAGCTTTTCATATTCTACTTGAAAATCTTCCAAGTGGAAATCTGAATGTGCCTGACACCAAGAAAGCCTACTCCTTAGCCAACAGATTCTATATTTGGAGGAAGATATCTGTGTTACGAGATGAGCTTGTTGTATACCTGTGCAGAATAAGCTCTTTATGTCTGCTAGAGTGAAAAAGCTACTAATTCAAATGAAAGTTTACAAACCCAATGAAGTTGGCACATTGTGTAAAACATGGAAAAAAAACAGAATACAATGACTAGCTAATCTTTTATTCAATTACACACACTAAAAGAAAAAGATTAAATGTTCAAAATGAAAAAAAAAATTTTTGTATTTTTTATTTTGCTAATATTGGATTTCGCTTTCGGGATTGATAAAGTTCTTCTTGTTCATTTAATTCTCTCAGTTTGTATTTGATGCTCCTTTCATACCAATCATGACTCTCACTTGTCACATTTACTTCATTGGAATTGGGGTTTGTACAATTGGTGGATTGTGGTAGTAAATCATTCAGAAACACAATTCAGAGGTAGATCAGTGATGGTAAATTGGCTTAGTAATAGCATGGGATGAAAATCAGTTGTTTGGCTTCTCTAATCTGGCTTACTACTGTTGCTTATGGTCTATAAAAAAGCCAAAGTGGTTAGTTTGGAGAAAAAAAGCCAGTATTCAAAAACATAAAGTGACTTTTTTTTTACTTGTTTATCTGAAGACACAAATCAAAAAGGGACAAATTTTAACTCCATTCAAGTAAAAAGAGACCGGCCTAATGGGTGTAGATAATGCCTTTCTTTGCACATGCCAGGAGACAGGCACTTTGAAAGTCATTAAATTTGATGTGAAAACCTTGAAAATAAAGTAAATACTTGTTCAGATTTCAACATTCAAGGCGACTTTCTTCATCCTATTATTCATGACAGCATGACATGAGTCATGCTTCCCTTTTTCGTCAACCTCTGTCTTTGATCTTCCTTTGTCTGCTTATCAGCTTTTTATCCCTAACATTTTTCATCTGTCCTGTTTTATCGCTCCATCTTTCTGGCCCTCCTCCTCATCAAAAGAGAAATCAGACTGTATCTTCCTTAAGTGCCAGTCCCAAACAACCATTTCTCATCTGCTTTCTCACTGTGCATCTTGCCACCACTTTTTTTTTTCCCCTGCTGCAGAGCTGTGACTTTTTTTCTGGCCTCTTTTCATGGCTAGTTTTACTGCAGGTGATGGATGTTCGGATAAAATGAATCATCAATTTGAAGAGCTAGCAAACTACCTATACTTAACAAAAGGCACAGCACTCAATGGAAACTGAGTTACAGCCATCTAATATGAACCCAAAGTCATCCCCAGAGACTGCAGTTAATCAAGTCTTAGCAAAGCACAATAAATGAGCACAAAGAGTTGTTAAAGAAATTACTTTTCTCTGTTTAAAATGAAGACTTTCTTGAAGAGATCTCATAAATGCATACATCAGAATCCATAACCCCTGAATTCAAGCATCAAGGGAATCCAATTTGGCTGTGATATGTTCCCTGCTGCATCTTGTTATAAAGATCTTCAGCCATAAGTTACCATTAGGTTTATACAGAATGCACTGCAAATAAAAAAGCTCTCAGTGTATTAACTAAGGTATTGTTTACATGAATGGTATTTGCATCACTTATTGGTGACTGGCTCAGAAGTAGACACCTCGATGTTTCCTGAGGACATATTAAGATCTGATCAGGCAGAGTGTAGAGTTGGTCTAGTTCACATCTGTTCACACTGGTCTGGGACACATTAAGCACTCCCCACTCTCTCCATATCCATGGAATTGGTTCCTTTGAGAAACAGACAACCTGTGTCTTGACTGAATTTCCCACTCCACACTGTGAATACCTTAATTTTAAAATAAAGTCTCATGTCATTCCAAGGCATGTGAATCCAAACTTCATGCATAACAGGTGACAAACTATCTCCATAACCCTTTCATCTTTATGCTAAAAAGTCAGCAGCACTCTGGTTTTTCGAGAGAGAGCTTACAGAAAGAAAACAGTTTGTTTCAGTGACATCGTCTGTGTCTTTACAGTATCACTTGTGGTGTACCTCAAGGGTTAGTCCTCAGGCTGTCATCTCTTTGGGTTCTTACTATGATTTATGAAATATTTAAAACTATTTTTGATGACACAACTGTTTTTGTTTTTTTTTTTGTTTGTTTGTTTGTTTGTTTGTTTTTTTTTTGCTTTTTTTTTTTACATACACTATAATGAAATAGCTTAAGTACTGAATCAGTAACCCATTAAGAGAAGTGATTGGGTGATCAAGATGTCCCTCAATGTTGAAACAGCAATGTTGTGTTTTCCATGGTACTCAGCCAAGGAATGAGGATACATCCTTAAATTTAAATAAATGGTGCCACTATTCGCAAAGATCAGCTTGAACAATTTGGAAAAAGCTAATTAGCACAAAACGGGTTGGGATCCTTGAAAAAGATCGACCCAAACATAGCCAAGCTTTTATGACTCTGTTGTAAAACTATATTTAGCTGTAATTCTGTATAAGGAAGCACTCATCCCACTAGATTTCAGAAGTGTGCATCACGGACCAGCCATGTGTACATAAAACTGACTCATCTCAACCTTTATTTTTAGGATCAGGCATCCTCACTGTTAATTAAGTCAGCCAACTACAGATTGCTTTATTTGTTGACAGCTCTGTGAGCAAGATCTCACGCCAGTCTTTCAGACACTGTTTTTGTACTGACCTCAATTTCATAATTATTCTGTCAGAAATGATCATGAACTCAGGCCTCCTTTGTGTTTCTCAAGTTTCTCAGTCATAGTCGATCATATTTGCGAAAGTTCTGGTCAAATTTCTCTAATGTATAACCATAACAATTAAAAAAGTTGTTTAAGGTTAGCTCATGTCTTTGCAATATTATCCTTTTGGATTACTTAAAAAAACTCCTTACCCAGTTTTACTGTGTGTGTACTTAACTGTGTTTTGATTGGCAGTCATTTTCATCTTATTTTGGCTCCTTTTCTGTTTTTCTATTTTGCTCTTCGGTGAATTTTGTTTCCCTTTTTCTTTTTTACAGATCCACGTACTGGTGAGTGCCCAGATTAAGTCCCCCCTGATGGTTTTTGCTCTCCTCCATCACATCTCATTTTGTATATGGGTTGTTTTTTAGGGTAAACCAAACTAGGATGCAGATGCTTTGATATATACTATCTAAAGTTGATAGTGCAGCATGGTCACTTCAGGCATTTCAAGATAAATCTTTGCTGATCACACAGGAAAAAAGTCCCGTTTTGGCTGTTAACGGATAATTTCCTCTGCAGTGTTTTCATTCTTCTATGATGATTCACTGAACTGTCGAGGGCCATCGAGCATTATGATCTGAACTTTTTCCCTTCATCAAGTTATTGTATGACCACACGCTCCTTTGTCTTTGTTGCTTTTCTCTTGCCCATGCCATGAGTCTGCATCCCAGTTTGTTTTGTTTTCCATTTGATGTTTATTGCATGCTAATGAAGGCAAATGGGGCTCTGTGTTTATTTGCATAAACAGCAAGAGGGTGTGATCTGGTCATAAGTGGTCATCACAACTTGTAGATGCATTTGCAGATACATGATAATGTAAAGTCTGAACACACCAGGTCCAAAGCCTCTGTGTTTTTTAGTAAGTGGTCTTAAACTTACTCTCCTTAAATGTTTTCCATTTTTTCCATTCAGTACTTGTGTTTGCTCCTTTGCACTAAGAAAGGTTCTCACATCTCCACAGCTTGTCTCCATACCACTCGTACTGTCAGCGGCACAGTTATGCCCCTTTTTTTGAGCAGCTATAACATGGTGTTTCAGATGGAGGCTAACATAATGATATTTTAATGTACCAGAGAGGGAAACCCAAGGCTTTGTTATCTGAAAATCATGAAAGGTAGTTGTCCTCTGAGCATTTTTGGGTCAAGGAGAGGTCTAATAGACGTCTAAATGTAGTCTAGATGACTGGTCTAAAATCAGGCTACCACAGGTCTAAAAATGAAAGTTTTCAGACGTCTAGTTTTCAGTGCAACGTCTAAATTCTGTCTACAGACATACAGAATCCAGACGGTGGGTACCCACTGAGCAATAGACGGCTATTAGACGTCTAGACGGTTGAAATCAGGTCTAAAAAATAACTAGATTCTGTATATTTTTAGACGGAATTTAGATGTTGCACTTTAACCTTAACCTATTCGATAACTATTTGTTTTAAAAAGCAATTGTGAGTTGCATAACTGATCTCCCAGTACTTAACCAACATAAGTATGATAGCCACTGAGCAATATACAGTGTATTATAGATATAGCCCAGACTTGGTTTAAACTTGGTCTAAATTTAGACTTTTAAAAAACTTTCATTTTTAGTTGTCGAGGCTACATTTAGATTGCCTAGATTAATTGAAAGTCCTTTGTTGTGTTGCTCTTTGCTCTGAGGAAATAGGCCATGGACCCATAGTTATGAAGCGGTAAACAACAGGTATGAAAATTGGGCCCTCGACATTATGTCACAATTACTCCTGAGATCTACATTACTTTCAGGTTTGTTTCTTTGAAGAGGGACACTCTCTTCTGGCACCAATGAGATCCACTTTTTATGGCCCTAATATTAGAGGTTGGGCAACGAGGAGTTGATGACATAACATTTTGGAATCATCTCAACATCATTCATGCCATATTGCAAAGAAATGGTCTTATAATTGGGACGAAGATGTCTTTATTACAAGAAAACCATTTCACAAAGGTCATTTTAGCAACACACTGTCCTGGCATCTGGACAGGCATGGGGTGAATATCAATTACTGTCAGTATCACAGAGAGGGACCTTGTCGCTGGTCCTGCCAGGTCTAAAATATGCTCCAGGCCAAATAGACAGCCAGCTCCATAGCTCACATCTTCCAGAGGACTCACATCAACACTCAGAGCGCTTAATATGAGGAACCTTTTTTCAAAATTTGCCTGAATATAGAGATGTCATCTGACCAAGGATATTACATGACGAGTCATGTACATTGTTTTTTTTAAGAAACAGAAACAACAGCCTGAATGAGAACTCTGCATTAGATTATTACAACAATACTCTTGTGAACTAAAATGAATTATTAAATGAAAAGTGGGTGAATGCATGCATTACCAAAACAGCACCCATAAACAAGCAAAAAATATTTTTTTTTCTGAACAAGAAAAAGAGAAAAAGAAAGTCCATAAGTTACAATTTCCATAATGAAAAATGAAAATCTGTGACCAGCTGCTTATCATACTTGGAGCTGCTGGTTTGGATCTTTGCTCCACTTCCAGCTTATTTGAGAACATACTTCTGTCGCAGATACTCATCTGACTTGCTTTCTGTTTTTTTTTTTTTTTCTGTTCTTTTAGGGGTGGAGGCAGGTTAGCTGAATGGTGCCTAAAATCACCAATCTGACAACATTTTAATGTGTAACATGCAATATGAGCAGAACTAAAAGAATCCAAATAACCATATAAGAGGTTAAAAAAGAAATATCCCTGCAACCTAAGTGTGAAATAAGAAATGTTGTCCATACTAAATTAGTTTTTGTTTACATAATTTAAATTATTCGTCTTGTTCTAGTTTCATGGAAACAAATAAAATAAAAAAATAACCTGAAGACAGTTGCTGTTTTAGACTGTGAAATTGCTGTTTATGTAGGTCTATGCATCATAATCAAGTTTTGCAAACACTTGATAAGTAAAGTGTCAGTGGTTAATTCTTCGCACATTGCCTCTAAACCCTACTGATGTGCTTTCAGAAACTCTCATACTTAAGTTGACATGATCTCCTGTGAATAACAAGAATAGGAATGTGGTTTAATAAATGTTGAACACATATTGTTAAATACTGTTCAAAGCTGATAACTGGAATAGATGTAGATTTTTTTTTTAATGCAGCTAAGAAAGCTGGGATTTTCTCGTGGAATTACAGCGTTACAAAGTTTGTCTTTTTTTTTTTTTGTAATTTCAGGCTAACTCTAGACCTTTAAGATGGGCTGAAAATGTTCATTTTTGGTAAAATCTATTGTGAGAGATGGTTTAGGCCAAATCTAGCTTTTAGTTATGCTTCTGAAGGTTTGGACTGTCAGGGTAACTGGCACATTGAACACCTTTCCCTCCTTTTCCACCCTCTTTCTGACTGTGTCATTAACTTTGAATCACCATGTCCCATTAGATTCACTAATACACAGTCTTTTTTTGGAGCTCCATCATGCTGAAGGTTCCTCTGGATCACTGCTACAGATGTTTCGCTGCTGTGGACCTGCCTGCTTTCCTGCTGCTTCAACTGTGTTCATCAATCTCTCCTCTGTCTATCTCTCTCTTTCTGCATTTCCTGCTATTCACTCTCTAAACCCAATGCAGCAGATGACTGTGTAGTTACTGGTTCTGCTCAAGATTTCTGCTTGTTAAAGGATCTTAATGTCAAATGTTGTAATTTGTGATCCATAATGTTGTTAAACTAATATAAGTTATGCAGAATATCTTTAATCACTCTTTCTCATTGCTGTTTGTGATTTTTTTTATTATCAAACTGTCAATTTACCTCATTTATTACTGTATTATTGTACTGGCTGTTGATTTATCTACTAACTTTGAGCTCTGTTACTGTAACACACAACCAAAGTAGCTTAGGTAGATCTTTAATAGTGGTGTATAGACCGTCAGCTTAAGCGGTAATGGATAGCGGGCTAGCTTCATTAGGTCTGTTATGCAGTGACTGGCTGCTAATGGTCAAGGTGTGAAATTGGGCATGAAATTAGGCGCAGTTCAAAGTTAAATTAGGATGGCAGTGAAGGAGCCTGAACTGCTTTAGATATGAGCCTATGTGTCGTTAAAACATCGGGGGAAATAAAAAATCCACTCACTGCTTGCAGACCTGCTTTTCCAACATGCACCTTATTTTTTCATAGCTACAAACACTGACATTGGTCAACTCAACCTGAAATCCACTGTATGGCCTTTCTATAGAGAGTGTAACCACCAGAATTAAGCTCTGACAGAGTGAAAAGGAAAAACTACATGCAAAATGGAGAATAACGGTAAGAGTTGTCATCTTATCATTTAACAAACACCTTGAAAAAACATGAGCAAATGAGTGTCACCATGCCCACACACGTCTTAAAAGGATCTGAACCCAACCTTTAGACTTTTGCCTGATATTCTGACCCAAAAACAACCTTTACCTCACAACAATCTCTAAGAGAAATATCAGGGAGTTTGAGGAAACTTTTTAGGCCCAGAATACAAAGATGCCTCCATCTGTCCCTGTGTCTCTGCCTCTTCTTACGGCATAGACAACTCCCTCACCAGCATGGCATCAGTTTATTCTGTTAGCAGGACACACTGAAATATAAATGAAGGACAGATTTAAAACTAGCAGTGTGTGTGTGTATGTGTTTGCATTGCTGAAACTGGATATTAAGACCCAGCTCGTGAGGGGAAAGGACGCAACATAAAACTCCGGCTCTGTGGTGTAAAAATTATTAATTGCGAAAAGAAAAAATGAATGGCTGTTAATATAAAGTTGAGGCGAGAAACAGATGTGGAGTGCTGCTGAAATAAACAAACACAACAAAAGGCGACTCTAAACGAGAGTGGAAAAATATCACTATCTGAAATTAGCTCAAAACAGCTGTTAAAACTAAGGGGTGAGCAGCTCCCTATCCTTTACAATTCCACAAAAAAGATATACAATTAAATCGCCTCGACACACGAATGCCAACACAGAATCTGTCGCTCCTCCGTGATTGGTTCGGCGAACTCATCCCATTAAGCAATCAGCAGCTGGTTACCATAATATCAACATCCTCTCACATTCACACCATTATTAAACGGGTGTCCTTTTATTCAGAGGATGAAACATATACTTGCCCTGACATTCCTGTTCAATTTTGGCCCATGGACACAAATATGTATATAAATATAAATGTATACTTATTTGGTCTAACCCATGTTGTGTTGATGGGGCAGAAGCATTTGACTGAAGCTCCTCCTCCACTCCTCCTCTACTTTTTTAATTTCAATCCAGAGAACTGCAGGAGCGTGCATTTGTCTAAACAGCTGTCAATCAACCACACTTTGTTACTCAAATAACCAATTAAAATTAACTTCTTTAAAGATGATTAGCATTATAACTAACTATAGAGACATTTATATTAACTTTATAGATGGATCAGTGCTGGAGCCAGTCCAGAAGGAGAACTCTAGACCTCTATGCTTCACTTTCATGGACCACTTGTGGTGCCTGTTTAATAGTCTTTTGTCCATAGTGATTACTTGCTTATGTGGAATACTGAGATAGGCTATCAGTAATGGCTATTGCAATCGGTGTGTGTGTGTGTGTATGTGTGTGTGTGTGTGTGTGTGTGTGTGTGTGTGTGTGTGTGTGTGTGTGTGTGTGTGTGTGTGTGTGTGTGTGTGTGTGTGTGTGTGTGTGTGTGTCTTTAAAGCTGTGTGGTGTAATCAATACTACAGGGACATTTGCTCTGGTCATTACCCTCCAGAAGGTTAAGCTTTCAGACTTCGTAATTCAGAGAGAATCACCATCAGAAAATGTTTAAAAGGACTTCTCTATTATCCCGGTCAATTTTATTTTTTTATTGGGCGGAAGAGCTTTGCAAAACATCCTATGACCCTTCACATATTATGTATAGAAAAATAGAAAAAATAACTAAAAATTACTCAGAAACAAACGCTCAGATACTTTGGCTAGCTAAATTTTAACAAGTAAAAACTTTGGACAAAAACCACAAGTTTTGGTGGAAAAGCCAGAGTCAGTCAAGAAAGGAGATAGAGGGTAAAGCAGGAAAAAAACAGATTCCATTTTTGACCAATATCCAAACCTGCCCCTAATGAAGTTTTAGAAAGAGTCGTGTATAGAAGACTGGGTGCCTTCTAGAAAACAAGGACAACATGTATGACAGTCCTGTATTTTACTTAAAATTTGATTTGTGTTATTGATAAATTGATAATTATTGATTTTGAGATTATGTAGTTTAAAAAAAAGTATTATGACATAAGAGGCATCACTTAAAGTTGGTTCAGAAGCTACTTATACAGCAGGTAACAATATCGAAGTGTAAATGGAAACCAGACTTCAAGTAAACCTCTTAAATTTTGGGTTCAATCCAGGGTTCACTTCTCTTGACAATGACCTAACAAACCACTCTTACACGAAGCGTTACTTGTTTCTGTCATACAAGAGTCCAGTTAAACTTCAGGAAACATGAAAGCCTATATAGATCTTTATTTGAACCCCATTTAAATTATTGAACTATCATATGGTGCAACACTTTTCCTGGTCGTCTGATAAAACTACAAAAGAAAGAGATGCAAGCCATATCATGGTCTGGGGCATGGTTGGCTCTAGTCATTTTGGTGCCCTAGGCTAGATAAGGATTCATTACACAAAACAGCATTATATAAAAGATGACATACTTTGATATTAGGATTTCTTCACCTTCCCCTCTTAACCCCACATCTTGTACTACGCACCTGAGGGCATGAACAGCCTTTTCATCATGAAAACGTATGGTAAATTATCAAGGGGGACTAGGCGCCCTTTCAGCATGTGGATGTGTAGTCTACTGCCAATATCATCTATACCAAGAGGTGGTCTGGTGTCAGCTCTCACACTGCTGGTGTTCTAAGGCTTGTTGAATGTAACACCTACCATAATGCTTGTAAAATCTATAAAGTTATAAATCAGTTTATGATCAGTTTATTCATTCAGCTCTCATCTGCTCATGTAAAATACTAGGTTAATAAGAAAACATAGACTTTAAGGTACTGTCCTGAGTGTTGTCCTGGATGCCAACTTTGAACCTCTCTTAACTTAATGATTAAACTACATTGTATTACAGCATTTTATCAGAAATGTTAAATGGTTGTTTGTTAAGATGTTAACTCTAACTTTGAATTCAAAGCTTATAATTCACATATGAAAAATAACACACACATACACACACAAAAAAAGCCTCTCAAAGTATCCCCTCTGCCTACTTTGGCTGTCATATTCAGTCCTCTGAACTGCTGATATTAAGGGTTTAACTGGTACTGGACCAATCCTGAAGGGGGAGTCGGGGAGAAGGGCCCCATCTGAACCTGAGAGATAGTCTTTGAGAAGGCTTCATAAAAACTTCTTTTTTTTTTTTTTTTCAAGAAGCAGTGGGATCAATTCCTGTGATGGAGAGAGTGGAGAAAAAAAGAAGGGAGTTTGACACAGAAACTCAGAGATGCACACTAGACAGATGATGAACAAGTAGAAGAACAACAAGAACTGACAGAGCAGCACAAGTATCATTGAAAGAAAAGAATAAAGGAGAAGTGAGCTGGGGGAGCAGTGGAGTGTTATCACAGCACCCCAGCCTCAGCAAATATAATGTTGCAGTATAGCAACAGGCAGCATGTTGGAAACCCCATTTGCATTGAATGAGAGGCCACTGCCAGGGCCTGCTGGCAGGACACACATCCAGATGAGGGAACTGAAAACCTCCTCTTCTGTCTCTGTCTACCTTTGTGTGTGTGTGAAACAGTCGAACAAAATAAAACAAATAACCCTGCTTCCCTTTCTTCATCTGAGGAGAGTCTTTTTTCTCTGTCTTTCTGTCCGTGTCTGTCGCATTTATGTCCTTTCACAATGTACTCTTTGTCCAGACTTGCAACTATTGTGTCAGAATAAACTTGCGTGTTATGGCTACGTTAAGTTTTGGAATAAGTAGCTGAAGTTTCCCTGATGCTCATACTGTTAGACAAGAGGTCGCCAGGGAGCAAGATAAACGTGTTTCTGACGGTGCACCAAATTTACGAAAATTTTAGGACTCATTTGTGACATATTTGCTAAATTAGAGGCATATCTGGTCTACCATTCTTTGAAAAAAATGGATATATAAGCTTATGACAAACATATCTGCTGGTCTGAAAACACTGGGAAGAAAAAATAATAGTCTACCTCAAAGGTTTTCATAAGTCAACTAATGAGCTAAAGTGCTGATTAACCATTGTGATATCAATTGAGTTCATGAGCGACAAGACTGACAATTTAAATACAGTCCTTTTTAATGTCTGTGTGAGGGGGCAGGTGTTGGCTAAGTAGCTGGGGAAAAAAACAGACCTATTTTTACAATTTTCATGTAGAGTAGGCGGAAAAAAACGACACATTTGACTGTTAAAATTCATCAGGATGAGATATTTTTTTCTTAAAAAGGCGCCACTTAAGCATGAAGAAGGCAAAATAAGCCAAAACTGCTTTTTCCTTAAGAGGTGCCAAAGTTGACACAAATCAAAAGTCCCTCATGGGAGCTTGAAGTGTTCTTTAAAGAAATAAATTCAGTTACTATGAGATCTTTTGTATCTACATCTTCTTACAATATTGATAAAACAGATGTGTTTTAACTAATGTGTCATTTAGCCTAAAATGACAGTTGTAGATCACATAAATTCATGTCGGAATAGGTTAAAAGTAAATCAAGTTTCAGGTCAATCTGGGTCAACTGTCACAAAAGAGACTGTAGAGGCAATTTCAACACACATCTCTTCTTCTGCACTCACAACAACATGAACCTCAATAATAATAAAATAATAAAAAACATCATTCAAATTTATTTTGGCACCAGAAGCAGAAAGTGACAAGAAATTGTCACAGGCGGACTTTTTCCAAGGCCAGTGAATTTAGGAAAACTGAGAGCCACTTGATGCTACATCAAGGCCCCTTCGAGGCTCATTTGGCTCAGAAGTGAGGGTAGAATACAGTTCTTCAGAGTGAAAAAGAGCTGGGAGCTTATCAAAATTTATTTCATGACTGCCTGAGCTCTCTTGGGTTGTCTTCTATGTTACGGATCAACAAGCTTTCAAAGCAAATGAGTAGAAGAGGGAGTGTGACTGAGAGGAATCAGAGGAAACATATAAACTTACAGTAGTGGAAGAAATAGTGCAAATCCTAATGGGCTCTGTAAAATGTGTGCACAGTACGACATGGGGCAGCCTATATATAAGAGTCAGACAGTTGAGCAATAACCAGTGGTTGGACTATTGTTGAGCTAATGCATACAGAAGTGGGGCTCCAAACTGAATAGGTGTGCTCACACGACCGACAGAGTGATGTGAGTGAAGCTGGATAACAGCTGATGTTTGGATAATCAATGACGTTGACTACTGTTACAGACACTGATTGGCAGATCTGCTTTTACACTTAATGCTAAAAAGAAACTGGAGCTTAATTACTACTATCAGTAAACTTTCTCTGTCGCTCTGTGGCAGGGCGAAGGTGGGGCAAGGAAAAACAAACTTGCCCTGCCCTGCTCTGCCCTGTCTTAGGCAATGTCACGTAAAAGGCTTGAGACAGTCTGAAAAACAATGGATGGACCTTCATGGAAGTTCCTAAACAGATTCAACCACTGAATAAATCAATCCTTGGATATGACTTTTCCTCAGCAGCACCTTCAACAAGCATTTTACTGTTTACTAAAAAGGAGTTTGAACACTTTGAATTTTAGTTTTCTCACATTTCTACCATGTACAGTGTTGTGTTGGCACAACACCGGTGACAACAACGATTACAAAATGAGCAAAAAACAAAAGAAAAGACTGAAAATGAAGATTTGTTGACAAAAAGAAAAGCAACGGAATGGAATGGAATTATTTTGGTTACAAGGAGGATGATGTCGACCAAAACACGTGTTCTGTGTTCATCTGTTGCCACAATAACGTCCCAGCACAATAAAAGCTAAAAATATCTCTGAGACAGACAGAAGCCGTTCTACTAACATTCACAAAAAGAGGTAAGATCAGAGCAGGTTAATTGTCTACAAGATTTGAACAGTGCAGCATAACATTAAGTGCTATTCAGGTCATCTGGTGAAAATTCCTGTATTTTTTAATATCGCAGGGTTGAAAAAAATCGCAATGTTAGTTTTTTCCAATATGGTGCAGCCTTAGTTCGGAGACAAATGTCACTCAAACTACGATTGGATAGAAACATCACGTGGTAAAAGATGCATTTAGAGTTTGTGAGTAAAAAAATGAAAAATAAAGTGTCTGGCAAACTGAGACAGTCTCATTGCACTACATCGTCAAATTATCGTACATTTAGCCTTTTTTTGATTGATCATACATCGTACAGAGGGCAAAATTATCGTACAAATACGATAATCATTGTACGCCCAGGAACCCTGACCACGGATGTTGTTGTTTGTTTCTCAAAAATTATAATTTGCTGAAGTGCACTAACCAAAAAGATATTAATCACAGTCTGAAATCCCGTCTTGTTTTGAAATTAACAAACCTTAAAAACCGAAAAAAGGATGTGAAGTCTGTAATGGACTAAGCTTTCAAAGTATCTCCATTATTTGAAGAGTGGAAATGATGGATGAGGTCCGTCCCTTGGATTGTCAACTAGCTAAAAAAAAAAAAACACTCACACATGCTTGCAAACTGTCACACTGTACAAACTGCAGAGACGCACTTTATTTGGAAGCTGCAGATGCACACATGGAGACAAATATGCACAGCCTAAATCAGCTTACCCATACACACACACACGCACACACACACGCGCACACACAGCACTCTGGCTGGTGGTTAATTGCTGCCTTATTAAGTCCCTGTAAGTTTGTGATGAGTCTATTTCTGAAATAGACACAGTGGGATGATCAAAGAGTGACAGAGTGGAGACAGAAAATGAACCCCACCTCCTCTGATCCATTCATTGCTCGGCATGTACAGATGAGTATATGTGCGGATAGGTGGATGGATGCTCGGTTAGATGGATGGATGGAGGACAAATGGCGGGAAACTCGCATAACCAAATCAGAGGAGATTAGCGGAGCGAAAGAGGGAGGTGCGAATGATGTGAGGATGAAGGGAGGGAGATTTATGATGAGGGGAGGGTATACAGTAGAAGATAGTAATGGGTAGTTGAAGAGAAATGGCAGCATAAATTTCACAGATGTGTGGAGACAGACAGCCAGAGTGACAAACTGGAAAAGGAAAACACGGATTGGAAAAAGCAGCAGTAAGAGAGAAGCAGATCATTTCAGGCCAGCTTGTAGTGTAATACTTCGGTGAGGGGGGCCCCCTGCAGAGCCAATAATCCCCTGCCTCGACAAAACAGAAAATAGAGGAAAGTTTTAGAAATGAACTAAATGCTGACTCCACTGCCTCTCGGAAATAAGAAAGTCCAAAATATTATTGGATTATTTAGCAGATTTCAGAGAGAGACAGGTTGATACTGAGGGTTTTGTTCAGTGAACATTGCACACTCTGACCTGCTTACTGGGATTGTGTTTGACTATTTTCAGCAAAAACCACTTGCCGGGGGTGCTTGAAGGAAAGCTGCAAGGATAATATAAACAGCAGCATCAAGGATGGATTTACAGTAAAAGTATGTCGGTGAGGCAACTGGAGTTATGTTTTTACATAGATCTTTACACTGTCTGTGAACTTATAACTGGGTTGAATATTCAACACCCTACCTTAAGAAAAAATATAAGAGGTTAATTACTGTCACCGCAGGACCCCAGCTGGTGACCTGATTAGATTCAGGGGGACTGTGTTACAAACGTGAAATATTAATGAGGATACAACCGTTTAGTTGGAACTACTGTAGCTGCTAATTGTTTTAAGATTCAGACCGTGTGAGAACAACTTGGCATGGAAGTTTCTTTTAATTAATTCGTTACCCATTTGCATAACTGGGTACATTCGGTGCTCTTCATCACTATTATAGGGTGACACTAAGCAGCTAAAGGGTCCCCTGTCAGCTTTTATATATCCTCGAGGTATTTTATGTCATTTTCGTCTGCCTCTCTTCCCCTGCAGAGTTACAGTAAGGTGAAGGAGAGGTGATCGCCCAAAATAATCACCGTATAATTCGGTTAAACTAGCAAGAGAGTGCTGGTCTCTGTGGATGACAAACATTCGCCCCAGATCGGTTTCTTGTCAACACATCCTTATAGTATTGACGTTTGTTAAGTCTTCTAATAAGACTGTGACCTGCCTCTTCAGTATAATCTTTATTGCATGTCAAATAACACTGCGGGATAGTCTGTCTACTTCTGCATTTTTACTAACTAACAGTTTTCTTCCAACACTGGACAAAATGTCCCTGCTCAGAGTTTGGAGGATGTGCCATGTGTGGTTTTAGTGATTTTGTAGAGAGGAAAATTATTGTCAATATCATGATATTTACTACTTTCACTCGAAAAGAGAGGTTTTTTCATGACTTAGTGACAGCATATGAAACACAATCTGGCTGTTTTGAATTAAGGCTCAACCTTGGTCAATAATTCCAGCATAGAAAACCTACAGCTCTGATAAAAGGGAAGATATTTCAACATGATTGCTCTGTCTTCTCCCTTCTGGTTTTACATGTACTGAAAATAAAAAGAGCAGTTTGAAAAATGTGCTTGAGATCGCCCATCTCTCATCAATCACATACAGTATGAAGAAGAATCCTATGCTGAGGAGAGAGAGGCCTAGTGTTGCTTTAAAACCTTTGTGATAAACAGGCTTATCGCACTGTAGCTTTACATTTCTTCAGAGCTTGGAAAGATTGTTCAGAAGTGGCTCTCAGCACAAAGAGGTTCAGGAGTTTATCTTCATGAGCTTCCTTTTAAAAATGTTTGAATGAAATCTGAGGCTCGACTAAAACTTTTTTTTTCCATGTGTCTCCAGATCCAAGCTTTTGTTGCTTCAATTAAGCAGGTTTCCCATGTAAGTTTTAGTGAGCGCTAATTAACTTGGGGAGAAGAATCTTCATTTCTTTTGAAGTATTTAACTGGAAAGTGATAAAAATAAAGAAATTTGTCTCCAACTCATGATCTCAACGTAACCATTTTCATAACTCTAATTAAAAGTTTTACATATTTTACTTTAGGATCAAGTTTTCACTGTGCTGTTGTTGGTGTTGAACTAGCAGAGAAGCCTCAAGGTAAGGGGTTACTTGGAGGATGAGGATGAGCGGAGGGGTTTACTCTCTAATGTGTGTAGGCAGCATGCTCTTAGCGATGAATTCAACAACTAAAACTATATCCACTTTGATTTGTACCCCTGCTAATGTTTTTCCCACGAATAGAGATCTGCACAATCTGCCACTTATTTGTATAATTATCTTAAAAATGTTGACTAGGGTGACGATATGTCCTCTTTTACCGGGACATGTCCTTTTTGGGGGGCTGTCCGGCCTGTCTGGGGTTTAAAAAATTCTTCAGAATGTTTGTATGGAAGCCCGTTTTTGCCAGTGAGAAAAAAAAAAAGGAAAGATGAGATAAAATGTTTTTTGTTTTTTTTAAAGATGAATTCAGAATATGCATTTAACTGAGTCAGAAATGCGTAAAAAAAACACTCACCCCGACCTGAAAAACCCTAAAAATTTTACAACTCCACCCCGCGTACAAGTGTCCTCTTTTTCAGAATATGGTCACCCTTATGTTGACAATATTGACAATAGCCTTCTTCTTAAAGCTACTATGAGAATTTTTTTATGTTAATGATACACACTTAAATTTGTACTGGTTTCCCTTTGTGATATCCAGATGCTAATGAATTGACAAATTGAATATTGTAATTTTAATGCCTGAAACGGGTACGCGAGGGTTAGGTGTCAGGAGCAGATTAAAAACCCTCCACAAAGAGATAAGGTTGGCTCTGATTGGCTACTTGCAGTTAGTTGCAGTTAGTTTTGACGTTATGGTCTGCTAGTTAAGATGAGCAAACCAACCAAAGGAACAAGTCAAGGCACAAACTAACTTTTACAAACGAACAAATAAACTAAGTTTCAATGTGTGCTATAGTCTCCACTTACTAACCAAGACAGAGCTTATACTGAGATGGAGCAAAAGATCACAGGTCGTTTGATTCAATTTAAATTTTTTTGGGGGGAGCAAGGTGCTGTTCAGTATTTTTCTCAGCCCTCAGCATGGTAAAATGTTCTTCTCATTATCAGAAAAATGTCTCCTCTGGGATCTGAGTCACATATTGATAATGACCGTACAAGTACTATATCATCCTGAACCTGGAGGACAAACAATGACAAGAGGTGTAGAAATCAATTTGGTGAAAAAAAAAAAAAGAGGTTGTTTTGGTTCTTGCAAGGAAACAGATGTTGGTGTCTTATCTTTTCTTTTTTATTTATTTATTTATGTTGGCTAAAGAAGAAGGTGATTGGACTGAAAGGTTTCTGCTCCACGTTAGATGCCTAGTTTAAACACTGAGAGCTGTTTTGTCAGAGCAGAACCGTGCTGAGACGACAGTGATGGATGACTCATCTGACAGTGTGTTCATTGCTCACTAGATTGTTACCTTCTGTGTGGTGTTTTCAAAACTTCATTTACTTAAGTGCATATTAAAGTGGAATAAAGACTTCACGCAAAACACTCCCCTGTGTGTTACCTGCTGACTGACACTTAAGCAGCTCACTCGTCTGTAAATGTCACTTGTCTTTCCACTCATGTTGAAAAGCGCTTTGCTTGTACAAGTGATGCAACTCATGATTTTATTTATTTATTTCCACTCAGACTTTAGATTATTGATTTCACAAATATTCCTGGTCAAGAAGTTTTACTTTACAAGAACTTGGTCACTGATGCTTTTAGTATATTATACCCTATCTTTGGCGCTTGTTCACAACATCTTTGACACTAAATATAAACAGCTACAAATACGTCATTGTGATATGAAAATCAAAGCTTGGCTGTATTTTTCTGTCACTTTTTACATCATGTTCATGTGGTATGCTACACTCACTTTTGCCTCATTAGAATAAGGTAATTTAGTCGCCTCCCAGACAGCTTTCACAGCTTACATATGGCTTATCAGCCGAAAAGCTCTCTCCTGCTGTTTACCTCATGGTTTGGCTGGTTTTCAGAGCATCTCAGTGGGACTAAATAAACCTGTTTATTTTGTGTTATAAGCTTGGACTCATTCAAATTTCACCGGGGACATTTAGATGGCAAAGCAAACACAATAACACAGTTGGAGTGAGATACCGTGAAGCTCCAACCAATCAAATCCATCGAGTAGGGAATTGTTTGATGCCACGTGTTCTCGTCTATCTGGAGATGTGCTTTGTCTGAGAAATACTCATCTGCCTTTCAGAAGAAAACTTCCACAGCCAGACTTTTCCACAGCTTCACGATACAATATCAAACATGATACAGAGACCACAACGGTATATCTCACGACACCATGTGTACCGCAATATTGTTGCTGTCCAATAAAAAACAAATATCTCCGAAAAGATTTATTTTTTCAGCAACATTAGGAAAATGACGTTTGGTTATTTACGGGCTTTGAGTATCCTGTTTATGTCCCACTATGTCGACCATGTTGACATTGGTTGTCAACCTTTTTGAGTCACGACTCCCAATTTCCCATGAACTAGTGTCCATGACCAAGTGTGAGAGAGAAAACAGCAGCAGTTTTGCCCTTGGTGATGAACTTTGGCTCAAGAAATGTAACATACAGGAGGGCAACACTATCATGGTTAGAAAAAATGTTTAGGTCGGCAAAAGCCAATGTGTGTAGCCAGGCATGGACAGGCCATTTGGCGTACCAGGCAATGCGGGAGATACGTGCAGGAGATACATGCTTTGTTGACACTTCCAACACTCAATGGAGTTACTTGTTGAAAAGATGATGTTATAAAATGTCTTTCCATCAGTCATTTGGATACCCAAAGCTACAGGTTGTAAGGGAGGATTATGGACCATACATTGTATTGAAAAAGTGGAGATAAGTGTTTTTCATTGGACAGCACGATATGACATATATCAAGATATGCATTTCATTACACAGTGGATTTGAATGATGACCACAGCCTACACAGAGTTGACCGCAAAAGCAGATCTTCATTTAAATGAATGGAGGAGGGTTACTGGCTAAACCCACAGAATCCGAAACAGCTCTGCTCCACTCCGGACCGGCAGGCAGATCAGATCTGCGGGCCAACAGCGCCCACCGGATTCGATCCGACCCCGCCGTCGTCGGAGAAACGCTCTTGAGATTACCAATATTTCTCACGAGATCTCACTAGCTCTCGCATGTTTCCCTGGGAGTCATAGATTGAGATTGACATTTTAAGAATAGATTCTGGATGACACCAGAACTTCCTACAGATTAGAAACAGTGAGAGGACCGTAGATTTACATTAAACTGAACAGGCTGGTCCGTCATTTGTTCTTGTAACATTTGGATGTGGGCATATCTTTATACATGAGTGTGTGTTGAGCCTGTACCTCATAAGAAGTAAAGATGAGGGGGACACATGCACTAAATTGATCATGGATAGTTTTTATTCTCTCTGATGGATAATAACTTATAATAGTCAAGAGTGTCAAATGTTTTTGCTTTACATCTCACACACTGCAGTTTCTATAATAAACTGACACGTTGTGATTACATGTCACAGCTCAAAATGATCAAGCAGCTGCCACAGCGCTGTAAGTGCACAAGTTTGAACAGATAAAGCATGAAAGTGCGTGAGCCTGTTGAGAAGTTGAGGGAGCTGTTGAGTTGAAAGCTTTATTCGGTGTTTGTTGGCACGGCACACACTCTTTTTTACAAGGCCCTCTTGTTGTTGCTAGCGGCTGATCAGAATGGTGTGCTGTCATGTGTAGACAGAGGTTTGTTGTTTTGCTGCAGTATCTCAAATGATAATGTTTTTGGCGTATTTTACTTTGATTGAAGACCGGCTTTACATCATGTGGTTTTGGCTCTACTGCAAGTGATTTTTTGGAGCACAGCCTTTTCCAAAACAGTTTGCTTTTTTTATGAAAACAAAAAAAAATATTAACCATTGGTAAAATAGATGTGCTACCTTTAACCCACATGTACTGTTTTGCTTGATTTTACAAATGAGGCATCCCTGCACTGCATATATGAAGCCTTCAACATTTAAATACATTCCTATGAGAAATGCAGTCAAAGTTTACCCACCAATTAAGTATTTCAGTGTATGGGTCCATAATCTCAGACAGCTGTGTTGGTTTTAGCTGATGGAACAGTGCTTATTGTCAATGACAGTCTGTCTAGATAAACACTATCTCATTAAAACAGCGAGGTACGGCGTAGTGGTCACATGCAAAAGGCAGAAAACGCTCTTCCGCACACACACATACTCGCACACTGAGGTTCTGCACATGAACACACTGATGCTGCTGATAGAGCACATTCAAATGGCAATTACTTGGACACATATGCCATAACATCTGTCAAATCAGTATCTTCCTCAGAAACAGTCATCTCAACAAAAAATAATACAAATAACAATAAAAAGAACATCTGGGTTTAAAACAAAACAATTTAGGAACCAAATGTGTGTCATTTTATCTTCATTTGTTTAATAAGAAAACATTTCCTTATATCTAGGATGCAAAACAGGCTTTATCCCAAGATACTAAACCATCCGCTCAGACAATTTTGGTTTTTATTAAAAAAAAAATCAGTGGATCACCAATTGGAAAACTTAAAGCTAATCTTAAAGTGCTAGAGATAAATTAGTATAAGATTTTTCTCAGGACATACATTCTTCATTAAAAATATGAGGAGCTGAAGCTTGTTGGTCACTTGTAGCTCAATTAATGATGCAGTTTAGGCTTTGTCTTTTACCTATAAGACCACATTTTACCTGTTATTTTTGTCTGTGATAAAAATTAAAAGACAATTTCAAACTTTCAATTAGAAAAGAGAAGTTAATCAAAAGTCTAAGCTTTTCTACGACTGAATTAACTCATTTATGCAAATGTCTCATATTGTTTCATTGAGCTTTTTAATTTTGTGTTGCAATTAGAGAGGAAAACACAGTTTAAGCTCATTCAGACATGAAAGAGCTTAATTACCAACACAGGCATCCACAGACGGAGCGTAATCGTGATCAGATGAAAAGGAGGTGTACTTGTGTTTTGGCTTCAAGTGGTGATGATCAAGCATCTTTAAATGTTTAAATGTCTCCAAATGATCCTGAATGTTGCAGCTAGTGTATGTTTTATCCTTCCTAAATCTTCTTATTTCATTCATAGACACCCTTCTTCGCAAGGGGATCGACTCCTCCGCATTCTCATCCCATAGTCCAGTTCTGTGCTCATATATCTGTCCACTATCAGCCCGTGAACTGCATTTACTTCAACCCTCCTCTTCCATGGTGTACTGACCCTGCTTCTTTAGTCAGCAAACATGGGTCATGTTCGTAGATGTATTAAATAGGCAGTGAAAGAACAATACAGAAAAGGAAACTCTAATAAAACTATCACTAGTTTTATCACAGAGACTATATCTTTATACTGTATTGACTCATATTTTCCATGAAAACATTTATTGAACAACAGTAAAAACAAAACCAAGTATAAATGTTTTAATTCTAGCATTAACAGTACTGGTATTTCTTTAAGCTCTGAGCTGGTGCAGCCCCCATCTATTCAGTACAACTGTCTGTCATGACAAGCAATCCATCATCAATCCATCATCTTCACCAGACATCAACTGGGGTTCACCTTGGCTCTTGTCAGTGTCACTATCCCCCTCTCACAACACATTTACCTTGCAAAATAATCACCATTTACAGTCTACAAATTGTAACCTTTCCCAGATTTACAATTTGCTTTCTGTTTTGCATCTCATTCAGACCCCAAGTGGTTCAATTTCAATCGCTTAAATTTTCATTCTTGTGGGACAAGTTATACTTTAATTTGACTTTACCTTGAAGAAATTGTTTAATCTTTCCCTAACTGAAAGATGTAAAGTCAGTGATAAAGACATATTTTTTTTCCCTTTTACAGAAATGTTATAAGTAAACACAAAGTTGCCGTTGCGGTGCATTTAATCACTTTCAATCTCTCTGCTTTCAAATGGTTATGCAGTTTTGTAACACTGAATGCTTTTATTTTTCACTACCTGTGATCTCTGACCTGGCTAGAGTCAGCACTTATTTTCTCCAGACTTGACAACCTCTGAAGGTCAGTGTCTCAAGGTTGTTAAAGGGATATTCCGGCATAAATTTAAGTTAGGGTCAAACTCACCGTAACACTGAGTTAGACACCCCCCAAGAGATGAATGTTGCCGACTGCTTGCTTCTCTAGTTATACCAACTTAAGCAATGACCACACAATAGCAATACACAGTGGTCTATGTCTCCACGCACAAACCTCAACCAAAAAGCCACTCTATAGCAACAAATAATGCTCAGAACAGCACTTATCAACAGTACAGAAAGGGTCCAAGCCATTGTACTACCCATCAAACATCTTTTTAGCTCTGCCTGATTTCTTTAGCAAAGAGACTAAACACAACTCACCTACTCTCTTCCAGCAGCCGCTTGTTTGTGGGGGAGCCCTGACGCCTCTCAGTTGTGGTGTGATGAATAACAATATCAAGGTTTCCCTGTAAACAATGAAAACAACAGTAAAGCAGAGGTAAGTAAAATGGTTTGCGAACTGAGCACATGTGCAATACATGAAATAAAGATCTGCAATCAGATTTGTTAGTGTTTTTGTGCAAGCTTCCTGCGGTTCCCTGAGTGTCCGCTTGAGGCTGGCTGCCGGGGCACTCAGACAACATTTTTTGTGGCAACTTCCTTAAGTTGTTCAGGATACAACACCAGCGAAAAAGCACAGCTGACTTGACTGACAGGCAGGCAAATTAAAACCATTTGTGAGGAGGCTCAAGGCCGGCCTCTGGCTGGTTGACCAAATGATCTGTAGAGTCAGTATTACCAATATGGTGACTGCTGCTTACTGGCTTTAAAACTCTGCTTCAGAGACATATGAGTGGCATCATCAATGCTTCATCCAGTCTCTGGTTTTTACACACTGTGCCTCATGCACTGCTGCAACAGTGTATACTGTAGTGCAATACAGAATCACACTGGGACACCAATGATACACCACTGTGGGAGGACAAAGGTGTGGTGAAGGCAGGAGTTTGTTATGGACTCAGACTCAGTAACCTCTTTTCAAAGGAACCATTTTTATGTGATAAGTTTAACCATCTTTTCCTTTTATTCTCTTTAAAGTCGGTTTACATAATAACCATATCTTTGTTTTATTTACCCTTATTGTTAATCCTTGTTTTGTTGTTGTTTGTTTTAGTGGTTTTCAAGAGTGTGGTTTGATTTGTCTGTGAACGCACTTTGTCATTGTCCTTTGTGTTTCAGATGACTGTATTAATAAAAATATGACAACAGAAGGCAAAAGCAGGATCAAATAACACCAGGCTTACAGACTGGCAAAGTCTAAATGTTTTTTTTCGCCATATAACAGTACACATCAGCATTTCTTCATGAGGTTATCATCTAAGCTTGTGAAGATATTAGCATTCTATTGAAATGTAGAGCTTTGGCCTTTTTGAAGCGTCAGCATGAGATTAGCATCACAGGGATGATAGCTTCTAGTCTGTGTCAATATTAGCATTCTCTTGTCTCTGCCGGTGTCATCTGCTGGATAAATGAAATTGCACATGAGCGTGTATAATAAGCATCTCATTGAGATGAGTGAGAGGTATTGATCATGTATTGATGATGTTTGCAGAAGCAATTACCTAACACAGTATGGATCACAGCATGACATGTAGGATGAGGCTGCAGATTCTGGTCTTTACTTAAATCCAGTACAAATGTTTGAAGTAGCAGATTAACCAGAGTATGAGGGCATCCAGACACAAAACACCCCCTAACAAAGGAGCAGTCAACTGTTGCAGCAATACAAATTGTCTTGTCCCCCCTTTTGAATCTGTGCAGTGAAGTGGTCACAGTAATGTCATAAAAAAAGGAGAGATGTATTCACTTTCAGTTCCTCTACCATCACAAACATAAAATGTTGGTTCTGGTGCGTTGATTCAAATCACCAACAAAGATGATTATGGTATACTGTGACCAAATGATAATAACCACACATTACTCTGCACTTTTTAAATAATACAACTAGCTGGACATGAGCTTCAAAATTGCAAAACCAACATTTACATATAAAATATAAAATACCAGCGTTGTGATGAGCGATTAAAATTCACAGTTAGCCCGAGTCATTAAAGTCCCACTCCAATAGTTTCTTTTCTTATTAGTTAAAGTGCCGTCAGTGCTCTTTTAATTGTGATGATGAAGTTTTTAGTCAAAGTCACGTTACCTGTGTCATTTTCAAGGGCTTTTCCTCTGCAGAGCTCCAGTAGCTCATTAGAAATTTGACTCTGAGTTGTGGGTGGAGACAGCGCTGCTCTGCACACTAACATTGCCGGTGTAGTGGAAGAAGCAGGTAACATAGGCGCTATTCAGCTCTCGGATACTATTGTCTTTAGGGACATGATGAAAGTTAATATCATAATTAACTTTCTTACAAGCATTGCAATCTGGTAACGCACATGAGTCTGGCCTGCATAACAGGGCTCCATGGGCGGAGCTTCGATTTGTGATGTAGGAAATCTCACTGTGTCTGAACTTGTTTGGGTCTGCCAGAGATTCACAGTGCTTTGAATGCTGAAATATTTTAAAATGCAATTTCGCACTTAGTTTTTACATGATTTGTCCTGTAGCATCAGAACAACGCTACATGAACATGAGGACAACAAGAAAAACTTGATTTTCATCGGAGTGAGTCTTTAAAGAGTGGGTATGATGCATTTTTTCAGACTCTATACTTCCTCTCTGAAACCTCTTTAAAAGCTTTACATGATTTTCAGGTCAAAAAAAGCCTCAAATGTCTCACTCTGGTGTATTATAATGCCCTTATTTCAGCCTCCGTCTAAAACACTTCGTTTAAGCTGCTGTCTCTTTGAGTGAAATCTTGTTTGATTTCCCAACACACCATTTTGAGCAGTTTACATCTATCTTCTAAGATTATGACAACATATGTTTACCTTGTGATTTGAAAATTAGCACACATCTAGTAGGACACCAAACACTGTAACTTTGCATTTTCTGTGCAAACTTCAGCTCCTGCTGCAGATTCTCGGAATATACTCCTCTGTCCATCAATACAAAGTTTTCTTCAGACCAGCATAGGATGGGATGTGCAACAGTAGAATGGCAGAAGCTCACACAGTCACTAATACCTCCAGACCTCCTGAAAGGGTTCTGATGTTGTTGCATTAAACAAGTTGGATGACCTTCTCTCTCAGACTAAAGGAAATAAAAAAAGAAAGAAATGTAAAACAGCTGTCTCCTCTTCCACTGCAGACGTTCGGAGGGGGGTTGAGCACTTCTTGCACGTCCTCCCTCAGCAAGGTTTTGTGTCTCAGGTGCAGTGAAATCTGCGAGGGCAGAGAAGACAGCAAGGGCAAGAAATGGGGTCGCAGCACAATTGCCCTGCCCAAACCACATTCTCCTTTCACAGACAATCTTTGACTGCACTCAGGCACTCAAACATCCATACGGTGTAAATGAATGTGAGGAAATGAATCATTGGGCCCATTTCTGTCTTGCCCAAATCTACCACTTAGCCTCTGCAGCAGTCAAATCAAAGAGCTTTAAACCGTCTCCTCCAGCCTTTTAACTTCCCTCAAACTTCTGCCTGCTGAGAAGTTATCATTTTATGAGTTTCAGTTTCACTTTTTTACCCAATGAACATTTCTAACTCTTTACACAAATTCACGCTGCCAAGAAACAATTGTATGTACAATGTATGAAACTCAATCATTTGACGAGAGGGTCGCTGGGATGTCATATTGACCAATCACCACTTTGATTTATTCCACTTATGTCCTCACTGCCTTTTAGCGCCCAATACACACTCGCACCATAGACTGTATCATTAAGACACACGCAGACAATGAAAAAGATGATTGGAGAGTGACAGTTATGGAGTTTGATTGATTTACGATTTCAGCCAATGAGAAAGAGGATTGGCTTTGGCTGTAACGGCTATAAAAATAGCACAGGGTAAAGAGCAGATGTGCTCTACATTTAGGACAAATGGGCAGATCTGTGGTCTCTGAGTTTGGTGCAATTACTTGCCAAACTGGGCACCAATTCAATAATACCAGTCAGCCATTTAGGTCGATGTTATTCTTAGGAATTTAATACATGCCGCTCCATGGGAGGTGATTTTCCGTTTCTGATAGACTGGTTTTGATAAGTCCCTCTGCCGTGTTTCGCATCTATGTCTAAGATAAACACTCTGAAAACAATGGAGTGGGGGGTTGGGGATTAAGATGGGGGCAACAGGGCAAACAAAACAAGACCAGGCAGATGACATGGCTTTACAGGATCATCCCTACCCAGCTCCTGGTCTGTGTGGCACCCTGCTGTCCTTTGGGTGGCCAGCTAAAAACAGGGTATTGTTCTCTTCTGCGGTGTCTGGGTTGTATAATCGAGGGCAATGGCCCAAAGAGGGATTGACACAGGATGCCTATCTATGAGATAAAAATGGGGTTTGGAGGGGAGGACTGGTTCAGAGTAGACTTTGATAGAGAGATATGTGGCAGCAGAATTTGTTCCCCTATATTGTCCAGAAACTGGTAGTGAGGTTGGCTGATGGTGTCACGTGAGTCTGATCAAACTTTACAGACTGGGCACTGGGTGGAGAGATAGCCAACAATCGTATCTAAGGCTGATGAGATGATGAAAATGATGCCGACTGGGAGGTGGAACAATCGTGTGCAAGCTCAAGAATTCAGTTCACACAGATAAAAATGAAGTAGCTAATACTTGTGGTTCATTTTTCCAACTTTGAACTAAGAACATCGAACCTCAAGTCCTGTATGAGCCTGGACTAACTGTGTGGGATCTTTTATATGAGTGGCAAACCCATATCTTTTATAAACAAAAGATTCTAACAGATCCTGGTGGTGTTTTTGGAGATCTAAATGATCTGTGAAATTACAGCATTGTGCACAGTGCTTTAACATGCACTGTATTCTCTCGAAGAGGGGGCAAACTCTTCAATCCTGCTGCAATGTCTGACCATCTCAAAAACACTGCAGAGAGAAAGCTTTTTTCCAGAGGGTGTTGTTTTTTTTTTTTGTTTTTTTGTTTTGTTTTGAGGTTTCTCTAGTTTCTTCCTGTTGCTCTGTTTTAGGCCTGGAGAACAGCACCACACCTTTTATATATGTGAATACATAAGGAAAGGAATCGATCAACTGGCCAGCTAACTGCAGTAGATATTGTAAGATCTTTTTAAACAAAATACACTATTTGTAGCATCTGTGGCAGGAAGTGTAGCTGAACAACATGAGGACATGCATGCAGGCCAACACATGATCTACACATCCCTCTCTCCGTGAATCAGTGCGTCATTTAAAAGAATCTGAAATAAGCATCAAAACAATCTTTTTTCTATGAATACAACAGAGTCCTCCTCACCATATTCTGACTCTTAATGGAGTCAGTACTGAAGTCCCAGTACAAGTAAAATGAGCCCCTAATCCTGAAAATCAGGACTGAAGTCAGACAGGTCCAAGTCCAGGACTCAAACCCAAGTCCTTAACAAAAGTGTGACTAAACAGATCCAATCACACACATCTGCTACTTTTCTTTTTTTCACGTTACTCGACTCGACTAGACTTGCCATTTCAAGTCAAATATTTTTATGTTTTTCTAAATCCCCAATTCTACTAAAGTTGGCACACAGAGATCTATGAATAACAACTGTTTATACAACATACATCTTATGCACAAGTTTTTCCACATTTAAAGAGTTTTTTTATACCATGACCTGGTAAAGATAGTTAAACATTTCTTTTTTTTAAATGAATAAAAGTGGTCTACTTTGTGCTGTTAACATGCAAAAATTCAGCAGGAGTTATTCTGGAGTGTTTTCACCTCCAGAGGCTCCAATTGAATGTCCATCGATCAGCTGTCAGCTTTGTTTTTTGAAGATCCATTATTAAAGGGGACTCATTAGGGGTGATACACTACATTTGTCAGTGTGGAGGATATTTTCACTTGTGTACAACACTTTGAGTTTCTGTGAATTTAACAATAAAAATACTTGAAGTAAGATTCTGCTCTTTAAACACTGTGTGAGTTGAAGTAAACTGCATAAGGATGAGCTACTTGAAAAACACTTTATTCTCCTTTTTTTGGCTCAGCTTCTTGACCTTGGCAGAGCAGTGTAGTGAAATATAAAGTCACGCTATGGTGGGTTGATTGATTGCAAACATGTCAGTCTTTTATTCCTTCTCTTCATTCTCTTCTTTCTTTTGGAGAAACATTATGGTAGAGAAGAGAAGGGAAGGGTGGAGCAATTTATCCAAAAAACGGCTTACTTCTACACACCGCACAAGTTTTATTTCTATCAGATGTACTTCTTTGCTCAGTGCATGACTAATTATGAATTTTTAGACAAACAACAGAAATCTGTCTGTTTTTTTCTGTGTATCACCACCTGTCTTACTTGGCTAAATCACAGTGCTTTGAGACAAACAAAGGAGGAGAACCGCATAGAAATAGGAATATGTGTATTTGTGTTTATGGTGTATTTAAAGATAGTTGTACGTCATGTTGGTGAATATAATTCAACTACCATTCCCCTGAAGAGTAGTAATATGTGATGGAAACAGTTAGTAAAAGTAAAATGCCCCTTTAAAAGTTAAGGTAGCAGCTAGAAGCTGTGACAACAGACTGCTGAGGGATTAAATAATTGAAATGGAAGTTTGCTTAGCTGGTGAGAGTGTAACAAGGCGTCCGTGCAAACAGGTGTTATTGTTCAGTCATACGAGAATAGAACATTATTGTTCATTTATGCCAAAGTTGCAAAGTCAAACACATCACAAGAATACAAATGATTCATTTTTGCGATGGTCCAACACAACATTCCCTAAAACATATCAAATAAAAACTAAAGGAAAATGTTTTTACTTGTTTTTGTCTGTACAACCTTTTCCCTTTTTCAGATTTATGATTTTTGAGTTCATAAAAGACTAAATTCTTCACATTTAGAGAATTTAACATCAGTCAGTTAAACTGTCAGTCAGTCAGTCAGTCAAATGTGCGCTCTAACCTTGATACATGTTTTTTTCTCGTGCCTTCAGGGTTCATCTGCATATAATCCTTGCTGCCGGGGTGAGAACTGAACCATGGGAGAATTTTCCCGGCAGATGTAAGGGTCACTGACTGTGCAGGGTCACTATATTGCAAGCAGACAAACTGAGAGACATGTAGCCGAGAGAGGGGAGGTGGGGTGGGGGCACAGATGAGCAGACAGTTACGCAACGATGCTGCCGACAGAAGGGAGAGGACAGAAAGGTGGGCAGAGCGGCAGAGATGAAGACAGGTGAAGGAAATGATCAGCAAATCAGACAACCAAAGCAGACAAGGAGACATGGAATGTTATACAACTAGACAAGAGGTCAGGGGGATATTTAGACAGGGACAAAAGACAAGGCCGACCTGTAGGTGTGCAAACTTGGCAAGCGGACAAGCTTGTGAAATCAGATGTGCCTGCAACCAAGAAAAGAGGTAGACAATGAACAGACAGAAACACAGACAGGCACATCCGCAGAAAGATAAAGAAGAGGGAGCTGGAAAAACAGAACAGCCATGAAAAGCAAAGACGAATTCAAAGAGAGAGGCTGGGTTGGGAAAACGTTTGGTTTGGTTTTAATTGAGCTTCATTTACTTTCACTGAGGTTAATTAGCAACATTTAAATGAACCTTAGAAAAGAAATACCTTTGCCAGACTGTTACCTGCAAGAAAACTGCATTTTTATTGGGAATTGACTGAACAAAGAATTTCTTTTTCCTTTGACTGAAATCAGATTTGGTCAGATGAATTTAGGGCGGATTCTTCCTAAAAGCTGCAGTTCGCTAAAATGTCATGGATGTAACCTATTCAATGCATTTTTGTTTGTATCTATATTTAATATTCATACTCTGAACTTAATGATCATGTCATGCTGAGGAATAAAGAAGATGACCAGTGTTGACTTGAGAAAATGTGTCCAAATATCTGATATTAAATGTTTTGAATATAAGCTAGAAACACTCTGTGGTCAGGATAGGGCTGGGCGATAAACTGGAAAATAACTGATACAGAAATTCACGACAATAACCAACGTCATTTTGCCAACGTCGGTTCATATTGTTTTGGATGTGTGCAGGTAGGCTATGGGCTCATGTCCCGTTATGATGCTGTCCTATGTCAGAGACAAGACTCCACCCCCTTCCAGTCTGTAAAAAAGAGGGAAAGACAGGTGAGGAGATGGAGGACAGTTCAAAAGTTGTAGCAGCTGAAGTAGACGAAGTTAATGTGGGAGGGGGTGAGCAGCTTGTGGAGTAGTTATTGTCCATTTATGGTTATGAGGTGAACTGCTCAATATACTGTGATATTGATTTGAGGCAATATCGCCCAGCCTTATGTACTACTTACCTAAATAATTTCATTGTGCAAAAGAGAGGTTTAAACACAATCTGTGCAAGTTTAGCTTCATTATGGTATGAAAATGATCTAAACACCCTTCACTCAAACATATACTGTGATACTCCTTCCTTTATAATACTTATCCAGATCCTAGAGGATGAATTTTACATGAAAAAACTAACAGAGAAATAATCAGAATATGATGAAAATCAAAACGACAGTGCAAACTTTCTCATTCAAGTTAAGCTGACCTGCTCCTGCAGAGGTAATTTTCAACATTTGTGTTTTTATATTCTTTCTATCACAGGCTAGAATTAAAACACTCTGACTGTGAAGCTTTTTTAGAGCCCTGTGCAGCACAGGCCTCATGTCTGATGCCTCATTGCTCTGAGGTATCAGACATGTAATAGCTGAAAAAACAGAATTGGTTTTTCGGTGCAACAACAACTATGATGACTCTTTCAAAGATCGGCTCTTAAATCTTACCTTGAATGTTACGATCAATGCGGTCTTCTGCTTTTTTGTTTAATTTGCTACAGTAAAGTATCTTTCTCTTGTATTTGCCCCAGCTGAAGCAGCTTTTGCATCACTTCTCATTTACTCGCTCTGCTTTACCCCTGTCCTTTACACCATTCATTTCTCCATGCCTCATTCATTGACATACACATCAGCTTTTTCTCTCGCCCTCCATCACTGTCCTTCTTTCCTCCACCCTTCAACCCCCCATTCCCATCTTAAGCTGCTAGGTTCCTCTTACCTCTCCATCACCCCTGCTTCTTTCTCAGCCTTTTCCACCAGTCCACCTCCAGTCACCTCCTCCTCCCCCTTTCAAATCCGTCTCTTTCTCTCCCTCTTCCTGTCCATGCTCCTTTGAGGTCATGCCGTATCTGATCAATCAGGGTCATTGATCTACCAATATCCTGGTCGGCGAGCCTCTCATTTCAAGACAGACCATTAGCCAATCATTAATCTTGATCAGACAATTACGCAATCATTAATCTGGGCTGCTAGTTAAACTGAGGCTGCTGATTGGGTCAGTGGTGACCTCTGGCCTGTGGGTTACCAAAGCAACATGAGGCCCATCAGTTTAACATCCCGCCTTCAGCAGCCGTTAATGAACTAATCAGGCGCTCTTAGATATGATTAAATAAAACAATCTCATTAAGAGCAGGTGGTGGCTGTCTGCTTTTGTCACACACACACACACACACACACACACACACACACACACACACACACACACACACACACACACACTGGTCATATCTACAGGGAGATCTCGTAAGTTTTCTCTCGTGTTATCATATATTGCATCATGGGGTTTTAACATGTTATGAACCAAACAAATTAAATCAGAATTAACTAATTGATAGATGTAGACTCAGATTTACTAACAGAACGAAATCAAAGCAGATTGCATCTGTTTAAAAGGATGATGTGATATCAACGCTTTTCAGCTAAAAGTAGGGCCCGACCGATACAGATTTTTTGGGCCAGTACCGATTATTAGGGGGGGAAATATCCGATTACCAATTAATTGGCCGATTATTTAAATTTGTTATAAATTGTAAAATATATATATGTACTGTAGATATTTACCGTATAAAGTATACTGTAGATATACTGTAGGCTACTGCTCTTCACGCCAACAGGAAGACCGACTGATCAACACCCCCCCATATGAAGTCGCTGCGCCATCTACTGGGTAAGTCGGGAACTTTTTAAATGGCGGAACATTTTCGAAGTGAAACCGAATCTTATTCCCAGCATTTTATTTCTGAAAATATCGGCGAAGATTGGCGAGTTTTGGCCGATTGCCGATTAGTTTAAAACAGGCTAAAATTGGCTGATTTAATCGACCCGCCGATAAATCGTTCGGTCCCTAGCCAAAAGGTCTTGGATCAAAATGCGCTACATGCATGTTTATATTCCAAGTGCACTAGCAGTCTGGAAACACATAAAAACATAGAGGAATGCACTGTAACTGAGACTATGCTGACCTGAATATTAGTCACTGTCTGGGTGCGGGAGTGAGGTGTTTTTGACGCACTTCTAGTACAATCCATTGTCCAATCCAAAGTTGTTGTTGAGTTATATTTTGGCCATTTATTGATTAAACGAAAAACAAAGAAAAAGACAGCTATGTCCAACTTACTACAATGGTGATGTTCAGGATGAGGGTGAGAGTGGTATCAGAGATAAGCAGTAAAAACCGTGTCCTCTTTTACCTTCAGGCCGTCGTTTTAGGGCCCCTGTGAGGGGGACTAAAAGATTTCAGGTCTCTTTTATCCCCAGTGCAATTTATTTATTGAATAGCAGTTGACCCTCAGGCTGCTCATGTTGTCTTGCACTATTATTGCTCATTTGCACACATTGCACTTTGAATTACTTGGCAGTAGTTTTTCTCCACTTTTGGTACGAGCTCTGGACTAAATTTTAGGTGGTTTTGTGTTTGTGTTTCTGATGTTGTGTTGTTATGTTTTTAATCGTTCTATGTTTTTTAAATTTATGTTGTCATTGCAAACTTGTCTTTTGTCTTACGGAACAATAAAGAGATTCTGATTCTGATTCTGATTCACTGCTTCACGTGTCCCTTGTGGTGATTGTGCGAGTAACAAAACAAAACCGAAAACATAATATAGATAAAATGACTTATACATGCACATTACCAAACATGGAAGCGACTCTACATTGTACATATAGAGGTCTTTTTGTAAAGAAGTGTTGAGCTTTTGCTGTGACTGCAACAACAAGTGAAACCGAGTTGATGATCTGTCTCTTTGGTTGTTTTCTAGGCCGGGGGGTTACTGTATTGGATTACAGTAAACTAACAGGCTTAAAGGTGTTATATGCAAACATAATTCCATCACAGACAACTTGTAGAGTTATGTAACTTCCAGTCCAGGTTAAAAAAAAAGACCATAAACCCTGAATAAAAACCTAAATGAAACATAAAGAAGAGTAAAAGCATGTTTTACAATCTATCTATCTTATCTATCTATCTATCTATCTATCTATCTATCTATCTATGTTTTGGTTATTTGACATTATGGGACTTGTTCATTTATAAACCTCCTCTCTGCTTGAGGGGGTTGGGTGGGGTGGAGTGGGGGGGTAAAGTGAGGACAGGGTTAAATCTCTCTGGAACGTGCGCAGAAGACCGCACTGTGGTGCTGGAGGTCTCGCCGGTACAAGTGTCTTTACATGGGTTTGACTCGAGCCAAGCAGCGCGCGCTCTCTGGTAGGGTTCCACCTTTGTTGTTAAACAAGAATAAAACGGTTTTTTTTCCCCCTCCGTCTCTTGCACCCGGACGAAGTGCTGTTGACTTGGCACCTGCGCTCTGGATGATAATGGAATTATTTTCCCTCGAAGCCATCAGATGTTTCCAGTGGTGGATTTTCCCTGTTTTGGAATGTATTTGATGCGCATTTACCCCTTTTCCCGACAAACTCTCCTCTTGCTTTGCTTCCACTCTCTGCTTACTGGAGTATGAGGATTTCTCACTGTTTCATTCCAAGACCTATTTAGCAATCAGTGAGCTTGAATGATGAAAATCTTTTGAGATGAAAAACAGCACTTTTCAGGATATTTATATTGCTTGCGCGCGGCTCGTGCCTACTCTCGCGCATCAGCCTGTTGTCTGTGTCCGCGGAGGAACGCACAACTTTGCCTCGAGCTGGAGCTGGAGCTGGAGCGGGGGCTGCAGCCGGTCTGAGTGGCGCACCGTTAGGGCCACTCGGAGAGGGGCATCAGCGGGGCGGCCCCGGCGTTCGGCTGTTTCGTGGTTGGACGGGGCATCCGGTGCAGCTGTGGAGCACGGGAGGTGAAGACGGTGGTGATGATGATGATGAATGGCCCGGCAGCTCGAGCTGGCACTTGGATCTCGCCACCGGTTTGTTTATTTTTGTGCGCTCTTCTCGTACTCCCGCCGTGCGCTTACTCGCACCCGCAGCCGTGCCAGGTGTTGAAACGGATCGGCCACACGGTTCGAGTCGGGGCTCTGCACGTTCAGCCTCGCTTGCTCTCTGCGTCTGCTGGAAGCGGCTCTGAGGATTGGGATACAGATCGAGGTTTGATAGTGAGTGGGGAGCGTCGGGCTGAGTTGGAAAAGCAGGTGAAAACAAGTGTCAGTGCACCTGGATATGGAAGTCTCAGGACTAGGGGCACCGTTAACAGTCAGCGGGGGGCCAACAGGAGTAAAAACCAGGCACGGCAACGGGAGGAGAACACATCACGGGAGAACCGCGTGTTCGCACCCCGAGACTCGGTCCTGCTCGCAGTAGAAGCTCTCAACCGGGTCGGATTGCTGCCATACAATTTGTCTCTGGAGCTCGTCATGGCTGTTGGGTCTGGGCTCGGTGAGCTGCCCGCATTCTCCTCCTCCTCCTCAACAGGCAGCCCAGAGGACGAAGACCCCCTGTCCTTTGTGGAGAGCGTGTGTCACACCGTCGTGGTGCAGGGGGTTTCCGCCATGATTGCCTTTCCACGGAACCGGGACGAGTTAGTCAAGTTGGAGTTTGTCTCGCTTGCGCTTCAGGTGCCAGTCGTCAGCGTTGTGCAGAAGGACTTTACGCGCCACAGTGAGGTAAAATGAAGAGAAAAAAAGGTTACTCATCATTCCTCCCTGCACTGCTGTTACTGCTGTGTACTGGTGATGAGTGGACATTGCCATAAAGCTGCAGTGGAGCATGTAGGTCTAGATCTACCAGATGTTGTAGGGAAATTAGAAATGAGGCCACTTATGCTTGAAATAATTTCTCCAACAGCCTGTAGTGCAGAAACCACAAAGCAGTTTCATTTTCAAAACAAGTAGAGCCTTCATCCCAGTTTTACAAAATGCTGCTCCTAATGAGATGTGGATCTGTAAGGCCTTTTTCTTTAGTGTTTCAGAGGACTTCCAAATTGTCACTTTCTTCTAACATTCAGACAAAAAAACACACAAAAAAAAAACGCTTTTTGTTGTTGTCTCGGTGCTCCAGGCGAGCATCAAATGAGCAAATCAGAGAAAGGCTGTGTCTATGGTGCTGAAGTGCAGGCACAGGGTGTCTTTGTGCAGAAAAAAGGTGGTGGTAGTGGTGGGGTTGGGGGTTAAAAGGAGTGTGTGCTCTTTTGTTCTATAGACGAGGTGAAGAGTGCAGCTTTGATTCAAAAGTCTGTGGCCCTAAAATAACATGACCTGTGTGTTTGTATGAATATTGCTTTGTTAATTTAGCATCTCACTGTGTGTACAGAAGGTTATTAATAAGCATATGAAATAAGAAGAGTGAAGGGTTGGGAGGAACATGCACACACATGCACACAACTGCAGCTGTCTAAGCCAAACCAAACCAAACCAAAAGATGCGCTGATACACACTATTGATTCTTCAACATTTTTGGCCTCCCAGTACATCTTTAGGGGAACTTTTTTTACACTTTGGCAAGTGTAGTAGAAATGGATAATAAATGTAGCATTTGGCCCACTTCAGGGGTGAAGACATATTGCATTATTCACAGGGACTTATTCATGCAGAGATATTCAAATGTGTTTCTTGGGTTTCATGGGTCCTAACCTGTTCCTTATTAGCTATATAATTTTTTGATCACTTTCTAGTTTGCTAATCGCTGTGATTCCAAGTTCTGACCTCCCGAAAAACAGAAACAAAAGGTGAAAAGAGAAGAATTTGGTTGACACTAGGGATGGGCGATACAGGTTAAAAAATGTATCACGATAAGTTTTGCCATTTTAGCAATAACGATAAGAGTCCTGATAACAAATATTAAAATTCCTATCAATGTTTTTGACTCATTCTGTCTTGGGGACACCAATTGGCATAGTCAAATTAGATACTTTACCACTAAGTTTAAGTGGTAGGTTACAGAGGAAAAGTAGTGAAAAGTTCATTGAAAACTCTTATTGCACAGAGTGAACATGGTGAGCAGATCCACTGTCCGATGTCAGGCATACCTGATTGCACTCATCTAAGCCCCACTCTTGAGGGAAATCCCTCATGTAGAGCCTCGTTCAGTGACGAGCTGCTCAGAAACATCTTCTTCATCACCTTCAGCCATGTTTGTTTGTTTGTTTGTTACTCTGATCTGTGTGGGCTAAGGCTGCGAGTCCGTCGCTCGCGCTTACGTCATCAACTTGCATTTATCGTAAGTTGGCAGAAATTTATCGTGGAGGAATTTTCTGACAATACATCGTGAACGATAATTTCGCCCATCCCTAGCTGACACTTCAGATAGTGAAGAATCAGCCTTAGTTTTGAAAAGAAGCAGAAGCAGTCAAGCTCTGGACATAAGAGATGTTTGTATCTGCAGCAAGTGCCAACAGCCCAACCTTTGAACTGCAACTCATTTTAGCTCACCGCATCAACATATTTCGCTCCTACAGTAACTGTTCCAAAATGATATAACATTTCCTTCTTAATCTTCTACGTGCTTATAGTTATTAGGATCTGTAAAGATTTCCTTCCTGTTTGATGGAAATCAACCTTGACAGCTGGCAGACGACCTGATGTTTATTCAATCAGCTTAGAGCTGGAAAACTGCTTTTGTGACAAAAACACCGACTGAAGATAATCTGTAGAGTTTGCAGCTGGAAAGGAAGGCAGAGAGAACAAGTGAAAAATGTAAACACTCAAAATTAATCACTGACATGGTCTTCTGTCAATACCCTGTCTCTGGAAAGACACCTGCTGGGAGTATTTGTGAATGTTAAGTACTTGTGGGTGAGAAGGAGAAGCAGGAGAGCGAGAGAGAGAAAGAGAGAGAGAGATTGAAAGAGAGAAAGAAAGAGAAGGAAAGGAATAAATGATCAGAGTGTATAGGTAGAAATCTCTCAAACAAGCACGGACTAGAACACACAGAGACACGCAAAATGACTTAGGTTAGCTATGCACTGTAAAGCCCTTTAATTAGGTGGCACAAACAGGGCAAGTACTGCATACCAATGTGTGTGTGTGTGTGTGTGTGTGTGTGTTTGTGTGCTTTGACTTGCACATATACAAGCATCCCGTTAGGGGCAAAGAGCATCGCCTCTCTTTTTTTTCCAACACACTCAAGGGAGACACACACATCCGAACCATTAGTTAGACTGAAGGGCTCTGGGACTCTTGCCACCCACTGAGCTCTAGTAATGTGTGTTTGTGTGTATGTGTGTGTGCATGTGTGTCCAAGGTAATATCTAATTTCCTGCCTTGTGAACAAGCTCTTGGCCGTTAGAAGTAAGCAGGTGTGGAAAGTGTGGCAGTAACAGGTGTAGGTAAAGAAGACAATCCGACAAAGATTGGTTGAAAAGAAGATGAATAGATAGACGGGTACATAAAAGGAGGATGGCGCAGAGAAAAATCAGTGGGGAAAAGACAGACATTCAAACAACATTTTCAGTCCACATTTGTGACTTTTTGAAAATGGCTTAACTCCCCTCTGACTCAAACTAGTTTTGCCAGCAAATCCCGTCAGAAGAGGCCGGAGGCAATTTCTCTATGGCACATATTTTCAAGCTGTCAAAACTTTTTTAATGTCTTTACAGCATCTGATTAGTTTTGATATGACCTTTTTTGACCTTTGCCTTGTTTCATCCTTGTAAGTCTGCATTTGAGCTTGAACATACACGATAATGAATCAGGGAGTGACCTTTGACAGCAAAATATGTACACAAATTCTTATCGAAGTGTCAAAAAATACAGCTGCGAAAGAAAATTCAGTAGAAAGACCAAAGTAAAGGGTCCAGGATGGTTGAATAGATGGGATTTTAGAGCAGATATTTTAGACTAGAAACTGATACATCCATCCCAAAGAGAAGAACATCTCCGGGAAACACCTACCTTGCCATGAAACGACTTATTTTAGAGTATACTAGGGCTGCGCGATATGGCCTTAAATCAATATCAGAAGATACATTGAGCGGTTTACCTCAATAACAATAAATGGACGATAACTACTCCACTTCGTCTACTTCAGCCGCCGCTACAGCTGCTACAACTTTTGAACCGTCCTCCATCTCCACACCTGTCTTTCCCTCTTTGTTACGGACTGGATGGGGTGGAGTCATGTCTGACGTAGGACAGTGTCTTAAAGGGAAATGAGACCATCGCCTATATCTACAAATATCCAAAATGAACTCTATGTATTTTTTTGACACCGAATATACCGATATGGGCAAAATGACATCTGTTATTGTCGCAAGTTTCGGTATCAGTAAATTTTCGGTTTATCGCCCAGCCCTTAGTATAACTCTAACTAATGTTGGCCCACAACAATAGATCTTGCAAGACATTTAAATACTAAGATATTGAGATCCTCACACAAATTAATGTTGCTAGTTAATCCAGTTTTGGGAATATGTGAAGAGCTCTACCATATGTCGAAGAATTTTGTAAACAGAAACTGAAGTTGATTCAATATCGCTGTGATATCTAAGCTGATGTACAAATTTGTTGGAATAAATATGTATCTATACTTATCAGGGATAGATTTATACAAGTGTCAGACTGTTTTTTTAATGACTGACCAATAAATCCCCTTGAAAGCCCTACATTCATAAATGATGGTGTAAAAATGTCGTCTTGGACGATGGTTCAGAAAGTGCCTTCCAGTGGCTGGAGCAACATGACACATGAAGTGCCATCCAGTGTGTCCTTTTTCGGGCAAAAATTGACAAGGAGCCTTCCTGAGTGCCCTTGCAGTGGTAAACAAGTGAGTGCACTCCCTTGAGGTTACCCTCTGAAGTCCAGAAAAGGGAGTGCCTCTGGAAAGTAGAAAATGTTAAAGTGGGCCCTTTAGGATGACCCTGGTAGTAAAGGTGTTTGCTATAAGTTGATGCCTCATGAGATGGCCCCTTGGACTACCTGAGCCCCCCACTAGCTGGGCTGTTTGCATGGGTTTAACTCACAATTGCATCAGTGTAACTAAGGCTTTACACACTATGTAGCTCGGAACATGTTTTAGCAGGACAACAACAACAACCCATTAGCTCAACAACCAGTCTGCAAATATGAATACATTTGCTTTGGCATGAGCAGTAACAGGATCTAACACTGAGGTCAGTGAGACGATTGAGCATAATCTGTCAGTGTCAACAACCACACTCAACCATTTTATTTGTAGGAACATCATTTATTATCGAAATCAATGAGTGTCGCAACTCTAATTTTGGTCACTTGTCATAGGATTGACACAAAACATGCAACTGATACCGCTTTTGGCAACACAGCAATTAAAGCCACGTTAAAGCTGCAGAATTCCTTACACATGAGCGTACACACACACAAATACTCAAAGTAAACGCCGGCATAAATGAACCAATGTTCATAAGGATAACAGTTTAATCACTCTATGCCTTTAGCATACACCCAGGAGTAAAAGTGAATGCCCAACCTTTGCATACAAAAGAGGAAACTTGTGTAATCATGTCCATTTATAAATAAAGGAAGCAATGACATTAGGAGGTCGATCAGAGAGATGGTTTACATCTACTGAAGTGTAATTTGGACACCTGGGCCGTGGAGGTTTCTTGCAGCTGTTTACTGTATATTACAGTTTAAAATACGTTTCCTAGTTATTTATGTGAGGAACAAAGAAGGGTTGCCGATTTATGGTGATCACAGTGCAGAAATGCAGCAGCTGAGAATAAATCCTCAAATCCTCCTTAGGGATGAGAGGAGGTGAGGGTCTGATGCCCAGTGGAGTGCATTACCATTTTTTTCTCCTGACACAGGACTTCTTAATCCGAAATACAAAATATGTTGTGTTGCTTTTGTTGATGTTTTTGTTGCAGCAACAATCTATCTGACTATATAAAATAAGCTAATGAATAATCATTGTTTTTTTAGTGTGCCTATTTGGTAACCCGATAAATGGGATAAGTGGAGTTACAAATCGATGAATAGAATGGACTTTTAGTGCAAATCTTGTATGATGTTTCAAAGATGTAAAGTTAATTAGTAGAGATGCTGAGGGCATTTTATCTTTGTGTTTTGTTCTGCAAGTATATGTGTGAGTGAATTCAGATAGGTGCATGACTAATTTTGATTGTTTCGGATGCCATGCTGTTGTGGGTTTGGCACAGTGCCGAGGTACACTGAAGATAGGCTGGCAATAATGCTTGATCAAAGTGAGGACACTTCAACCCTGTTGAACTTAAGTTAATCATGTTGACTAAAACATTTTTACACTGATCTCATGTTTTACTATCACCTATTGTTGAAAAATACTGGCATTGTATGGTAGATGTAAGACTGTGCTGTTTGTAACTCTCTGGTGCTAATCTGCTACTCTTGGGCTAATACTGATGCTAATGCTAAGGCTGCTAGCCTTACTGTCCATATCATTATCCAAACAGCAGAACTGGAGGATATGGACCTTTGAATGGCACGTTTACCTTTAAAGCTGTCAGATGGCTCCCTCCATAAGATCAATATTATTTACGTTTACTGTTGCCGTGTGGGACTCCAGCAGCTTTACACATCAGTTTGTTTTTGTGACATCTGAGGAGTTCACTGTCCTACAGACAAGATCAGATACTGTTTAAATCCAAGCTCTGAAAGGCAAAGGTAATCTGTGATGATTTATGTATTAGTTAAGGTGAACTGTGCGCGTTTCCCTCATTAGTGGACAATGCTAAAACAGAGGCTGAAAACAGAGCCAAAATAACCATGAATTCAATACTTACAACTCATACATGATGAGGGTAAGATTAGCTGAAACCAAAATAATACAGAACATATCAGACGTCTCATTGCTGGGCCTAAGAACATATGCAGGTTATTAATAGTCAAATTAGTCTTGGAGGCAGTAAGACAGGTGATTGATTGTATCTTTTGTGTGGTACAGGACCATACACAACACAATGTATATAAAAGTTATAAATGGTGGAAAACAAGGAACTTTTAAGTTAGCATAGGGTTTGAGAGAGGATAACGATATTCTCATCTTCAAATGTGCTGGTCTTTTTGGATTCCTTTGACAGATGCTAAAGTCCTATTATGGTACAGAGGGCTGTCATCACAAAACACACTATTCTTTCTCATGAGCCACCAAAGTGAAGGGCACTAGGTGGTCTGAAGTGAAACCAAACCTGGTCTGCTGCCTGCTGGTCATGGAGGGAAGGCTGCAAAGGCTTAATGCAGTTCCCTAATGCCTCCTATAAAGCTCTGACAAGAGCTTGAAGGATTTTCCCCAATGATATGAGCATTAAAAAGAAATCACCATTCATATTGGCTAACAGGTCCATGTTCATTGCCTAAGTGGAAAGACATTTGCGCAGACTGCCCCCCCTCTTTTCTGAAAGGGACTGGGCTCTATCTGGTTGAATGGACAGCAGGTCTGAGTGGGCAAAAGCTTGAGGGGAAATTTTTTAGCTGATTTTGGAGTGTTCAGTTGTTCTTCTAGCCTCCTACCTAAGGCAGTGATGTTGCTGCCTTCCCTCCTGACTGTTGGTGTAGCATTATTGTAAGTTCATTCTTTGTCCATATTCACTATGAATCTATTGGTACATAAAGCAATTGCAGTTGCAATTTTTGACCATGATCTCTTGGCAGCACCAGCTGTGCCAGCAGTAGGCGTGAATGTTTCCCAGGGTATCATGCCATCCATGTTTGCGCATCATCTCATCTTTTTATTCTTTTCTTAGAGACATTGGGAGATGAAGAAGGATCTCTGTCCTCCTGGTGGTTGGGCTGTGATTGGTCCACTGCACCCTCTGACTATTGTGGAGGGGTTTTGAAAGTGGAGATGGGAAGACTAATCCTGAAGTTGTTGATGGGTGTGCTGTCTACTGCATTTGGAGCACATGTGGCTCAGCCGTAGAACTGCTCATCTCTCAAACAAGACATTGGCTGCTTGATCCCATCTTGCCCAAGTGTCAAGATAATGCATCAGCTTTTATAGAGCTTTATCAAAAACCCTCAAAGCACTTTACATTGGATACATCATTCATTTGCTCACCCAGTCACACCCTGGTGGTGGTAAACTACCTTAGTAGGTACAGCAGTTTGCGCCTACAGCCTCTCCATCCACCACCACACAATTCTCACAAGGTCATACACCAGTGGAGGACACACACTGGGAGCAAGGTGGGTTAAGTGTCTTGTCCAAGGACACAACTGACAGTCTAGGGATGGGGGGAAATCGAACAAACAACCAACCAGTTATTGGACGACCACTCTACCTACTGAGCAACTGCCTCCTCTTTGGCTGATATACTAAAGCCACATTTTTTCAGTGCTTTGTCAATGGGTATGAATAGGATAAGCTAATAATACCCTGATATAGCATTCTCTGCCATCAGTGAATGAATGTGTTGTGAATGGGTGATCAGAAAGACTGGGAAAGCGTTATACATTTCCAGATCTTCCAGTAGAGTGTCTTTGAGCTCTTCAGCTAGTACTGGATTGACACCTTTAACTGATGTGCCCTTTGGCAGTGATGTGGTTAATCGGAAAAGCTCAGTCACTTCAGCTCAATGGTAGGTAGAGGTTGACATGTCATATCACCATCGTGTCAAGTGTGTCATAATAGCCTGTGAAGTTACAACAAAGGAGCCACAGATTATGTCTGTCATGTCCTGCACATCTTTTTCTAGTTAGCTTCTCTCTTCTCTTCTGGTCCAAGTGTACAACCTCAGTAGCAGTAGCCAGCTAATCAACAGGAAGAGGGTAACCGATCTTGTAACACAATAATCGTAGAGGTAGGATGTGAGAGGTAGATTTAGTTTGCAAATCCCTTGACCCTAGATGGCTAATTTTAGGGATTCTCCTTATAAAAACGCAACATCTCCAGTTGTAGAAAGTCAGTGCCAGATGAATCTGGATTGCCGAAGAGCCACTATGTCTTTATCTTTGGGAAAGTTACAGCAAGGTTCATTCTTAAAATTCCAGACCCAGTCCCTGATCTCAATTCCAATTTAAGCTCATCTTTATTGTATCTTTAGAGAACCAGTTCATGAGGACAGTCCTTTGGTCTCTCTCTTTCGTAAATGGTTTCAATTTCAGTGTGAAGAGTCCCCTCTCTTTGTCATTTCTGGTCCAGGTGAAGATCACACCTTCACTGTGCTCTGCCAACAAATCTATCCAGGTATCATCACTCAGCGAACACATCTAGGAATTTTATCCTGAAAGTGTTAGATAAATCGCTTAGACCCGACCAAGGACTCTTTGCTAAAGAGTCTTTTAAAAATGGGTCAGAGTTAGGTTTCTGAAGGTCCTCAGTATTTCTTAGAGCACAAACAGGACACAAATGCAAATATACATTTCTTATGATGTGAATAATGATATTCATGGGAGCAAGTAAGTGGAGGCTAAAAACCATTATATCTGGCAGACCGTGTTTGGTCTCCAGGAACAAATTGAATTCACAGATAGAAAGCAATTCTACTGTTTGGATTTATAACCTTACTGACTTTCTTTTCTTCTTCTTTCCGCTCTACTACATCTTTTTCTCCTTCTTGTTTTCCAATTTTTCTATTCCATCCCAATTTAATCCACTCCCCTTTTCCCTTAATGTTGCCATCATCTCCTTCTCCACTGCCTCTCCATCATCCCATTTCTTTTCTTTCCAACTTCTGTTCATCCAATTTCTCCCATTCCACTCTGTTGCAACCAACCCTCAATCCAAAAAACGCCTTGTTGTTGTCCTTTCTGCCCTCTGTATAATACGACTGACCCTCACCAACCCCTTCTCCTCACCATCTCTGCTTGTTTATCACTCTTGTCACCTTCACATTTTCAAACCCTGTATTTCCTCCTGCTTGTTTGCTTAACCATCCCTCATCTCTTTTCCATCTCTCCAATTCCATGTCCTATGCTCTTCTATCTTTATTTTTTTAACATACAAATCTTCTTCTCTTGTTTCTCCTTTAAATATACCTTTCAATCCTCCTGTCCCAAATCTCTGTCTTTATTTCTTTTCCCTCTTCTTTCATAAAAATGACACCTTTATCCTCCTTTATCACTAACACCTGCTTGCCCATTCGTCACCCATCACACATGCTTTCTGTTTATAATCTTCTCACAGAATCCACTCCATTTCCAAATGGCGATGCGGACTGTAGAGGCTCCACCATCTCGTCTCCTCTATTCCCTGCTGATGATGAACGGCTGGTGGGACATCAGTATTCTTCTTTGTCAAGAATGGGACATTAGTGACTTTCTCCTCCTCATCAAGAACAACACCCGCTTTCACTTGGGCAATCGTGTCAATCTGACAACTACCTCCTCCACCTCGACGTCTTCTTCATCTTCATTATCTCACTCAGGAGTGGCTTCAGGTGTTGCATCAGAAATGGAGACATCATCGGCTTTGTCCTCTTTACCTTATTTCTCCCCTGCTGCCTCGTCCTCCGCTTCTTCAGACACTTCCTCCGCTAAATCAGACCAACAGCAGGCTCTCATGCGGCAGCTGGAGGCCCTGAGAGAATCCTCATCCTCTTCAGGAGTGGTAACATTTGGGTGTGAGATTCGTGAAGTGCGCCGTCTGTGGACACTAGCCACTAGAATGATGCTCCCGGAGTTTCACTGGGTTTTGGGGGACAGCCAGAATGTGGCTGAGCTGAGAACAGAGGGGTTGCCCCTGGGGTTATTGGCACATGGGGTTATGGGGTCCCCCTCTCTGGATCACTATGTCCATGACTCGGTGGAGCTGGTTGCACGGGCGGTGGGCAGTGCAGCTCAGGAGAATCCTGCCCTGGCACTCATACCTGGAACTACTAACTGTATGGATGTACAACAGAGAAACGGCAGTTCGGGGGAATACTTGGCAAGGTAGGGTAACATTTGGATACTAAAATGATCTTTATTTCCACATATTTTCGTGCAATGAGTAATGATGATGATGATGATGATGATGATGATGATGATAATATACAAATGGCTTTGTCTTTTGGAAAATGACATTGTGTGTTAGGAGAACAAAAACAGGACTGAAAAATTTGCCTCAAAATGAACCTCGAGACTAAGATTTTGTAGAGTTTTCGACTTACACATGACAAATTATAGTTCTTTAGATGACAGCTTCGGATTTTGCATAACATGCTTTTCCATTTCAGATATGTTCGTGTATTTTTCTGTGTTCCAGGCAGCACTACGAATATCCTGATCTGATCTCAAAAACTCACGAGTCATTCAAAGTGTTTTATCTTATCTTATCTAGATATCTTAATGTCAATCATATCAACCATTTTATGAGACAACTTTGTACATATATTTATGTATGCACTGCACAGCTTCATACTGGTCATAAACATAGAAATACATGGAATATCTGATCTTGATTTCTGCTCTCGATATCAGAGAACGCCAAACATTTGTTCCCTCTTGGTGGACGCATGTTGGAGTAAATGCAGCAAAAGTGCATGCTTGTATGCCTCTGTTAAAAAAATAAAAATAAAAAACAGATCATAATGCATGCTCCCTCTGGTGCTTCTCCAGTAGATAAAATTCAATGACTTGGCCTCTCAGGTGCCCTTCACTGCACTTGATTTATTGCCTTATTAGTAATTGAATGTACAGGTTTAATAAGTTTATTCTCCAGGAAGTGTTAAAGGCAGTAAAAGTCAGTTAAAGGCCTTCATTAATTTCATTTCATGTGTGTGTTGTGATTTTTTACAGTACAGGGTCAGTTTTTTTTTAATAATCTGATAGATAAACAGATAAAATTTTGTTACAATGCGGGCTCCATTCCAGGAACATTTTGATATATATCATTAATTAAGGCTTTTCCTTTAGATTAATTAAACTTTAACCCCAAACTGTTGCATAAATGCTCCAAAATTTGAGGGTAAGTAAGTGATTAATGCTCAAAATTTCATTGAGTAAGACCTCCAGAGTCCCCACTCATTTTCCATCCATAGTTTGGTAAATAAATCCTACACTGTGGTTGTCTTTATCAGGTATACGAAATAATATCCCAATTATCTAATCTCCCAGCAACCAACAGCTCAGGTGTACCGTCCTTCACTTTTAGCAGCCCATCTAAGAGAACTCAGGCTAGCTATTTACACAGCAGAGTTGTTCTTTTAAGTCTTAAAATTTCTTTGTAATAACTTTGGAATTGACTCTGTTTCATCTCCTACCAACAGGCCTCATGGTGCTTCCTACTCTTCATACACTTTACCTCCACTATGCTGTTTACGTATGTCAATCTAGGGGGGGTACTAAGCAGTGTAGTTGCAATGTCTGTATTTTGCAGACAAACGGAACTGATTGTGTAAGCATGCAGGGTATTTCAACATACTCTCAGTAGCTGCAGCAGCGTGGCGAACGATAACACATGATGAATGGTATTTAGCAGCAGTGCCATAATCTACAGCCAAGTCACTCTATTTTACTGAGATATGAGCAATGACAAGTGTGTGATCACAAGCTGCATCACAATATGACTTTGACCTTTCCTCAAAGATTCTTCTCTAAACTGAAGCAGCACGATGATCGCCCAGGAAGGACGATTATTTGGTCTTGAAATGTCTGACAGAGATCATGTGCTGATTACGTTTACTTCCTCGGTTAATTTTTAAGACTGGTAATGTGTTTAGTGTTTCAACCACATTAATAGGAGTGTCGCTGTTTCAACTTTGAAGGCAGAGAGGAAAGCTGGTTTAATCCAAGACATAACATTCCTGAGTTTTGGAAAAACCACATATCTAGTCAAGGAAATTAGGAAGTACAAGACATATGCTATTGGTTGCAGTGGGTACAGAACATTTGTATGCTGTTGCAGTTTTTCAGTCATTGGGAATGCATTCATGCTACAGGCCTTCCTCGGAACTGACTCATGTTTTTTCATTTTTTTTTATTTCCCCGTGAGGCTCTATATAGTTAACAGGGACTAGCAATAAATTGAGCAGGCCATGACCTTTATTTAATACCGTTAAATATTCTCTTGCATAGAAGACATGTATTTGTTTGTTTTTCTGAGTGTGAAATGTATGTTTCTTCTTCTCTTTTTTCATTATCTTTAGTTTGATCGTAGTCAGTTTGATACATTGAGCTCCCGGTATGCGTTTCTTCTGTAACACTGTGGAGTTCAAAAAAGCTTTGAAGCTTCAAGAATCCTTGTATTTAGGTGCTGCTGTGTTGAAGTGTTTCTTGTGCTTACTGCGATGCTGAAAACAAGTATTTTAGTTGTTCTCAGAAAAAATCTAATAGATATTTCTTCACTTGGTGATAAACAATGACTGAGCACTCTTTTTTGCCTCGACGTCAGTTTTTTAAAGACTCTAAACCACGTTCATTGTTTTGGCTAAACGCACGAGGAAGTAGAAATAGGTTTCACTAGGTCACTGTATTCCATAAATTAGCTATAGGGTTCAAGGATTGTGGATGGCTGGAGGGAGTGTGGAAAATATCAAAGAGCTGGAGGTGTGGCGAAAGGCTGGAGTTGACCTTACTCCTGGTCTGCAGAGGAAGAAGCTGATATCTGCACATGAAAGTTGCTGAAAGTCAGATTTGGGAGGCAATTTCGTAGGATTTTGCTTCAGGGTATCTGGACATTTAGACCCTGGAGAAGTGCTTCGATACATTAAAGTTTGATAGCATTCTTCAATAATGCTATTTTTTTAAAGTTAAAGTTCAGCTGGGGATCTCGGGATGTCAATGAGAAGGACGGGAGCAGTGAATTAAACAGACAAAACGCATATGGACACTTTTTAGAGGTTGTTAGAACTACCTTCATGTCTCGTTGGTGTCTAATCGCATTATGGGATAGCTTCTGTCCTCTGTTTTTGTATGAGAGGATACACTGACCCCCTTTCAAATCTTTGTTGCTTGACTGAGGATTTTAAGATGCTGGCCTTTGAAACGACAGCTAATAAAGCAGGTAGTAATGTCACAGCTGTTAAGTACAGTTTATGTCCTACTCCAGAGTACTGCTCTGCTGCACTGGCACTTTTATGTGCGCAGGTAAAGAACTGGGGCAGTGTGCACAACGTGAATGAGGATCTGTAATACGACGCTGCATTGACTAATAATCCTTGTTTGATACTTGGGTGGGTGGTATGCCAGTTTCCTCGCCATCACCAAGGTTACATTCTGGCATCACATGGATTTTGTGTAAATGTCAGAACCAATTAGAAAAAAAGTTCTTGATTTGAAGACACCTGTTTCGGCTTTAGTTGTCACATTAGGCAGATTTATTTCCTGAATGCCTGTGCAGCCTCTGGTGGAAAAACAAAAGGTCTGATAACAGAGTGATTTGTGAACAACAACAGCGTATAGTGAATCCCAGCCTTCTGCTTGTTCAGCTCTGTCCCTTCAGAGCAGAGCAACAGCTCGCTTTACTAACCAAACAGCGCTGCCTTCTCCGTGTGTCAACACGGGTATCCTCTTCTACAATGAAAGTAAACTGTGGCTCAGAAATCAAGTTATCTCGTGTTTTCTCTTCTTCAGGCTTGATGTTTGCAAATAGCAGCAACACAAAGTTTTAGAGTGGCCTTTTATTGTGGCCAGCCTCAGGCACACCTGATTACACAATAATCATGCTGTCTAATCAGCATCTTGATATGCAACACCTGTGAGGTGGACGGATTACCTTGACAAAGGAGAAATGTTCACTAACACAGATTTAGGCAAATGTGAACAATATTTGAGAGAAAAAGGCCTTTTGTGTAAATAGAGAGAGTCTTATGGGGCGCTCACACCAACATCAACAATCATCCCTGCCAATTCAACCGGTGGGATTAAGTGACAGACAAGGATTTTTTACAGTTTACTAGGTAATCCGACCTCCTCACTCACTTTCCTCCAGGAGAGCTCCTTTTTATTCCAGTTTTGGTAATTGAAAGAAAAAGTATCATATAATTCGGGGCATCCACACACTGACACGATCAGTTTGTCCTCCATTTTAGATACCAGTAAACAACTGTCCATTTTCATACGTCATGAATATCTGCTCAAGTTGAGACATTTTCAGCTCCCGCCCAATTCGTGTCATTCGCGCCACCAGAGTAGTAGGAGCGTCTAATCGCGCCTTTGCATTGACTTTGAGTTCAGCTCATGAAAAATGGAAGCAAAGTCAAAAGCGTTGCGTTTATACTTTTGTTCAGTTTATATTAAAATGAATCAGGGAAGCACACAACTCTAAACTATAGCAGCTTAAAGTTTAGAAGAGTTTATAAACTCTATTGTATGGCTGGCAGATACAAAAGGCCTGAGTGTGTCCAATTTGAGTCATCCTCAACCTAGGATAGCTGTAATGAAATTTAGTTAATCTTTTCTACTGATGAAAATTTAAAATGCCTTTAGGTCACTTTTCCTCTTCATGTTCAGAGTATTTACACACTGACATTAATAATGTATGTCACTGTATGAATTAAACATGGAAGTACAATAATCTAATAACGCAAAACAATTTGCATTTGAGTTTGTAAAATTACAAAATTAATTTATTTCATAATGAAGGTAATCAGTTTCTGCTGGCTTGTCTGCTTGGTAAAGTATTTCATATCTAGATTCTTTCATTTCCATCTCTTATAATTTGATTAACAAAGAATGTATTTGAATCCAAAAACAACATTAGAGGGATATTAATCAAACTAATATATATTCTATCTAATTGTTCCTTTTGTTTATTTTTGAACAGTATTTCACTGTTCACCATGTCCTTTCCTTTGAACAACACTCCGTAAGCGTTTGTGAACTGAGGACACTGACTGTTGAAGCTTTGGAGATGAATTCTTTCCCATTTTTGCTCGATCTAAGACTTCAATGGCTCAACAGTCTGGGGTCTCCATTGTGGTATTGTGCGCTTCATAATGAGCCCCACATTTTCAAGGGGAGACAGGTCTAGACTGCAGGCAGACCAATCTAGCGCCTGCACACTTTCACTATGAAGGCACGCTGTTGTAACACGTGCAGAATGTGTCTTGCCATTGTCCTGCTGAAATAAGCAGGGTGGCTTGGATGACAGCATTATGTTGCTCCTAAACCTGTATGTTCCCTTCAGCATAAGTGGAGCTTCCACAGCTGTGACAGTTAGCCATGCCATGGGCACTAACACACCCCCAGACCATCACAGATGCTGGCCTATGAATTTGACCTGAGAACAGTCTGGAAAATCCTCTTCCTCTTTAGCCATGTCGAGGATAAGAAACCACAGGACACGGGAATATGTTTACAAAGGCATTCATGATAGTGTGTTTAAGTTTAAGTGGCCTGTAGGCCTGGAGAGGCAAACTGGGAGAAGTGGGACATTTCCCGGTGGGATGGGCTGGGCTGGTTGTAGGGCCAGCTAACAATGACAGTATCACACAGACTGCACTTGTGAGGGGAGGGTATGAGTGACCTGCTCATTCTCGGAATAGAGTTTCACTTGACATTAATTTTCTCTCACAGCCCAAAAGTACATTAAGTTGAGGACAAGGTATTAGATGAGAGGCAAGGTCAAAAATAAAGTAACAGAGAGAAGGTACTTCATTTTCATCTTACGCATACAGAGACCCACCCTGGAGCAGTGATAGGAGTTCGACTTTGGTCTGTCCATGATTATTCTATTTCATTCAGGATACTTTCAAAGAGCTTGTGTGAGGTCTGTCTCCAAAACATTTATGATACCTACTGAGACAACTTATCGACACAAAAGCAGCCGCTGCCCTTCATATTGTTCTGCTTATAATTTGACATAGATGACGATGAAAAAATACATTCCAGGGGACTTTCTTTCCGATTACATTAAAGAAAATCTCTTCTTTCGGTGATCTGGATGGATCGACCAATTACTTCTTCATATCAAGAACAGGGCAGGTGAGGGGTTACCAATTGGCGATCCACACTGACTTTACTTTGGAGAGAGTGGCACTCTTTATGGACAAACATCCTTAACAAGAGGTATAACCTTTACCTGTGAGTTGAGTCCACTAATTCATCATCAGAGCCCTCTGTTAAATGTGGAGCCACCTGCACATTGAGCTGAAATCACATACTCAGGGCATGAGGTGCCAACAAGCAGGGGCATGTGGCCCAACCTCGGTCAAAAAGGTCTCGCAAATTGGAGCTTAACTAGAAGTTAAATTAGTACCATGCTTTACTACACATTATCATAATAATAATAATGTTTATTTATATAACATCTTACAACATCCCAAGAGATGAACAAAGTGCTTTACGTAACAAATACACGGTCAAATACACAAATACAGGAAAAAGAAAATACAAATGTCACAGGATATCATAACAAATACAAATGTCACTGAATATTAAAAGCCTGTCTAAACAGTTGAGTTTTAAGATGGGTTTTAAAGAGTGCCAGGTCATTAATAAAAATGTTATTCAGGGGGTAGGGAGTTCCTTAATTTCGGGGCCGCAATTGAAAAGACACGATCCCCCCACTGTTTAAAATTTGAGGAAGGAACCTTCAACAGGCGCTGTTCTGGGGACCGGAAGGCTCTACAGCGTCATCTAAGCTTTATGCAATCGGACAGATACACTGGAGCAAGACAAGGATAGATTATCTCATAATTCTTACTTTTTATTTCCTTAAAGTGACTCAACACGGGATACTGGTTTATCAAATACCGCTTTTACTTAAATGCTTTCAATGAGGCTAAAATTACATGTTTTTGGTCGTGATTTAAAGTGGGCTGGTCTGAGCTGTAAAAATTCCAGGCTGAAATTGACTCTATGTGTGGCTGTGTATGGTGAGTATGCTCTACTCCTAACCCACCACTGCTTTCCAGTTGTGACTCAGAGAGCTCGCCTTAATCAGCTGACTGGTGAAAAATTTTACCTCAAAGTAATGGTATGTGACTTCTCAAACATCACTGTGTCACATCTCTGCAGGTAATATTAAATATCTGAGCATCTGTATGTCCTCAAGCTGTCGAAGCAGTTCAATCTAATCATCCCGGCACCTGGGAAATTAATGGCGTGACTTAAATTGCTGAACCAACTCACTGGTTTCCGTCTACTTTCTAAAAGTACAGCGACACTTGTAATGTCACCCCTTCTGAATGACTTAACAATTTCACATTTTTCCATGAACCTCATTTCTCTCAACACCTCCTGGTTTGAATCTCTCAGTTTTACTTCTAATATACACCTACTACACAATAGACCATTCAAACTATCAGGCGACATGTCTGTCTTGAAAACATAATTAACATTTAATTTCTGACAGTTCAGCAGAAAGGGTTTCAGATCACCAGCGGTACAGTCTGACCCCTTCACCAGTTTGAAACAACTTGGTTCTGCTCCTGAATGAAATTTAAAAAATAAATCACAGCTTGTAAAAATTAAATAATTAAGAATCTCCATGTTCTTCACTTTGACATTTTCTTTAATTCAGAGGTTCAGCTTGGGAACACTCCCTTTCCGGAGGACATGCTGTTAAATTCTGCCACCATATCAATCCTAATAAAACTCTTACCAGCCCAACTTACCCGACTCGTAGAGAAAACAGTGAATATTTTAGATCAAGAGAAAATCCTATTAAGTATTTACACATTTCTCAGCTGCTCAGACATCCCAATATCTCCCTGTCTCCATGTGGGCACAGGACCTCTTCATCATATTTGATCCTGAATCTGTAATAACCCCATTTACCGCAGTAACACATGACTTAACTTAAACAGTACAAGACTATACAGAGAGAAAAACGGAAAAAAAAAACACTTTTTTCTCTATTTTCTTTTTTAAGAATGATGTAAAAGTGTTGTACTTGCAGCCATAAGTGTTGTTTTTTGAATGTAATTATACTGCGTCTGTCAGAGGGGTAAAGACAGAGTGCTGTTGGAGAATATCTTGTTGTATGAAAGCCTCTCCAAGGGAACAGACAGAATTCAGCCTCCCAGCTGAAAAAGCTGAGGAAGGGGGATTACTGGGTATGCGGCGAAAGATGCAATAACAAAGCAAGGAAGACAGATCAGAAAATAAATACAGGAAGACATTCTCAAGTTATTACTGTAAATAACCCGTGGAGATATAGATACAGATAAACTACGGCAGGCGCCAGTCCTGTATTTACAGATAAGATTTAGCCAGCACAAATTTCAGCAACCTATTTTATTCATTTTTTCCCCACCAGAGATAACCCTCTTGGATAAAAATCACTTTGTAGTGATGCATACCCACCAAAGCCAAGAATAATACCCTGATGTGCCAGCCAGCTGAGCTATAAAGATAGAAAAAAGCTTTATAATAAATGGCCCACTTGAGGATCACATTCCCTGAACCAATGTAAGTGAAAGACTTTTACTTTGAACTCTTTCATGCTGAAATAAAGAAACAGTACTAGCTTTTGTTCTGCAACAGTCAAGGATATGAAAAAGATGTTTTGACCCATATTGGGAGAAAATATGTTCAATGAAATGTACAAAAAGAAAAAGTAATTTACAAAAGTGGATTTGCCCTTTTAACACTTTTCTAAATCTTTCACATCAGTTTTTAGAGTCGACGGTGATAAGAAAGTAAAGCCATATTTATGGATATACCCCACATTATGTTTCAAGCTTTATGGGGATATTCATGATGTAAGAACACAAGGGAGGCATGACCCAGAGACAAGCGTTATGTAATAGATTCACCCAGATTTAATTTTTCTGTTTAATATTCCATCAAGACCTCACTGCTTCATCTGCCATCACTTTTCCGTTTCATGGGGTGCAAATGAATCATGTATCATTGAACAGAAAGTTACGCCATCATTTTGAGATACAGTGTGTGAGGTTCTGCAGGAAAGGAAAGACTGGATACTGTTGTGTAGTGGACAGTACCTGTTCCTCGATAACAAGGTTCTTAAGATGCTTATCATACATAAAACTCAACCTTTGGTTCCTTCTTGGGACCTGGAGTTGGTCCATAGTGCACTTCAACATCCCCCCTTTGAACTCTGAGGGGATATGGACTTAAAATGGCTGTCCCTGAAAGCTGCATTCCTGACTACTGACTATAACATCTTAGATCCCACACTACACATACCATGCACAGTATATTCCAACTCAGAAAACCAATTAGTGTGTCTGAACCATGAGTACCAGAATTCAAATAAACTGAGGAAATGTTGTACAAGAGAAGATTGAACAAAGTTTCCAAAAGGAGCGGGGATAGCTGTTTGAGATATGCTGAAATTTAGCATCACTACATCTGGAAAAAGTCTGGTTTTGAACTGCATTTTAAGTGGGAGTTAAAAGACATACAGTATACTGATCAAAGAAAAGTCTCATTCAGATTCATCAGAGGCCAGAGTTAAGCCATGCAGGGAAAATATAGTGTTAGGCCTTGTTCCTATAAAAGTGTAATATACTGTAGTATAAAGTTATATGTCATCCAGGTTTATATGTCCCTTAAAGGGGAGCGTCAGTATTTTTCAACCAGGGCCCCATTTTCCCCTTCGTTTCCCAGGTCGAAAAATACTGGATTCCCCTTTGAGCACAACTCGGGATCATTTCAGAGATTCTGTTCAACATGCTTCTGTTGAAAAGAAAAAAGAAATGTTTATCATCTGGAATAAACTTCAGATTTATGAAGTTCATGACCGAGAAGGCAAGACCAAGAAAGGTGTATTGAAACTAGCTCACATACCTCATTGTATGTCTTTGATCAAGTATCAGCAAAGTATGTCAATTTCAGGGTATCAAAAAGCTTCTTATATCTTTGAATTTCATTAACCTGGAGAGTAAGCATCAAAAAAGAAATATCAGCAAATAAAGGAAACATTACAGAGTTTAAGTACCTACTTGTGGAAATGTAAAATTTGTGATTAATGTAGTTTGGATTAATTACAGATGTCAAAGGAATTACCATATACAGCTCAAATAGATTTTTTTTCACTTTTGAAGGTAAAACAACATGCATGTTTCGATTCAAAGACTCAATCAGGACACACTGAGATTTTAAATCATCGAGGGGATAGCTGACCTGCAGGTTAATCTGCGTAGTCACTTTGAGTTTGGCATAATCAGAGGGACTCAATAGTTCATTAACGAGTGAAGCCAAGCAGGATCAAGATCTGCTTTAATAATTCAAACGGAGCTCTACAGTTAGCTCATTGCCACCAGTCTGTTTTTATTTCCCTTTTCTTTGTTCGTGCTAAAACGAAAAAGAATAAGTGGAGTATGCAAAAAAACTAGCTTCCTCCAAATTCTTCCAATGAAACACACTCAAATGTTATTCATGTCTTCACTAACCACAAACTAGAGCTATTACAAAATGCGACCTTTTACCAAAATGTTATATTTCACTTTGAATAATCAAAATTCGCCGCACTGTCAAGATTGTCCAAGAGCATTTTACCTCCATCGTGTTCAGTGAGGGAAAAAAAAGGAACTTCTCTGTGTAGCCGAACATTTACAAGTGACAGCCAAGACACTGACCTTCAGACAGACTAGTTGAGCTGTCAGCCTAACTTAACACCTGTTAAAGATGTAAGAAAGTAGACAAGGTGGAGGAGAGTATTTCTCGTGAGCAAGGTGACACAAAGAGGTGTTCTCAGAAAAGGTCACATCATTTACATCATTACCTCCCAGGAGCATGTGGTTTAGGTCTGTTAGCGTTCGCCTGCGCAGGACGGATGCCTGCATTCTTGCCTCTGTCCAAACGCATTCCTTCCAATGGACAAGACTTTGCGAGTGTGTGTATGTGTGTCATTTTGTGTGTACTGGTGTGAGTGTGTGCATCTGCTCTGGAATCTGACACTCTCAGACAGCCAGTAGCATGGCTCAGTGAGGGAGACAGCGTGATCACTGGACCATAGCCTGCCTTATCCTGTCACAAACACACACACACATACATACGCACACACATACATGCATGCACAACACAAAAAATGGACTTTCCTTGGCAGCTAATACACTGAGGAAATTGACATCTGATAAATGGTGCACCTTCGTATCAGTTTTTTTCCAAGTGGGAAATATGATTGTGTATTTGAGTCTGTTGATCTAAGATGCAGAAATTATAAAATAATTCACAAAAACAGTAATCAAATGTAGGGCATATCAGCTGTTATGACTCTGAGCATGACTCTAACGCAAAGCATGCTAAAATTACTCTTATGAGGAAATTAGTAATTTAACTCAAAATCAGAAGATGACCTGAAACCTGAAACCTTGTTGTCTCATTCATATCTTCCAGTTATTCTAAGCTACTTACTAAATAATCCACCAGTAAAAGAACTTTTTCTCTAAATGGTAGGCAAAACTGTTCAAAAAGGTTGACATCGGCATGTTTTCAAATCTGTACAAGTTGACCAAAATTTTCTCCTAAGCTGATTAGAATGTTAATCGATGAATTTCAATTTAATTTAAGGTATTAATTAAACACAGGAAGTTTAAAAGTGGACTGAAGTGCAACTAATGCACACATTCACAAATATATCTAACACCTCCGCTCTCTTTTTTCCTCTCATCTTCCTTCCACCTCATTTTCTTCTCCTCATCCTGCGCAGATTTTTGTCCAACACATCATTTGAGGGCCAGAGCGGCTTTATATCCAGAGACAGTAACAGCCAGAAAGTCATCTCAGAGTCCCATCACTACATCTGGTCCCTCCAGCTGGACCCCCTGGGCCAGCCAACCTGGACCCGCTTGGGACGCTGGCGAAGGGGGAATGTTCTAATGGACCAAGGGGCCTGGCCAAGTCATCAAGGCTCCGGGGGCGGAGGTGACTGGCGACGATCCCAAAGGCTGCACATGCGGGTGGTGACTCTGGTGGAGCACCCGTTTGTGTTCACCCGAGAGGTGGACGGGGACGGGTTATGTCCAGCAGGCCAGCTATGCCTAGACCCTCTTACCAATGAATCTTCAGTTCTGGAAAAACTTTTTCAGAACCTTGCAGGACCCAATGTTTCCGTTCCCACGGAGTACAAAAAGTGTTGTTATGGTTACTGCGTTGATCTGTTGGAGAAGCTGGCAGAAGACATGGGCTTCACCTTCGACCTTTACATTGTGGGTGACGGAAAGTATGGGGGGTTCAAAAATGGCAGATGGACAGGATTGGTGGGTGATCTGCTCAGCGGTGCTGCTCACCTTGCAGTGACTTCTTTTAGCATTAATTCAGCCAGGAGCCAAGTTATTGACTTTACCTCACCCTTCTTCTCCACCAGCCTTGGAATTCTGGTCAGTGCTGCTCTTCTTCTCTCTCCTCCAATTCTTTTTTACCCATCTTTAATTTTTTTCCCTTTGATTTCTTCTTGTTGTATCTCTTACTTTCTGTAACTTTTTGGCCCATCTTTTTCTGTATTCTGTCACTGGCCTCAGCTCAACTCTCCTCTTGGTATGCTGGTGGTCGGTATAGCAGACTTTTATTACTGCAAGCCCTATGTTATTGGATTCTATTGCAATTCCCAATATGGGCTTCGACGGGTGAATGTTCGGATTGTAGAGCGACCCCATTACTACAATTACTTTATCGTGTCCCTGGCTGATGGGAAAAGTGATGTTGAATATCACTCTTCTCTCTTTATCTCCACTATAGAAAAGGATGTTCTGTCTTATTTAAAGTAATTGACTCTTCTATCAGCAGTTTCTTTTCTGATCCAATTTCACTCTAAGTATCTCTATCCAAGACATCAATGATACAAACAGCACATTTACTGGAAGATTTGCATTTGTTAACAGTGTGCTGCTGGGTCATGAAATACATTTTTGCTCAATTAATGCAAGGCTAGTGGATTTGTGGCCAATACTGTTCTGTACTGTGTTCATTAATTACAGTATTCAGCCTTCCCTCTGGGACTTTTTCTGCAACTCTGCATCCATATTAGGTTCCTTGCTGACATACTATATATAATCATTAAATTGGGAGCACTTGAGCAAAAACACTTAACCTAACACGGAAAAATATTCAGTATTTAAAACAGCAAAAGGGTTCTATTGGACATGAGATATTTGAATATAGTCAGAGTCCCTCTGTCCCTTTTTTCTTCTTCACGATCATCTCATTTACGAATGCAGGCAGAGAGATGGAACCCAAGCATAGAGGATTACAGTGGCCTTGTGCAATGTTTGATAAATGAGATGACTTTCATTGGTGGACAAGCTGTTTGAAAAACTGGTAACAAGTAATAGGCAGGTGGATAGACAGGAAAGTCAGAGTACTGTGCTGAAGAAAAGATAACAGAGAAAATAGTTGAGTATACTGGTGGAGAACAGCAATGGATTGTAGAAAATAGGAATTTGACTGCTCAGGTAGATTAGGGAAAGACACCATCACACCACTGACATTTTTTAACCCTGTTTCTGTCCTTGTGCAGGTTCGGACTCGTGACACAGCAGCCCCCATCGGTGCCTTCATGTGGCCTCTTCACTGGTCCATGTGGCTCGGCATCTTTGTCTCCCTCCACGTCACAGCTGTTTTCCTCACCCTGTATGAGTGGCACAGTCCATTTGGTATGACGCCACGTGGACGAAACCGTGACCGGGTGTTTTCCTTCTCATCGGCGCTAAATGTGTGCTACGCAATTCTTTTCGGGAGAACTGTAGCCATCAAGCCACCGAAGTGCTGGACAGGCCGTCTGTTGATGAATCTTTGGGCCATCTTTTGTCTCTTCTGTCTGTCTACCTACACTGCTAACCTAGCTGCTGTCATGGTTGGGGAGAAGACCTACGAACAACTGTCAGGGATACATGACCCAAAGGTGAGAAAGTCCCCTCCCGACAAAGGGTTACACAGCCAAGATGGGTTTTGAATGAATGCATATGAACAAACTATCAATAGCACTAGCAATATTTAGAACTGAAGAAGCTTCTTGGATAAGAGGCAAGGGTCTTCTCAACTCTACACAGTCCAGTTGCCTGATTTTGGAGTCTTCAAGAAAATATCTGAAATTGCTCTAGTTTTTAAGGAGATCAGTACCAGTCTGTGTGCAACCAAATCTGGAGAAGTGGAGAAGTTGTTGTTCTGATGTCTCACAAGATCTTACCTGTTGCAGGAAAACAACTGAGGACTCATGAGTGATAGTGGAAGAGTCACAGACTGGCCTAGCCAAGCTTTGTTTTAGCTAGTTACATAGCGAGATTGTTCTACTCATCAGTCAGACACACACAAATTCACGGGAAAAGAGGGTCCAGATTAAAAAATACCAAAGTTCTCCTTGAAAATCTGAAGTCATGCAAATGGACCCGTCTGCAGCAGTATAAAAATTAGATTTCTGAAGACACAACCCCATACACCACTTAAAAATATCCTTTAAATTAAATACTATTATTTATTGATGTCAGATCTGTTTTTACAAGTCTCGAATAAGTGATTGTTTTCCAGTTTTTGTCACAACGTTGGTCAATGGTTGGGATTATGCTGTTACTTCCTCACATCCATAAGGATTCAGAGACACTTAACTCAGGATCTGATGAGAGTTATTAGTCTTATACATCACTTTAGTCTGTTAGTCTTATACACTACTCCATGAAAAATACAAATACAACCATAGCTACTTTTTAAATTTTGTACAACTTAAATGCTTGACTCTCACACGATCTACGCAAGTGTACCTTTTTCCAAATACAAAACACATACATTTAAGAAATAGCACAGAAGCTGGTTTTCTATCCTTTTATTTATTTCTCTATTAAAGAATGACTCTGATCTTCATTTGTCTCAATTTCAGACCAAGAGTTTTGGTTGTTTTTTTTTTAACAGTGAGTCAACATTTTTTTTTTTAATTAAACTACTTTTGTAAAAGTAATTGGGCGGAGGTAATTAGCCCTTTTTGTCAACTCATCAGCTCTTTAAATTAGAAACGCTGATCCAGGGATATTGAAAACTTGTTCTAGACAAGAACAGAAAAGAAAAGAAAAGAAAGAATGAAAAAAAGTAAAGAAGAAATTAAAAGAAAAAAGACAGAAACACCTGATAAAACAGAGAGAGAAAAAAGATCAAGTGTGTTTTATCAACAGGGATCAATATTTAAGCTTTTTAACAACAATCTCAGGGTTAAATTTGAGTTCATTTCTTGTTTCTTGCAGTTGCACCATCCCTCTCAGGGATTTCGATTTGCCACAGTGAGGGAAAGCAGTGCAGAGGACTACGTCAAGAAGAGTTTCCCTGAGATGCACGAGTACATGAGAAGATACAATGTTCCAGCAACACCTGATGGCATACATAATCTTAAGTAAGGCAATGACACACTATGAATACTGCCACATTATTCATTTAGGTGTACACTCATAAAAAGGGGTGTGCTCTGTATACTAATAAGCCGTTTATCTAAACACCTCTCTCTGGCAGTTTTAATTCGATGAAAATGAAACAAACAAAAATAGAAATTAACAACATTACGGTTTTTGCGTGTCCAAAAGAAGAAAATATTTGGGAAAGAAATGCTGTCATTCTCCAGCACAAGCCTGCGTGTTTGCATTCATAACTCACACTCCTCCTTACCCTGCCATTGCTGTCATCCTAAGCTGCTTCAACATTCAACTGGCATCCCCATGGAGCACAGCAGAATATAGTGAGAAGAGGCAGCTGGAATACAGGCCTAGGCTGGGTAGAACACGATTTCAGAGGATGAAACAAGATTTTTTTTTTTTTTTTTACTGAGCTTGTAAAGTGATGATTAGAGGGTTCAAGGAAAAATGTCATCTTCGAGAATTACTTTTGGTGAGGACAACAACATACAAATCCATTACAATGTAATTTTGCTCAAGGTTTACACCCTAGGGGAGCAGGGGAGAGTTTTTGGACACCTTACATCGATGTAAAACACATCTATAGTATACTGACAGTAGTCGCCCTATATGTGGATTGAAATCAACATCTTTTTACTGGTCTTGTCTGTGGAAGTTTGGGAACTTTTGCTCTAGAAGGTGAATGTTTGAGGCATTTTCACGGTTGAAAATGTCATATGTTTTGAGAACAAAGAAACTTTAGCATTTTCAATATAAGATACCTTAATTGTTGTTTAATTTACTGAATTACTAAGGTGGATATATTGCGGTTATATCATGACACCTTGAAGAGCACTGGTCTTGACATGTTACCATTTTGTTATAGCTTAATCTTGATGCCTTACTGCTGAAGTTTGAACCATCAAATATTAACAGCCACCTCCCTGACAAAACAATTGTTAGGAATCAGAATATTCTCTCACTAAGGATGGTGCCTTTTCAGAATGCCGCCATCCTCCTCTTCACCCAAAGCAGTTGGGGTAAACACTCCCAGATTTAACATTAAGTCCTATAGTTAAAAATCATGATCCAGTGTTGAGTTCAGAGTTGAGATGCATGTCGATAAAGCTAGTTGGCTAATAAACCAAGTGACATACGATTATACTGTGAGGTGTTCAAGGTCAGGTCAGTGAAAGGAGAAGTAGGTGAGTGTAGAAAGTATATTATAATGATGTATTCAACGTCACATTAAAGGAAAACAATATGTAGAAAGAACTAGGTAACAGTATAGATGGGGACTTGAATCATGACGGAGTCTCGATAATGGTATTAGTAATATTTCAAATAAATGATCCCAATCCCCATCTCTGCCGAACCTTGGTTAGATTTGTTGGTCTTTGTTGCTTATTGGTACATCGTCACATAGACAGAAAAGAAATTCTAGGGCGTCTTGCACCTGGGTGCAGTGTCTCTGCCCTGAACAACCTCAGACATTCAGCATTTCTGTAACTGCGTCTCACATAGCCATGTATTAAAGTGACATTTTCTATTTGTGCCACTGGGATAGTAACAAGCCTAACAGCGTGAAGACAATTCAGAAAGGAGGCCTTGTGCTTTAATCACATCACCGAGGGAATTGGTTGGTGTTATGGTAGTGATCCGGATATAAAATACATAACATCATTGGTGGAAAGAGCAAGGACACATGCCGCAGTCTGATTGAACCAGTAATAATGAACAGCCAGGGTGTGCTGAGAAGATAGTGGTGGGTTTCAAACACTGTCCTTGATAAGGAGTGAAAAATACAGAGACTATCTTAAAAAACAGAATTGGAGAATTTGTATTCAGGTCAGCTTTGGCTGTCAGTAAAGACATTCCAAGTTGATTTGTTAAAACCTTACTGAGAGTGTTGTGACTTAATATCTCACCTCTGCATAAAAGACTTAGAGTGAAGAATGAGACTGGATTGGCAGATACTTGCAGAGAGTGTAATTTACTTGTATGTGACCAGGGAAATTACAAGAGAAGAGATATGCAAGATCAACCTAGGAACTGTGGGGCAACACTGAGAGGTTTTTTATGATTATTATTTATTTTGTACATATTTGATGATGTCCTCTGTGCTCTGTGGAGTTTTCAGAGGCGCATAGCAAACCACCTCCTCACCTCCTATCGGTGTTATTTTGTTATTATTTTGTTTTGGTTCTTTGTTAATAATTTATTCAAATCTCAAACAGCAAATGTGCATCACTACATCCATTTCCAACCATTTCTCCAAGAGAGTAAAGATGGTAAATAGACCGTCTTTATACGGTGCTTCCTCTAGTCTTCTGGCCACTTTAAGTCACCCATTCACACCACATCCACAAGCTGATGGCAGAGGCTGCTATGTGATGTGCTCATCAGTATTAACTGATCCCATACACATATTGCTGGACAGCCAACAGGGCAGTTTGGGTTAATTGTCTTACCCAACGTCACTTCAGTGTGTAGACATCAGGACTTAGGTACCCCAAAATGAGAGACAACTGACTCGACCACTGATTTCATGCAGAAGCTAAAGGGTACTTAGTGTTTTTGCATTATACAAAGAAGCATCCCTGTTCATCGACTGGGTGTGGGGTGTGTTTTCTAGGCTGCTCCCCAGTTGGTAGAATATTAATAGTATGATTTTACAGCAATCAGCCATCACATTGTGACTGCAGATGTGCATGTTTAGTCTACTAAATGACTAAATCTTGTCACCCACGCTTGTCGGCACCAACACAAGTTGGCCAATTATACATGGTGTGTAAGTCATAGCAGATCCATCCATCTGTAGAGTATGAACCACAGATCCCATTAATAGCTACTACCATACTGCTAAGATGCTCGAATGCTCTACTCAAACAGTCAGCCGCACTACCTGGATGTAAACAAGCATAGATGATACATAGTATGTCACTGTACAGCAAGGTTCGGCATTGTTTTGAATTTAAAAAAATGGAGAGACTTTTTTTTGTAGACTGTGTGATTAAACTGTCTATAAGAACTTCACTAGAGCGACATAAAAACAGTACAGGCATGTTAACATTAACCTATGAGGAGGACTGAAGGCTGGTGGTGCTCGCTCTGGTAACATTAGTCACAGTCAGCAGAACCTTCTTGAAATTGTTCCCTGTATCTGTTGCTCTGTGTTAGGTAGTGTTTGATAGAGTGTGCTCAATTTTTCCACACGTTTTTCTACAAGTCAATGAAATTTTTAAATCTGTGTTTAAATGGTTAGGAAATTCGGATGAGCACTGATTGAGACCATCAGCAGATTCATGTTTGGCACCTTCTCGGATGAAGGTCAAAATAGTCCAAGACAATGACCTCACTTGACCTCTGGAGATGGGCTGTGGTGTCTGGCACCAAGACATTTGTAGCAAGATCCTGTCCTATAAGTTAGAAGGTGAAGCCTCCATGGATCAGACTTTTTCCTATCTGAACCAGCATGTTCTTTTGAAGTATTTTGAGCTTCAGTGACTCTCTGGTTGGATCGGACCACACAGGCCGGCCTTTGCTCCCCTTCATGCACCAGTTAGCTTTGGCTACCTCTGACCCGCTCTTTGTACCATGGTCGTTCTTCCTTGGGCCTTTTTTGTTAGGCACTGACCTTCACTGCAGACTGGTAACACCTCACAAGGGCTGCAGTTTTTGGGATGCTGTGACAGTCAAAGTTGCTCTTATCTCACACTTGTCCATTTTTCCTGCTTCCATAGAATCAGTAACTGCTGAGACAAAATGTTCATTGCAGTCCCGACCACTAACAGGTGCCACTGTATCAAGATAACCACTTTTACTTCATGTGTCAGCGTATTAGTTCCCATAATACATTTAAGAAAAGACAGTTGGGTCAGATTATAAATCAACATGCTGCTTTAGCAAAGTTGTATGAAAATCACGCACAATTGCCATGGCATGCCACATTTTTGACTGAGAGAATATTTGAAAGAATGACAGCTATAAAGTAAGTTAAATATTAAAGCTGAGCCTCAGCTAAACAGGTAACAAAAACTGAAAAATCCCCACAGCTTTTCGGTGTAGAGAAACACTGTGTTTGTTGTTGTGTTGAGTGCAGTAAGTAAAGATGTCACTTACTTTCCTACATCTGCATTTGAAGTGCAATTCCAACATATCTGCTTTTGTGTTACAGGGCTGACCCTCAGAAACTTGATGCATTTATCATGGATAAAGCTCTTCTGGACTATGAGGTCTCCATAGATGCAGACTGTAAAACATTAACAGTTGGAAAACCCTTTGCCATAGAAGGTAACATTACAATTTATGACACTATACATCCTAACTGTTTCACCTTTTTATAACTGTTTAAAAGACATAAAAATGACATTTTTCACACTGAACATGTAAAAACAGAGGAGCACCAGTCTTATTCAGTTTAGGAAAAGCAAGCGAACCCTCTAGAAACACAGTTTTATTTCAAAGCTTTGAACTCTCTCAGACAGACAAAATCATTAAGCTGTAGTTCAGACAGGGTTATTTCATGACCAGGGCACAGAATGGAGGAAGAGGGAGACTATTCCTAATTTCTAACGTAGCCTGGGTACTTAGCGGAGCAGCCCTATAATTTAGCAAAAAGAAGAAGAAAAAACCTTTGATGAGTGACTGACTCAGACTTTGCAAAATGAGTCTTGAAAGAATGGCTTTGTCAATAAAAATGCATTGTATACCAAAGATGCTGTGTCCTTGGTATAAATATGGACATGGAAAACACATAAAAAGAGCACATGGAAGTATGTGGGTTGATCATATGTTTAAGTGCAGGCTCTGGCATAACGTAAATAAAATGGTATAAAATACTTGAAGTATGTGTTTTTATAAGCTGCTTCATCATGCAGGTCTTGTTGTCAGTCTAACCACTGCAGTTTTTTTACTCACTTATTAAAATTTGGATCAATTCCAGCTTTGAGGTTTTTTTTCCAATTAAAAATGAAAGTACTGGGTAATTCAAAACAAATAGTAGGAAAAAAGCTGAAATCAGAATCCTGACATCCACACAGTTTTCACTAATATGTTTTGGCTTTCATCTCTCAGTAGATTTTGGGAGGTCTTGAATGACTGCAGTCTAACAGGGCATGAGTATCTTGGCACAAACCTACATTTAAACAATATCAAACACACAACTTTACACGGTTTTAATCTTTTAGCTTTCAGCAGCTTTAGATCCTCCACTGTCCACTAATCTCCATTTAGCCAGTCTCTTCCTCCCTTTGTGAATATATTCCCATGGTGGTTGCTTCCATTACAGGCCACTAAAGCCCCATATTCTAGTGCTGTTGTTAATTACTTAATGCACACTTAAGCCTTCAAGATACAAATCATTCAGGCTACTTCCTACTAAGCCATGGTACTTCTTTAATTGGCTGTTGCTGATTTGTCACACTGTCCTGGCACGATGGGAAATTCTCAGATTTAATTGCAATCTCAAGAACCTGCTTTGTCTTAGCATAACAATGTGTATTTTTCCCCCAATAACCAAAAATAAAGAAGACTGTTCTCTGCTTTTCTCGTGTGCACACACAGCTGTAAACCGGTGATTGAAAATAATGGCAGCAGATGGAAGTGAAGTGAAAAAGAAATAATGATTCTGTACATTTCCTCTGGCAGGTTACGGGATTGGCCTCCCTCAGAACTCCCCGCTCACATCCAACTTTTCAGAGCTTGTTAGTCAGTACAAGTCAGATGGCTTCATGGACATGCTGCATGACAAATGGTACAAGGTTGTGCCCTGTGGGAAGCGCAGCTTTGCGGTGACTGAGGTAAGAGCAAAACCACCTGTTCCACACAATAATACAGTTACTGTTTTGACCAATATACATGGGGACAGACATTGTGTTTTGGTGTGTTTTTTTCCCCATATCATCACCCTTATGTGGTTCTAATATAAATATATTCATTTTTTTGGGTGGTCTTTACACGAGTATGAATTTGTAAGACGCCGGTAAAATAAACTATCGATCTGGTGATATTGACACACGGAGACGCGTATTTGTCCATGACTCTGCATCTTTTTTGAAAACGGGTCTGCAGGTGGATTTCAGGGTATTCGTCTTCAATAATTCTCTACAAAGACTTCCAGTTTCTGTTCTCAAATGTGGTTTTTTTTTGTTTCATCGCACTGCTTTCATCATTCTCTTTTCTAGCCAGGCATCAGGCTATTAGACCTGAAGAGTTAAATATATCATGTCACCAGGCAGATACAGTCTTCACTGTAAATCTACTTCCTCACAATTCCCAGACAAGAATGCCATCAATATACAGGAGAAGCTTTGCTGTTTTTATAAAGCTCTTGAAAGGTAACTTTACCAGGATTTCTACAACTTCTTTCACACCACCTCTTCTCCTGCAAGACCTCTTTGTTCGGTAGCTGCTCCTTACTAATTCAGACCCAAGCCCCTGACCGCCAAGCTGCCAGCCAAGCTGTGTCCCTTTACTCTTGTCTTGAATGGTCCGTTGTCCATTCTGTGCTGCTATTACCCAGCACTTAGCTCTCTTAGCAGCCTGGCTGTCTTTTCACCCAGATGTGACTCTTGAATCCCCAAAGGTGGCTCTATTGCAGTCTGCATATTTGGTAGCACCCTGTTGTCAGACGTGAATGAAAAACTCACTTCCAAAAACAAATCCATGCCCGTTCTCTCCACCGTAGTTATTCTTTTTCTCTTTATCTGTTTTACTTAAAAACTGTTTTTAAAGGCACAAAACGTCTGCTGCCTGCTCTTCATAAATTTTCCAAATATGAAGCACTACATATTGGGATGCATGTTTGAGTGACAGCTTTATCTAAAAAGTGATTCATAAATGTAAAAAACCATCTGCTGGGTTGATCTAAATAGCGGTAGCAGTCCATTGCAGTGCAGCTGATTCAGTGTGGCTGAACCATTTTCCTCTGAGTAAGAGATAGATGTGCTATAGATGCTATCTACAGTTGCAGACATTTAAATTGCTCCAGGTACATTTCATCCTGCAGTGTCTCGTCTGCATCTTCCAACAGTGAAGGGAGTAAAAGCTGCTTGACCACCATAGCTGTTTTATTCCTTCATTTAGCATTGATTTTTACCTCCGCATACACATATTTAACATGCAACATTAGTTATGTGTCATAAAACAACAATTCTAATGATCATCTCAAACTTAATGTCTCTCACTTGCTCATGCAGCTTCATCGACATCTTTAAATTCTAACAAGGGTATTATGTTTGGCCTAACCGTGCTGTCAATAGGCACACTGGACATTTCATCAGAAAATTCATGTGATGTAAGCAGTATGAATGTCTGACAAGGCTGGCTCAGTTCAGCTCGGCTCAGCATTTTTTTGTTGCAATCCTTTATTCCAATGAATGAGTGCTGCACCAGCAGCAACAGCGAGGCCCGGGATTCAGAAAAGAAGAAAATCTGATGGATTGGCTTCAATGAGGCAGCCAAACCCCTCTGGCACCCAGCCAACGCTCTGTCACCCCAAAGAAGCTGATCCCATTTAAAGTAATAAAATCAATACGAAGAAATAACATATAATTCAATTACCTTACATTAAAGGGGGGCAAACTCAACTTCTCCAAGAGATAAACTGTTATCAGAGAGATTAAGTTTATGTGGCATATTGAACTTATTCAGAGGTTTTAGCAGAAAATGAACACAATTAGAAGTTAGAGGGTAAAAAAAACCTAAAGTGGAGTTGTGGTTTTTCTATAGGGTTGGTATAATAAAGTCTGCATGCTGCCAAAACTCTACAGTATATGTGCTGATCTAAAGATGGTCTATAATGATGAGGAATGTTGGAGTGGTCTGGAAAATAATCACTTGCATCACTCCTTATGCACTCCGACTAAGCATTAGCTGAGATTAATGCCGTGTATCCTCACTAAGCTTGTCTTACACTTAAAAGATAATACCACTATACGTTTTATCCTCTTCTATCCAAATCAATTCTCCGGAAACTTCTCCCCTCCAAAAGTCACAACTAGTCTCCTCTCTCCAAATTTCACTCTAGCCAGCTCGCCAAGTCACGATACTGCAATGAAGGATTTAATCCATCATGAATTTTTTTGCCCAACATGACTTTATAATGCAATCATTGCAGCTGCTGCTGTATTCACACTCAGCAGTAAAACGATTCATATGAAAATCTCCATCTGCAATAACTGAAACAGATGCTCAATCAGGAAAAGTGTGATGACATCAGCTGATTTGTACCTTTTAGATGTGCGTTGTCGAATTCTTTACGGCTTCATTTAAAGACAATATTGAATTCAGTGCTTCCAACAGGCATTTCAGATTATACATTAATGACGGTTTTATCATGTTAATTATTTACTTTGGAGTCTTTTCTTTAGGTCGTTTAGTTCTATCAGATGTAAAGCAGCAGTACTATGCAGTATTCTCTGCTTTTCGCTCATTTTCTTTAAGCTTTCACAGCTGCAGATGCAGGAAACGGGGTGTTATAAAGTCAAGGGCAAAACAAGTCATGGCACATAAAATTGTAAATGCAGAGTTCTGCGCATGCAAGCAGGTTTAGATAATATTATCAAAAATGGAAGCAGGTGACTCTTGGAGCTGCCCAAACCCACTTCTAAAGACTCGGGAGCCAATCCTGTTTTTACGAAATATAAATGGAAATAAATTAAAAAGAAACTCACTCAAATCGTGTCATTTGAGTGTAACTTATTGCTAAACACCATCCCTGTTCCTGAGAAGCAGCATCTGCTTGAGTTAAATATGGAAGCCAACATTCATGCAAAGTGAAGTGTTTTTATTCACTTTTTTATGATAAGACACTGACATTAAATAGTGACAAAGCATGAATAGGATTAAACACATTCATTGTTACAATTACATATTGTCATGGCCATGCTTACTTTAATATTAGGCTTAAACTGATTAATGTTTGCAGTCCTGTTTACATGCAAATACATCATTTTAGCATTGCAGAAAGAATTGTACCAATACAGCCTGGGACTTTGAAAATAAAGGGTTTGATAAACCTCAATATAACCTCATTAGCTGTCTTTTACGAAATAATTTATAATCATGTTAACCTTCTATAACTTCACCTTTTACCCTCCATTTGAATCAATAGATCATTGTCCTATTCAATGTTAACCTTTCTTTCTTTTTCCCCATCTCTCACCCTGTCTCTCCAGACGCTGCAGATGGGCATCAAGCATTTCTCCGGTCTTTTTGTGATGCTCTGTGTGGGTGTGGCCTTATCTTTACTGACCACTATAGCAGAACACATTGTGTACAAGCTGGTGATCCCAAGAGTCAAGGAGCCACGCTTCAAATACTGGCTGCACACGAGCCAGGTGTGAAACTCATTCTCAAATACACACAGATACAACACACATCTTCTGTTTTAACTGTGAGTTTGTGACTCGTTCAGATTAGCAGGATCACTAGTATATCACTAAACTAGACTGCTGCATATTGTGTCTCTTACTTTCCCCCTTCTTTCACTCCAAGGTCTGTTTGATTTGTTATGCAACACACAGCCTTGATTGTTCTCCCAAACACTGGAAAATTAATTGTGAAAATGACTAATTATTAACGCATATGACAATGAATATGCCTCTTGTTTTCCAGAGATTACACCGGGCCCTCAACTCCGTCTTCAATGATGACAAACTACCAACTGTTACCAAGCCTGAAAAGAGGTACGGATGACGCTACTGACTTTCCTGACTCGTGCATATTTGGTGAACAAGACTTTTAGTTGAGTAAAACCACATGACTAATGCTGCGTTCCAGTTACCTCGGAAGTTTGATGTCAGAGCTGGGAATGACGTTACACCCGAGTTGACGGCGTTTCAGTAAACAAGTTGGAAAACCAAGATGGACGCCTACTTTTAGCCGTTGTTAGCTGTTGTTTACAATTGTCAGTTGTCGTTGACCGTAGACTGTTGTCAGTGGTTGTTAGCCAGTTGTAAACAACAATATTTTTTTCTTACAAACACAGTAGCACCGTGTTCACAGTTAGTTGTTGGGAGGTACAACATATACCACTTATTTAATTTCACAAAAACAAAACAGAAGTGCTAATAAATAATACGTTATGATAGCTTTCACTGTTACTCTTTACTGTTGACGCACTGCGCTGCCATCTTGGATTATGACGTTGTCGTCAAGTCCGACTCGCAGCTCGGAAATTCGGACTTCCGAGTACAACTGGAATGCAGCATCAATGACTGGAGCGAAAACAAACTGAACCCAGTTGTATGTCAGTTAGTAATACAATATTCAGGACTCAGGCTTATTTCACCTCTAGTCACGTAAGGGCAATTCATAAACGGGCTTCCAAGTGACTAAAGACCTTCCTGACAAAGTGGCATCAAAGCACTGCATCACCCACCAAATGAAATTAATTTCCCCCATTTAGAAGCTTAAAATAATGTCACCTAACTGAATTTTGGACAGCAGATAAACAAACAAATTTACCACGAATAGAGAGAGTGTCATGCTGAATCCAGGCACAGAGAGCTAATTTTCAAAAGGAATCGGTCCAATGGTTGGATTAACAGGCTGTGAATAAATGACACCAATCGACATCCAAGTGGCAGCTAAAAGACCCTTTTTTAATCAGAAACTAAATACAATGGTCAGTCTGTTGGAAGCTAATTATAGCCAAGGGAAAGTGAGAAAATAATTCCATGCTAACGTCACAGAGTATTGTTTGGCTCAGTGGGTGAGGAAAAGATTTAGTAAATCACGACAGCTTCTTTTTGGTCAGAGTCAGTGTGTTTCCAAATGTTGCCTGGTCCAGAATCGTTATATAAACTCTCTCTGTCATTTTGACACCGCTACAGTGTGTGTCCTTGTGTAGCCCCTTTTTTCGCACTGGTCATTGCTCACACTGCAATGCTTGATGTCTCAACCGAGCTTTAGATAAGCGTATCTGCTGTAGGATAAGCAAAATGGATTTTTTTTTTTTTTTAACTCATTTACACATTTCTCAAGCATTTGCTGAGCGAATGATCTTTCTCTGTTTGAAATGTTCAGCTGTGCTCTATTTCACATCCCTCCCCTACTTAGCGCCACACGCAGAGGGGACACTCAGGTGGAGCTCTCAGAGTGGGGATTAAATACACGTAATGATTATGGAGCCAAGGCCATGTGAGGGATGCCAGTGGTAATGAGGATAGATTACCTACTCCTGCATAATTAGGCTCATTCAATCAGGCTCTTCCGCACTATGTCTGCACACAGTCTAATCGTCAGGAGTTATTACTGTCATATTGTCAATGTCCCACAGAAATCTCGTGTCAGAAATGACTGTATTCCAAGCGCTGCAGAAAAAGAGGAGATGATCCTTACATTTGTGTTTTGCAGATCTACAAAAAAATCCTACTCCATGCATCTGTCACCAGTACATTGCTGCGGGCGAGTCATGTACTTAATCCTGTGTTCAATAAGTAGGCAATATGTAACCAAATGAAGCATACTGGCAAAAAATTAATTGGCTTAAAACCACTGCTTTGGAAATGAAGAAGATTATGGGTCTATCGTGAGCGTGCTAATAAGGTTGTTGCTGAAAGGCATTAGAGAAATGTCTGTCTGAGAGAACCATCAGTACCGTATAAAACTCTTTAACAGTGTGCAATGTCCAATTAAGATCTTGTGATTTAGTATCAAACCAAGGCCTAATGGTGATCCATGCTAAAATGTTAATCAGGTATCACTTTTCATCCTCGTAATATCTCAAATCATCAGCCATGAAATATTTCCCTTTATTGAGAAATTATCTGGGACCATTTCTTCCACCTCTTATATCCACTTCCCATTTCTGATATTGGCCATAACTAATTGAGGTCAGTATAACCATCAAGCGTTACTGAAATACATTCTTCGATTTTACTTTTCTCTGTTTTTTCAAAGTAATTTTTAGTATTTTATATTTGATATATTTGTTGACATATAATATATAGGCTGCAGTAAATAAGGCAATGTCGTCCCTGTTAGGAAACAATCTGTACTTTTGTTTTTGTAATAGCACTCTTAAAATCACATATTTTTCCCCAGAAGAACAAGGTTTTCTGGCAACCTGAGCTATTCTGCAGCGGTGAAATAATTGAGCCTCTCTGTCTCAGTTCTACTGTGTATTTCTTCAAGGCACACTGCCATGACGATTTTTAGGGAGCGTAATCACAAAAGAAAGGAGCCTCACTGCGAGCTTTATACATAAGAGAGAAAAAAGAGGTTTGTATCAAGCTGATGATCAAAGCTTTGAAAAGCTGTGCCGCTGATAGAGATTCAGTATCCTGCTATAAGGGGACACTTCAGATTGATGCATGTCTTTCTGGTGTACCTGTGACTTTCTTGTCCCCCCTGTTCGCTGTGGTAGAAGCGGTGCATGTGTCTTGTTGTGACTGCTGATAACAACATCTGTACTGACAGATGGGTTGGGAAAAGTGGTCAGTGGTGAAATATCCCATCTCTAAGTCAATTCTGAGGATGTCACAAATGACTGCTGCAGGTAAACATGAGTTGTCTTCTTTTCAAAGTCGTGTGGGTTGACCTGAGATGGCAAATATGTGTGATTACAGGTACTTGAATGTAGTGATCGCTTTAACTTGACTACTAAAGCTGTGCGATAAGTTGCAAGGATCATTTTATGGACTAGTAAAGATCAATATGTTTGAAAAATGTAAATGATGGCTGGAGCATATCAGGAGGAATTTGGTGCCCCTGTAATCTGGGAGAGAAGGGAAAGACGTCTCCACAGATAATGGTTGGAAATCTGTGAGCTGTTGCTGATGTGGAGGAGAGCTGTGTTCTCTAAGTAAAGAGAGCAGAGGCCTTGGTTGGTGGAAAACAAATAATCTCTTCTTATGTAGTTTAGAAAGCACTGAATGGTTTAAAACTGTATAAGCAGGGAGTACAGGTACATGGATGCATAAACAAAGAAGTCAGTTTGTTCTTGAGCGAGAAACAAAGGCTCCCACTAAAGTACTTTTGCACATAAGTAGTTTTGCACAAAAGGAACAAAAACACACCACTCAAGAAGATGGTCCCGATATGAAGGACATTCTGGCATTGCAGAAAAAAAGCACCTTTTTAGGCCTGCATGCACAACATCACACCTGCCGGCACTGCATGGTGCACAGTTTCCTCTCTGACCTTGAGATCACTGTTTCTTGTGGGACTCTCCACTAAGCAAAAAACAGAAGTGTTTTAATTTGAGACCCATAGTAACTATCCATATGCACATGATGGAGCTGAAACAGGTCGTCTCTTATCCAGGATGGAAACATAAACACTGAAGTGCTAAGAAAAATAAGACAGGTGTAAGAAACATTCATCTTGACAGAGGATACAGTCAGCTACTGTTTTGTTTTTTTTAATTTTGCCTTATTTTGCAAATGCTGCACAGTTGTCAGCTACAATATGCAAACAAAAAATGACTAAGAAGTAAGAAAAGTAAAATATCTCTGACTCAATCTTTGACCCAGTCAGAAAAAAAAGCTAGAATAGAAAATCTATCGTCTGGACATTGGTATTTTCCTGTGTAGATTGCACAGAGGAATAAACTGCGCTGGTAAAATTTAGAGGAAATACTTTTCTAAGCAAACCAACAAACAGAAGAGAATAAATGAATAAAAGCAAAATAATGCTGGCAAAGCAAGAACTGTAAAAGGGGTCAGAAGGAGAAATTGACAGCTAACAGCATAAAAGCCTGTCTGCAAAGGTGAGCTGGATGTTACACATTTACCGATCGAAGGAAAGGTCTGCTAGAAAATGTTTCTAGTCCAGATGGTGAAACACCAACCCAGAGACCTGCCTGAAATCCTCCAGCTGCAGTCATATAGCATCATTTAGAAACATCTGTGCTGTAAAGGCTCGATCACTTCTATATTTTGTCTTTAGAGAGGCTGTAACGGAGGTGTTTATCACAAGTGTAAGGGCTTAGTAGATCTGATCATTTTAACCACACTACAAGTATTCTCTTCTCCATCGCAGCTGCAGCACAGGTGCCCTCCTGTCAACTGGTGCACATTTCTATGAAAGGTGAAACTCTTATGTTCTGACGAGATCTGTAAGGTCTCTTTTGATGCCAAGAGTGTCACAGGGGGGTCACTGAGGGGTGAACTAGAGACGATTTTAGTTTGGTATAAGATATTGTTGTGGAACGATTTTAAAGCCAACAACACCACCTTGGGAATTTCGCCCAAGGAATTTTTTTGAGGGGGATTGTAAAGGCACTCAAGTTCGTTCTACCTTTCAAAGAAACACAAGACGTGGTTTCATTTTAAAAAGAAAGTGATTTAAACAACCCTTTTTAAAATTTGTCAATAAAATACCACTTTCACACCAGGAAGGGAGATCCTTTTTCAGGGCTGAGTCTTACCAACATGCGGTAAATCAAAGGAAAGGTAAGGGGGATCGGAGCGAGGACACTAAATAACATGATAACCACATTAAATTCACACAGTGCAACAACTAAAAACAGGGGATACACAGCACACTATGAGGGGAAAACCATCACCAGGACACCAGGGACCACCGTTGGCTCTCAGCAACAGAAAAAGGACACATAAAAAAGGGGGAGTAGTAGGCTCACTCCAAGAAAATAAAATGACCCAAGACCCATAATTAAATTAGACAAGATATACCAAACTGATCAAGCAAAACAGGATTAAGCAAAAACAAATAACTGCTTAAATACTAAAAAATAAAGATTCAATGATAATGGATTAATGGAAACAAACTTAACCCAAGGATTTTCCCCATGAACTCAGACCAAAGCAATACACACACAAATAAAGGAAAAGAAACTAGAAAAGGAAAACCAAGGATGAGGAAAATAAAAGAAGATAAACAAAATCAACTAACAAACAAAGTTAGTCCCACAATTAACCCAAACACAGTTCATGAAGCTCAACGCGGCCTGAGCAGGGACAGCAGGAAAACAGACGGGCAGCGGTGCAGGCAAAGTGGAGTACCAGAGGCCAGACAGCCGCTGCGGGGCAGAGGCAGCAGGAAGGCCGCGGCCACTAAGGCAGGATAGCCGCGGTAAGGTATTCAACAATGAGGAAGCGAAGCAAAGCAAAGCAACACAGACGAAGGCAAAACAGGAGCGAAGCAGCGTCAAAGCAGAGTAGTGTTTTCTTTCATTAATTTCGCACTGCTGGAAGTCCCCAGAGAGACACCCAGCACACACGGCCGCGACCAGGCCGACGTTAGAGACCCCCCAGAGGGAGAGAAGCGAACCGAGCAGGTATCAAATGTTCCGGCGATGACAACAATATATTCACGGCGCCGGTCGCGAGAGCTCACAAACATCAACACCGCATCCAAAAACAAGCCATATCACACACAAATCAGCATGATAACTGATCGGTTAGCATTTTTAACAGCCACAGCTAACCTACCTGCACCGGTGTGAGTGTGAGGAGAGGGGCGAGGCGACCTGGAAGTGGAGGGCGAGGCTGGAGAGCAAGGCCAGAGTAAGAGAAAGGGGAGGGTGCCACTACACCCTTTTATAAAGTTGCCCCGTGAGTGAATTCGCTACAGGTACCCAAGACAGCAGGCAAATACAGCTCTAAAAGTGAGAATGAGACTATCATCCTGCCACAAATACAAAGCATCTCAACTTTGGGAAGTTTTGTGGCTTTAGATCACAGGATTGTTTTTCCCATGGCCTATTTGATCCACTCATAAAGTTTTCATTTGAGAGATGGGACTATTTTTTGCTCTTTTTGAAATGCAGCACAGCATCTAAACCAGATTTCAGTCTAGACTTTGATTAGGCCACTCCAAAACCTTTGTTTTTTGTTTTGTTTTGTTTTGTTTTATTTTTTGAGTCATTCAGAGGTAGACTTGCTGGTGTGCTTCAGATCATTGTCCTATTGCCCAACACAAATGCGCTTGAGTTAAAAGTCATGAATTTAAAGCTGGACATTCTTCTTCAGGACTTGGTTTGACTGTGGATATGAAGTTCTTTGTCTCAAATGCTGCTTTAGTTTTACAGCAGATGTAACAGGATTATCACATTCATAAAAGTTCCTCTTCTTACTTATCAGTCCACAAAATATTTTCCCAAAAGTCTGACTCACATGTATTTTAACTTTATAGATCAACCTTTACTGCAGCCAGTCCAGACGGAGAACTCTAGACCTCCATGCTTCCCTTTCAGTAACCACATATAGTTCCTGTTTTGATTGTCCGTTGTTTATAGTGATTCTCTGACCTGCCCCTAGCAGCACTATAACACTGAGGGCTTGGAGATTATGTTAAACTTATAAATGTAATTCTCAGGTTGCAGAATTATAGTTTGTTAAAGTTTAAAAAATGAATTCAGGTGACTTAGGCCTCATTTTTACTTTGTAGAGTGCTCATAAGATAACAGAGACATTCTGTATCATTAAAATAACATCTGTCTAATTACACCATGTTAGCATGTTGGCATTTAGCCACACAGAGCAGCCAGTGTAGCTGTCAACCCTTATCTCATGACCTTTACATCTCCCCACATAAAGTAAGTAAAAATGTCACCAGTATCACTTTAATATATGTAAAAACATCTTTTTTTACATACAATTTGTATGTATTTACTGTAACACAGAATTCATTGTGATAAATCACACAGAAACAAAGAAAAAAAGGAACATTAAAAAAAAAAACAGATTGGAGGATGCTGTTCCTGTTTGCAGCAAACCCTTCAGTGAAATAGTCTGGAAACATGGCCGGCACGACTCGCCTTGAAGGAGGCCCATCTGGCATACTACTCCTCAGCCCTCAGCTTCCTCTTCTCATCTTTTCTCTCTCTGTACTCTCAGTACCCGTCCATCCAAAACCCAACCTTCAGTTTGTCTGGAAGCCGCTACCTAGGCTCCTCTGGTTTGGGTCTTTGTTTACCTGTATTTTTAAAAGATGAGATAAAAGTTTCAGTTTTAAGTACAAGTATATGTACATTGTTGCTATTTAAACTTGTGAATTTAACAGATTGAGTATTTAAAAAAGAAAGAAAATAGTGGTATAAACCTTCAGGCTTTGGAGCTGCCTTTGCAGCAGAAAGGAGGTAGGTGGTGCTGTTTGGGTGAGGCTCCCATTTGACACGCTCACTGTCGTCAGCTCTCCAACAGAGTTATTAATCAGGGGTTTCCTCTTGCTCTGCTGCTCACATGCCTTCTGGTCAGAGGTCAGATGATCACAGCTGGCTTTGTTTCCCACCACTGCCAGGCCACAGAGCTGTCTGTCAGAATAATGTAAAAGCTCTTGGGCAGAGATTCAAGGTGATTTGATGTAGTAGGAGTTCTGCTGGAACTGTCTGCTCACTGATTGAAGTGTTAACTTGGAACCAGCTTCTTTAGACGTGTGTTACTTTAACTCACACATATTGTTCCTGTATAGAACTTATTTATTTTGTCAATATTGGATAGTATTATATTTTGTGTTCCATATTTGATCTGCTTAATGATCTTCTTTGTCTGTAGCTTAGGTTTGCAAAATAACTCTATCAGGGTAACTAGAAAAAAGCAGAAATTGCACTTCAGGCAGCGGAGATGTAAACCTTGAACTGCAAAAAGCTTCTCTAAAAAGTTGCCCACGATTAATGTTTCTTTTAAGCTTCAATAAAAATTTCCAAAAGGGACAGCTGCTACATTGAAAATATCTGCTCACACTCCCCCTCTCTTTTGTGACATTTTTTGACATGTGAGAAGTTGATTAAACGTACAAACAATAAATCTACCAAATTTAGAAACTACTGTCATATATTGCAAAAATTAAATAGACATTAAAATCTCTTGTATTGGCATCCCAAGATCCCAATATCCATCTCCAATTCTGCTGATAACTGAAAAACAATTAAACAACAACAATAAAGTCTTATTTGCAGGATCTTTAAAGCTCCCATGAAATAACTTGGCAATGATATTTTCCTTTTGTATTTCTTGGTTCTCCCAGCTTGCATGTCACAAAAAAATGAGCTGAAAAGAAGACAGTACATGTGCCTCCAAAAGAACACCAACAGAGGATCAGACTGTTCCTCAATCAATCCTCTGAACAGCATGCAGAGGAAGGATTTGTCATGGGGTACATGATAAAGCCTCAACAGAACATGACATTAGTGATTCTGTGTGGAACTGACACACTCAAACCTCTAACACAGTATCCTAGAGCTCATTATCTTAAAGACGAAGGTAGACCTTGGTGTGAATCGGAGAGGTTGGTGGATCAGTGCCGGTGCCGGGGGAAATTAATTGGACGTGTTGGATTCTACAAGTAAGCCTTGAAAGTCAAGATGCTCTCTTTTGCCTTAAATGTCTAAGTTTTGAAGAGCTACTCAGTAATAAGGCCAAGTTTTAATTAGTCCAAGCAAAGTCATGATTATGGCGCTGTGAGAGAAATGTCAGTGTTGATGCTAGGTGTGTTACCCAGTGCCACTTCACAGCTTTACTGGCCGAATGAACATTTGCATAAAATATTCTTACTGTGCTGATGGATAGATTTTTCAAACATTATTTGGGCATCATTCATCGCTGGTAGGATTGCAGGCATTGGATCTTGTACTTATGAGTAAGCAAATTTAAAGGCCAAAGTTTGAAGAAACTGTTTTTTAGTCATAACTCATAAACCCTGTATCTCTCTTTTACCCTGTCATCCTTTCATGCTTCTTTTCCACCTGTTTACCCTTCAAAGTATTCACAAGTCGAGTTTTCACAGCAGCTATCAACTAAGTACCCTGCTGCTATCAAACTTTAAGTCTTGTCTCCTCTCTGCTCCAACAGTTTGCTGTTTAATTGTGGATCAATAAAGTCTTTTTAACCACGGTCTATATCAGTGTCTAGGTTCAGCTCTCAAGTTGTTTGCTCTTTACCCTACATCCCTCCCTGACTACTGCCACCAGTGTCGAGGCTCCATCAGGGGGTTATTCTATCCCACAGTCAGCCTATGAGGATGTCTCTATGGGGTGCTAACACCCCACTTTAAGTCTAAATCCCGATGAAAATCTTATTCTTCAATTCTGTGAGGTGACCAGAAGGCCAGCCAGAACCAGTTCTCTGTGCAACTGAAATATACACAAACACCATAAAGACAGAACGTTGCCCTGCAGGATAAGCGTGAAAAGTTCTGCAGTGATTTCATGAAAGTAACAGGTTAATACCATGTGAACTAAAAATGGTGGTTTGAGTCTTCACTGAACTGTATTTACATCCACTGATACAGTCAGTGGAGTTAAAGGAATGTTACTTACATTTCGCTTTACACCTTTTTCTGCAGGTGTAATGAGGGGAACAACCAACCAGCATCCTGGAATCCTGCGGAGTCCAACTGCAACAGACGCAGGGGCCTTCCACAAGAGATGCAAAATGACCTGGAACACCAGACCTCCCAAGATCTCCCTCCTCCTCCACCTCCATCTCCTCTGCCTCATCCTCATTCTCTTCCCCTTCTGGAGAAGCACCTGCCAATAGTGACTAACACAAATGGTCGCTCTGACCTGATAGGTCGAGCCTTGGGCCAAGGACAAGGGCCCGGGCAGGGGGGCTCTGGGCAGGGCATCACATCAGGACAGTGTCGAGGTTTGGGTGTGGGTGACTGTGGACCTGGCTTGGGTTTGGGCCGGAATCCCCTGGTCCAGGAGCTGTCTGAACTGGAGGGGCAAATCCTAGTTATCAAGCAGCAGCTGCAGTCAGCAATGAGGCGGAAGAGAGAGCTGGAACAGTATCAGTCAGAGAACCAGCAAGCAAATCAAATTGCACCCAGTCAGCCTCCTGTGCACCAGTCTAACCAGTTTGCTCAGTATACCCAGTCCCACCAGCAGACTAACCAACACACAAACACACTCCCTGAATTCTGACTTTTCTCTGCTGTTCTGCCAAGAGAAGCACGGTCGGACGTGGAGTTAGTTTCCAAAACCTGTTGGAGGTTTGGGAAGAGGAATCTTTTTCTTTGGTTTGGAGTTGGATCCTTTACCCACTTCTCAGAGCTGGACTGAAATGTCCTCCAGGGAACAGATCCAGCTCTATAGGTCTTGGACAGTTGGATTAACTTGAACTGGAAGCACTGGGCAAAGGTGAACCAGATACGTTGACCAAGTCTGTTTTCACTGGGTTGTTCCTGTCACTGAAGAGCTGTGCAAACCTCCTCTTCTAACCCACCATACCGTCTTTTCTCCTTTTTCTGAGCCACATATTTTCCTTTTACGTCCATCCCTACTTCTCTCTTCTCCTGTCTCTTGACCCTTGCAGCCCTTTTCTCTCTAACGGTTCAGATTTGCTTGCCACGATAATAGGCCTGAGCACAGTAATGAGGATTTAAATTTAGTGGTCCTACTCGCCTGACTCTTATGTTGGGAGTCGCTGACGACCGTGATGTGGATGAGCTGTGCTCAAACCAAGGGGGTTAGGTCTTTATGTCATTAGGTCTTACAGAAACCTTGTATTTTTTTTTTAATGGACAGAGAAAGAAATCCACCTAGTAATGAGTTGATAAGTTACTATTAAAGACCTGATGTTGTCAACCTTTATTATGAACACAATTTGGCTTTGTTAACTTTATTCTTGTGACACTTTAAGGTGTGAGTGGGGAAATTGTTAATATTTAACACGATATATACAAAAATTCCACATTTTACTTACCACCCTGCAACACTGTCCTGCACTTCACAGATGCATTCCAAATCTTCACCTAAAATGCATCTTTTGATTTGTCAGAGTTTAACTTTTGGTCCATTACTCCTTCCTAATATTACAGACCCAAGAGTTTATACATCCAATGGTAATCGCTCCAAGAGTTGTCACTTTATTGTCAGGGAAAACTAAGTCCATAGCAGGACATTTATAAACAATTTTGAGTTCACACTGGTGCTCTGGTAACCTCAGTTTTTGGTAAAAAGCCAGTCCTGTAACAGTATCAATGTTTATGTGGACATACACAAGCTGTGCTCTGATGTCTTCTTTGAATTTGACGATAATTAACAAACAATCGAACACACTGCAGCAGTCCCTCTGTGCCGAGACCTGTTTTCTTGCATCTTTGTCTGTTTGCGTTTGAATGTCTTCTGTTATTAAAAACTTACCTCTCCTCTTTGCACTTATTTGAATCGCAAATTTGCCTTCATTGTCGACTAAAGGTTTAACTTGCGAGAACCACACAGGTAAAGTTACAACCTTCTGTATAAAGCAGACAACGGAATGAAAATTTTTATAGATGTACCGTTGCCTTCATAATCTTCCAACTATGAAAGAAGATTGTGTTTTTTAAAGCTTGTATGAGAATTTCTTTGATGTTCTTGAAATAGATTGAAATTCACATTGATATCTTTTCATGACAACCAAAAACAAACAAGAGCAAGATTGTACAAAATCATAATTTTTAACATGTGAGGGGGTTGGTGTTAAAACAGGAAACATTCCTAAAATAGTACATTTGATTTTCAAAAGTCATCGGGGTGAGATTCTTTGTCAAAGGACGAAACAAGCAAAGACTGCTTTGTCACCAGGGGGCGGCAAAATTAACACAAACCAAACGTTCCTCACGGGAGCTTTAAAAAACTTGAATATCTTGGGGGGGGGGGGGGGGGGGAATGGAATATAATTTTAGCAGACTTGCACTGATTTATTTCATTGGCCTTCTTTGATGTGAGACAATTTTCCAACTTAACTGAGACAAAGATAAGCCCATGTAAGGGACGACTCAATGGGTGCTATTCACTACACCAATCAAACTGTGTCCTGGGGATTGAATTCCCTGGGAATATTTTCCAGGTTGGTAATTGAGATTCACCTGCAGTGACTCGTTTCCTCTGATCCAAATCGATTTCATTATGGTTTAAAAAACACCCTGCGGTTATTCACAAAAACAACCCACTCAGAGCTCTGCTGCAAGTCTGGAGACATTTTTTGGTTGTTGCTTTATTCTTCCCTCATACTGCTGGGAAGCAGCAATTTGGTAGGGGAATTGTACTTAGAACGGCTAAGGATGACATTTTATAACTGCATGGCGTGGTCAAATACTGCCAAACACACACACACAAACAGTCCCCATCTATTTCGCCAGTGTGTCTGCAGGGTAAGCGCGGGCTGTCACCACTGAAATGAATACCTGACAGAGCAAAAGAGCAAGTGCACTGGCTGAGCTGTCAGCTTTCTTTGTGTCTGTGTGTGTATGCTTGGGTATGCAGTGAAATAAACATCACTGAAGGTGCTACAGTGGTAATTGGATGAATCAACAGGAAAAAAAAAACTAAATAAGAGCCTGGGTTTAGCATGTCTCTGCGTATTTTAATCACTGATCTGTGTAACATTTAAGGTTGACTGGGGCTGAGCTGTGAGAGGAGCAAAGACCCGCCTCTGACCATGTGGCACATCATCCACATGATAAGAGTACAGTAATGATTACACCGACCTTTTTAAGGCCTGTCTGAATGAAGATCGGCTGAGAATCTCTCTTTTCTTGAGATGCTGACAGACGCAAATTTAAGAGGCATCAAGTGTCTCATTTTGAAATGCACATTGCAACATCGTGGCCCATAAAACCCAATTTAGCTTTAATAATCCAGACAGAAATAATCCATAGTCAATATGATGTACCTTAACAGCGTTCATCATGTTTCAGAATGCAACGCTTTTCTTTTCTACACTGAGCCTCTGAGGAGGTACCCATGTACATTTGGAGGCTCTCTGCCAATTGTTGTCTTTACACAAATCGATTAAATATAAAGAGTCAGAGTTGTATTGAATTTCCCATTTCACCATTTGACTTTGGTTGGGGCCACAATAAAATTGCAAAGATAATACGGTCAGCCAAGAGAAATAAAATAACTGTGTGCCATTCGCCAGTTTAGTACATACTGATAATGTAAGAACCCTGGCATCAGTCTCAGTGTTGTTCAATCATTAGCCATTTAAGATCAAACTTTAATTTCAATCTATGAATGTATTTCTTTTTTCTTTTTTTTTTTTTTTTTTAAATATGTCTTTTTACTTTTAGGATGAAAATGAGCAACTTCAAATGATGTGTTTCCTGTGAGGCTTAACTCAGGGCAAAACAAAAGAGGTCATGAAAAGAAATCTGAAGAAATATCTGACACAGAGAATCAAAGTTTCCTGTTCCTTGGGTTGAGATGTCCATCCTCTTTCTCAGCTCTTTTGTCCTGTTAAGTATAAAAGGGAGTGAGGCTATCCATTTTATGTTTCTGACCCGCTGTCTTCTTTGCCACAGGCTTTTCATCATAAAAAGAAAATGGTTTTCACTTTAACTGGAGCATTTGACATACAGTAAATGGAAGGAAAAAAACACCAGGAAACACAAAGTTGCTACTTACTATTTAATTTGTGAACAAACCAAGAAAAAAAAAATATATGTAGCACTTTAAATGAAATGCCTTTTTTGTTCTCAAAGTAAAAGACATTTATAATCACGATGATAATGAGTATAATTCAAATCATGAATATCTATAAAACATCTTGACTTCTCTTGTCATGCTGGGCGTATCTTCCGATGGGAAATGGATTCACAACATTGCATCACTATCCACTGGTGGGTCAGGGACGGGGAGGGGTGCCTCAAAGAGGAATAGTGACACAGAAGCTGTAGCCTGGATTCCATTAGAGGGGCTATCCAGACCTCAGCTAAGTCACTCAGTCCCACTCCAAAGAGCATTTCTTTTTTTTTTTTTCTTTTTCACGTTTTTTGTAAGGATTTATTTTCATTGGGATTGCAGTTTAAATTAAACTGTAAAGCCATCCCAGTGAAGTCTTTAGGGTACATCTGACACAGGCAAGTCTCACTAGACCACTTTGTAGAAAAATTCCTATTAACATCACAGAGAACCAGGAAATAGGGGTGATACACACTCATATCATACGACGATTCCAACCAGTCGTATTTCATTTTCATTCTGGCTGATAACAGGGCACTGTAAGTGCCAAACCCCATTTTCTGACTTGGAGGATGTCACTGACTCTTCCTTGTCACTTCCTCCAAAGGGGAGAGGGGTCGTTCCGCAAACACCTAAACTGATACCAAAACATATCCAGGTTTACAGCAGGCAAACAGGTCCAAATGGATCATTATAGTCTTACAGATTGACAAAAATCTTTACAAAATATGACCTGACATGGTCAATCAATGTACAGAGAGAGATAATAAAAAGAAGGATTCTGTCTTTTTTCTGTACAAATGACAAACATCACAGAACAACAACATCAATATGTTTTTCAATAGCAGATTTTTCAGACCGAGGGGGATAGATGTGGTGATCGAAGAGGCAAGTCACCTTACAGGATGTGATGGGAAACAGAGTGAGTCAGCTGACTGGAAGTGTGCAGGTTAACACCATCAGGATAGGCTACAGCACTCGCTCATACAAAATGTACAAAACAGCATCCTCTAACTACAAACAGCACACCTTGGAGGGAAAAAATGCCTCATGCTCTAAATGGTTCAAAATATCTGCAAAAACAATCTGTGCTTAAGTGTGCCTTGGGTTATTTTGCCACTGATGCAATCTGTGTGCCTTGGCAGGTTGAATTGAGCATAGCCCAACTAAATGAGAACCACCAGAAACATGGTGTATTTTGTCCCTCCAGTGAATTAAACGGATATATCAGGAGTGTTTTTTGTCGAGCATTCGGAGCCACGTGGCATGCGTCCTTGTCATTGTGTCTGGAAGTGCTGTGGAGACGCAAACGTGACCCGGTGCTGCCCCCTTAGTCATGTGACCTCCGTCATCGATGCCGAGTGGTTCTGAAAATGGATGTGGAAGGAGGGATGGAAAAACCAGATCAAAAACAGAGGGAGGTAAGGAGGAATACAAAAGGAAAGGAGACATGAAAAGGGGAAAGGAAGATAAAGAAATGAAAGGGGGGAAAATGGGAAAATCATTGTCAAAGAGTTTCAGGAGTGCTCCGTGTTTTGTGGGGTTTTTTGTGCGTTTACAAAGGTGGACATAAGTGTAGTGCCAAATGTCATGCCTGTATGTTTTTCTCTGTATATGTCAAGCCTTTGGGGAAAAAAGACGAGAAATAAGAGCAGCAGAGAGACAGGCAAGGCAAAGAAAGCAAGAAAGAAAGAAAGAAAGAGAGAGAGAAAGAAAGATAGAAAGACAAAATACAGTTTGTAATTCATACTCAAGACATGCCTTAGTTGATTAATGCCAGATCCTTTGTGGAAAATTTATGATCTTGCAAATTGAATTACAGTTACAGCGACTTACAAAGGAAACCAAATTACAGTACACTGAAGTCCATGAGCAGAGGAGTCTGAAAGGGGACTTTTATTTTCAGCTCACAGTCTTGGGGGACCTCTTCCAATTAATGGAGGGAGATAATGTGCATCATGAAGATTAAGTTTTTGGAATGCCAGGTTAAGTGTTTTCAGGTACCTGTGCACTGAGGGTCTCAAGAGGGCTCTCTACACGGGGGAAAGTCATCAGAGGCAGACCGCGGTAGTCTTCAGTTTTCTGTTTGACTGCCGCACTATGGACGCCTTTGAAGTTGTTCACAACACATATACCCTGTGAAGTATGAAGACAGTATGACTTTAAGATGGTAGTTAAAAACAATATGCACAGATATGGAGCAAAGTCAGATGAGGAGGAAGGTTAGTTGTAGTACATTAAGTGAAAAAAAAGGCTGACAGCCACTTACTCACAGTAGTTATGAACGTTAAACAATACTGAAACAGAAGGTGTTGTTGCCTGAAGTGTCATTTCTTTCTTTTTTAAGGTAATAAAGAGCATCACTGTAAATATTAGTACGATTCGGAAACTGTAAAAATACTCCTTCACATTGGTTTTGAAGTCTACAACACAAAAATTACATATGGCTCTTAACATTGAAACACTTGAGAATTTAATTGTGCCGCTATCCATGTAAGAATACATAAGCTGGCATCTTTCTAAAACAGTCAACAAATCAACAATGACAGTGCACTCATATTCATTTTGAAAGTGCAACTTGTTTCCTTGATTAGTCAGATTTTCTTTGTTTGCTGTGACACCCATGGTCTTCGGTGAAGAGGCTGGAAAACAACAACAACAACAAAACAAAAACAAGAAAATCCAACTCTTGAATATTAGTTGCACAGTTTCCTTGGTGAATCCGGCAGCACACTTTTTAGTGCTATTAGTCCCCTCTTAGCAAACCCCATCTCTGTTTATTAGACAAATCAAAGCTGATCGATAGCTACTGGCCATATACACTTCAATTTGTCATGACAACATACTATTGATAGGGAGTATGTTGGTGTATGTCTGCTTTCCATCTGCTGTGATATAAGGTTTACTTTAAACTGACAGGGAAATAAGGGTACCTATGAAACTTTTGGGGAAAATGCAGCCATTCATTTTCATTATATGTTGCTGTTATAGAAAGTTTATGTTGGTGCAAAAGCTTAATGGAGCAGTGTGTTAGTCTACAACACGTCACTATCATTCAATGCAGTAAACGGTGCCTGTTATTGTGGCACAAGGCCCAGCAGGCACTGTGATTTAAGGCCTTGGCTCTTCATTTATATAAATCCTTATAAATTAATTTGACTTAGGGATTCTTTTTTCTGTCCATCTGTCAGGATCTTTTAACAGTACAAGCCGCACCAAGGTTCCCCTATTTCCGTACTCCTCTGTGGACTAGTTAATCAAAGACGGCAGCCGAGGGAGACTCTCACCCCCAGGCCAACTGTGCCTTCAGGCGGTGGCAAAGGAGAAAATGTAGCTGGCAATTCACCGCAGGAGAAATTCTCAAGGTTTCCTTGTTTGTGGCAGTTCATGGGGAGTTCGTCTCTAATAGTCCCAGGCCAAGCAAATGAATGATTCAGAGCTGTTGGACCACAATCTAAGTAGCAGACTCAAGCGTCGCAGCTGCACAAAAACATATGAATTCTTCAAAAGAAAAGTGAGGATGAATCTCAACTTGGGGTTGATGAAGTTGAGGTGGGATTAAGTGCATGCCTAGAGCTTAACTCTGTGGTGACAGCCTTATCTGTATCTCCCCAAACATGTGTCCGTATCCAGCCTTTGATGGAATATTTCCAAAGCAATCAAAGCTACAACCATCCGCTTGTTTCAAATCCATTTCAGTTTGGTTTCGGCCTCCCTGATTTCATTCAGCTGAGGTGTATCCCCAAAGACAATGGAATACTGTTTTCTTTCCATCATGGTATCTTATCATCTATGCCAAGACAGGCTTTGTTTTCTTATGGTTGCATTAATAAAGGGCGGGAAGAAAACAACAGGATTTGGATTTTTTTATCTATTTATTTATTTTTTGTGGTACCATTAACTATCCGTCAGACACTTCCTTTGTACGGTGGTTTTACCAGTCTGAAAAGCCTAGAATTAGAGGTTTAGATGGAAAGCCATTTTGGTATTCAAAGGGCTTTGCTTGATGGTCAGCATGTCCCTCTATTTTGTCCTGGATCAAGTAGACACTTCTGTCTCTTGAACATCATTCCAACAGAGTGCTTAACACTGATCCCTCCTCCATCTACTGACAGAGGACAAACCTCTTCTCAGACCAAAGGCAGTCACTGTTTGATGAGCCCATTCAGATCCTCTCTCTGTGAGCACTGATAGCACAGGGATTTGAGCTATGCCTACTTTCTACTCTCTTTGTGCCAATTAATTTCTCTCTGGATGGCAGTCCATCAAATTAGCTCAGTTTTTTAGGTGACAAGACCCTGATAAGCCTCATCAGGACCATTAGACAGATGTGAAGTAACCCTCACTTCATGGTTTGCTGGTAATAAGGTGGAAATGAGGAGGTTCAAAGATGCTGACTTCCTTGTGTTCATCTCTCTCTGGGGACCAATGCCTCAATGTCTGACACTTTTCATGGGTCAATCATTGAAAGCTCAAATGCTCCATTTAAAAACAGGGTGCTGGAACATATCAAGTTCAAAGGACAAGTCTCTACATGTGGACCAAACTGCACCCAACCTGCTTTTAGTTACCCAGTCCAAAAATACAAACAGAATATTCAAGATTTAAAATTCAACAACTAATGCTTTCGCCAATAAAACTGCTGATTTCCCAACAAAAATATTGAACTTTCGTATTTTTCTCCTCTGATCTTTTACCATGAATTTCCATGGTTTCTCAGCCCCACTGCACAACACTTTGATTGACGTCACAGTGTCTTTAAAGAGATGGTTCAAAAATTATGCTGCGTTCCAGTTGTACTCAGAAGTTGGAATTTCTACACTCCGAGTCAGAATTAATCTGGAACGCCCTCTTGAAGTCAAATTTCTGACTTGGAAAGTTGGACGATCCTCAACAACCCGACTTGACGACAACGTCATAATCCAAGATGGCAGCACAGTGCATCAACAGTAAAGAGTCACAGTGAATTAAATAAATAAGTGGTATATGTTGTACTGCCCAACGTCTAACTGTGAACACGGTGCTATGGTGTTTGTAAGAGTAAAGTGTTATGCGTTGTTTACAACTGGTATAGCTAACAACAACTAGCAATAGCTGACAACGGCTTACAACAACTAGCAATGGCTAACGACAGCTGACAATTGTTAACAATGGCTAACTGTAGGCCATCTTGGTTGTCCGAGTTGTTTACTGGGACGCTGCCAACTGAGGTGTAACGTCATTCCCAGCTCCGACATCCAACTTCCGAGGCAACTGGAACGCAGCAATAGTACAGTCATTCATGGTCAGATGAATCCCTCTTGCTCTGGGGGTTTCTTTGCCTTATTGATAGAGCCACTGACAGATAAGACTTTATGCTTGACCAGTTTAATGCTAGTAAACATGTTTAATATTGAATGAATTTAAAGTTAAGATTCATTGAATTTACAGACAATCTTCATCTTCTAAAATAACCAAACACACTGAGTGTGAATTCCTGATGTTTTCTGTTCAGAGCAGTAAAAGACGTGTGACGTCTCTCTGTGAGAAGTAGTTTGTATTTTTCCTCCCTGTTTGAAGGAAAAAGCCACCAAATAAAAACGTAAAAAACTCAATATTTTCCAGCAGTCTGCCATTCATGTCTCCCTTTTTTCTCATTTCCCTCACTGTTTTCTACTTTGAAGCCCAACGACCAGAGGCAAGTATATGTAATGAAACCTCTGAGACAGCAAACCACTTCCTCTCACTTCTTCTTTATTTCACAGGGGTACACCCTTACCTCCATTTCTCCTTGACCCCCTTCCAAAGAAAAAAAAACAAACAAAAGTTGAGGATTACATCTGTAATCACCACACAGCCTTTAACACGCAGAGAAAAACTACAATATTGACAAAACCATTTAAATTTACCAGAGGGCAAAGGCAGTTCGGCAACATTTCACAGGAAAGCTGACACCATATTGAAAACAGCAGGACGGGAACATGTCCTGCTGAGGAACTCCAGCGCAGACTGCAAAATACAGACTCTGTTGACTCATTTGTTTTCACAAGACACAACAAAAGACACAAGAAATTCTTAACTCCTCTAAAGGACTCCGGTTTTTGCTCCTTCTGCCTCTCACTACCCTTCCTCTCCTCGCTCTTTCAAAACCAGAGGCAGTGCTGATCTCAGTAGAAATCCAGGTGCCACCTCAGTATTTCCTCTCCTTTCTTCTCCTCTCCCCTTTCCCCCAACCAGTGCATCCTTTACTTTTCCCCTCTACCCAAACACGCTGTCTCTGAACCACCTTGGAGCTCAGACTAAACCATGCCTCATCCTGTTTCACATTTCTCCATCACCTCTTCATGAACTGTTCCTTTTACTTCCCTACTAAACTTATGTTTCATGACTCAATTACACGTCTGAATTGATACAAACAAGTGTGAAACCTACAATAATTGATGGAATCAAAGAACAATTTCAGTGTTTATCAGATATGCTGTGAAACTCCCACACAGCCTCTTTTTCTGGTAGCTTTAATCGCACATTAGCTGCGCTTTCATGGGCACAAATAATCAGAATAAATGCCAGATTGGAATGAGAAAGCGTCCTGTAAACATGCCGATCGGAAGATTCTGATCCAATTCTGCTCAATCAGATAGAAACTGTATTCCGATCGAGTGGGGTGGTTTATGCCGATCATTATTCCGAAACGCGTCCATGTAAACACTTATTCTGATTGTGACTCTTTAGCCTTTGACTTATTTATTGAGGCCAGTTCTGCAGGTTTCATTGTTAACACTCAAGGTGTAAATACAGTGTAATGATGTCACATCTACATGCACAGTGCAACCTTTGACAGAACGCTAAAACAAGTACATAAGGGCACCATCTAGAGACAACATTTAACTGGGGGGAAACTTCTACATTGGATGGAGTGAGCCACTACCACATTTGTTGCTTTGTTGACAGCACAGGCGTAAATACAACTCCTCTTCTTCTGCGGTTGTTTTAGTCAAATCAGACAACTCTGCACATGTCCAAGTGCTTCTAATCTGACTAAAACTTGGTGCATTTATACGCACATCACGATGGGATTATTTGATTTTGCGCCCATATAACTGGTGGATTTAGATTATTTGATCCCTCAAATTTTTATCGTATCAAGAAATTTTGCACATGCAAACATGGCTAATGTTTCAGTCCCAATAGAACTTCATCAGGTTGGATTTATGACAAAAAATAATGGTTTGTGTTGGACACAAAAAATGATTTAAATAACATGAAAGAAATTTAGGACCAGAATTCAACCAACAATCTTCCCTTTACTCCTTTCCTTGGAGAACAACACCAACCCAACTCTCACTTTTACATCATACTCACCAGAAACAGAGCAACAGCTGATCCCAGTATAAACCCAGCCACTACGTCTGAACAGTGGTTTCGGTACTCTGAGACTCGGTTGAGCCCTGTGAGGAAGGCTGAACAGAGTGTGCCCAGACAGAGTACAGGCTTGGCCAGGCGGCTGGACTTGGTCTTGATGGTGCTGGTGATGTACATCTGGACAGGAAGGCAAAGACCACAAAAATAAGTTATCTTCTCTCGGGGGTTTAACATGAGGCCAGAGAACTTGGACATGTTCCTGAAAGATGACAAGATATACTTGATAAGACAACCTCTTACTGTGACTGAAAGATGTGAGCGGACTGTAAGCATTAAGTAACTTAGTACTTAGTATTCCTGCACATAGTCACACTTGTTGAGCGTTTATCTCCTGCAATGCCAACAGAGGCGTTTGAAATGCTTCTCGAACCATCTTCATATCAACAATGCGTCCTTGTATTTCTCTCACTGCTGCCGATAAAATCGACACTCCTGCTCTCTCTCTCTTTCACTCTTCAGCTGCTGAGTGCCTCCGTCACTCTGATATCATTTAACAGCCCTTCAAAAAGCTGTTCCTTACGTGTTCCTCCAGCCAATTTCTATAAAAGCCCTGAACCTGCAGTATGTTTGTATCAAACATTTCTTGACAAGCTTTCAAGACATATGAAGGTAGTCCTTCTTTGCTAACGCCCCCGTAAGATTCAGAGGTGTGAGGTAGCACATTTCCACAGCAAATATTCCCTCTCAGTTCTCATGCACGGCTGTCTGGGTCAATAACATTTTCATCTGCTTCTGGATTGTTTCCAATTTTTTTCTAATTTAAAAAAACATGTTTACACAAAATATTACTTTTATTAAGTTCAATTCAAGAGTGTAACTTAAATATCATTAGTTTTTAAATTACTGAGCAAACGTAGTCTTAATGAAACGCTTATCGTAGCTGATATAGCAGATTATTTTTTATTAATTTACACTGAACCTACTGTTGATGTTTACATTTACAGAAGGTCAAAACCAAGATTTATTTGATGCAAAAAAATTTATATTAAAAGTAGGGCTGTCACTACGTGCCTCATTTGCTTTAAAGAATTATTCACAAGGGTTAAAAAATCTGAACTCAAGCAAATGTTTGTGCTGGGATAGCCAATCAGCATGGCAGAGACATATTTATGTGAAAAATGGAGGATGAACTGATCGTGATGGAACGTGGCTACCTGAGTTCGATGATAAAACTCCAGCTTAACTCTAAAGAGCTCTGCTGGAGGACAGAGAGTGAGGAGGGATTGGATTGTCTGGTCAGTTATTTTAACCAACAAAACAGATCTTCACAACGTGGTTAAGTATCTTGGATGTAAACAGACACGAGATGTAGGAAATCCTCCTCTCTTAAAATCACACGCGTCATATGCGTAAATTAAGCGAGTACACAACATTAAGGCATCCAGATACGTGTGAAATGAGCAATATAATTATTTGATTTACTTTTGGTGTGACAACAACATAAGACTCTTCAACTGTTCCTCTGATCAGACGAGGTCTCTGTGTTGCAAGTTTTGCCTACTGCCGTGAATATTGGTCCCATCAAATACTAAACCCCTTAATTTTTTCAAACATTTTCTTTTTTTTTTGAGTACTTTTTGTGTGATTTTTGCCATTTATTGATAGGATTGGGTGAAATGTGGGGAGATAGAGAGAGAGGGGATAGGACATGCAGCACATGGTCGGGGCCGTGACCGCTACAGGGACCGTTGTCCTTACGTTATCTTATGTTCGTTAAAAAGTGTGTCTAAGTGTGTTAATTCCTTTGTATAATTAGCTGTTTCAAAACAATTTTCAAAGCTAGTTTTACAAATCTTTAAAAACTCTTTAAAAGTTTAGAGGCTCAGGTTTATTTTCCCAGGAAATAAACAAATCCAGTGATTAAAAGCCAACCGGTGAAACAACACTCAAACCAAGAGAGAACCAAACGCATCTCTTTAAAAATTCACTTTAAATTGTTATTTGCTGATGTTTTCCCCCGTTGTTTGAATATCTCTTTCTGTGAACCACTAACTCGCTTTGTTGCCTGGTGCTCATGTTCATTCTGCTTACCGTCAGGTACACGGCAGAGTAAACACTCAGCGAAGCGTCCTTCGAGGGAAAGGAGCGGCGGGCATTCTCCACGACAGCAGAGGGCCCGGTGCAGATGTTGCCGTTGACGATAAACTGGTGATTAAACCGACACTCTGTGCCTGTGTAGTTGGGCTTACAAACAGACAGGAAGTAAGGCGACAGACCTCCTGTCACCACCTGGCCCGCGTTGACAAAGATGTCTGTGGCAAACAGACCAAAGGCAAACACACCTGGGGCACACAGATAAACAGACACACAATGAGACTTTATGGCACCAAATAAACCGCACACTCACAGTGAAGAAAAGTGGACAAAAAATCTTTAAAAACATACTGGATAGGGGAGACCGGGGCTTATACTCTAATATATTTCTTGAAATCAATACATCAAATATAAACAAAATGTGTAAAAACCAGAAAAAAACAGAAAAACCAAAGTCTCAGGAATATATTTCGTATTTATGTAATTTTCATATCTTGCATCAGTGCAGAGTTATAAGCAATCAACAAGAGAGTGTGAACATGTGACATGTTGCCCCACCATCGGGTAATTTTTCTCACTACATGGGGTAAGATGTCACAGTGGATTTTACAGCTAATAAAACAAGGAGAAAATTATTGTTGTTCTCATTTTTTTACATGAAAGTGAACATCAAAGTCAGGCACAGAAAATGTTTATCATTGAACTAAAAAAAAAGTCATTGAACAAACGTTAATATAAAATATTATGCATCTGCTTTTCTTTTGAAATTCCTGACTGTCTTCTTGCTTTCTCCTCTCCTTTAAACCGCTCTTTTCTCTGTAAAAAAAAAGTAAAAACTTCATTATGACAACTGCTGATAAGCAGACTCTCTGTGTTAATTTTAATCCCTTTTAAACATGTGACAACTAACCCCAAAATGACTGACACATGTTGCCCCAAACTACCATGTTTGCTAATTCTAGCTCCATCTTAAAGTTATCTTAAAACAGAAAAATGACTGAGCTATGACAGGATGCCTTAATCTCTCTTCTAACAAGTCCACATGTATCACTGCAAGGATTTTTATCTGGAAGAAGCTTATTTTAAAATATATAAAGTTAAAAAAATGTACTTTGAGTTGTGTGAAATGGTTAATTGGCGCTCATCCCAGCTCATATTGTGCTCTTCTCTTCTCAGACAGGACACGACCCCTGACTATGTAAAGGAATAAAACTAGTATTCCACTTTTTAGTTGCGCCCTCTGGTGGCAAAGATATGCAATGTGACAATTTACCCATGTGACAACAAGCCCCGGTCTCCCCTACTTCTGTATTGCATTATGATGATATTGGTTTAAACAAGAGGGTATAAAAGGGGTTAAATTTGTCTGCTTATGCACAGAATAACAGTGACATATCTTCTGTGGATAATTTCTTGAACAATCAAACACTTAACCTTGAATATAAATTGTTCAGATGTAATGATTTGAATAACACTGCAGCTGCACCTGTGCACCATTCAGCCCCTGCTTTAATCCTGAACAAAAGTACAAAAGTAGATCTTCTTGTCTCTTGAATTACTCTATCAGGAGCATTGAGAGGAGTGAGCAGGAACACTGAATCAAATAGATTTAAACAGAGCAATAGAACAGTGGACAACAGGCAGACATTAATAGAAGAATACTGAACAAATAGCCTCTCATACGAACGATTGCACTGACACTTTCCGCCCACCAACTCTGACCAGTGTCTGCATCTGCATTCCTTTTGCTGTGAAATATGACTGCTGATTATCTGGCCTGCTTAGCCATGAAATTACTCTGCTTGGTATTCTCATCCAGGGGGGGCTGCAGAGGATAAGAGGGGGGAACAGGAGGGCTCCGGGTGCCTGTGAGGGGTGCAGGGACACGACTGTGTGAAGGGCATTGAGGGGCAAAAGAAGGGGAGGAATTAGGTAGGAAGATGAGCAAGAGAGTGGAAACTTAAAAGCCTCAATGATCCTACGAATTTGAGAGACTGTTTGGGAGCAGACTGCAATATAAATCATCCGAATTACCCAATGAATATCTGATGAGTATTTCATAAATTGAAGGGGTATTATTTAAAAAGGAACAATGCAGTTCTCATTATGCCAGAAAGGTCCGACGGACGACCCCGCTTTATACGAACGGAGAGTTAGAGTCTGTCAGGCTGCCCAGATCCGCTCAAGCATTTTGGAAAAGTGGCTGTTAAAACGTGAATTTAGAGGTTGGAGCTCTTTTACAAAGCTATTTTAGTTAAATGACGCGAGTGTACGGGTTTACACACCTTATGCTGGTGTAAACAGCCCTTTTGTAAAAATGAAACTATTTTATATAAGCCTATATTGGATACAGCATGTCTGATTAGGATTTGTTTCAGTGGATGATGCAGTTTTAGAGGCGCTGCAGTGAAGGCATCACAGCTGGACTTGATCCCAATTGGCTCCCTTCACTGAAGAATTACTGAAATCCATTCAGTCAGGGGGGTTTGCTGTATTTATACTGAAATGCCTCAGTGAGCTAGTTACCTTTTGCATACCTCATAAACAAAGTAGACACTGTCCAGGATCCAAACGGGTCAATATAACACGTAGAACATCACAAAACCAGACCCAGCTGACTCACTTTAAGTGTAAAAATATACGAGTTATTATCATTATCGCATTTTCTATTTTAAGTCAGTGCATGAAACATCAGAATACATAAATGCAGCACTATCAGCGGATCAAAATCTGCCAATCTGGACAGTCTCATATTTTACAAGTTTGGTTGCATGTCACTGCTGCTGCTGACCCGGCTCGATCAACCTCTGCAACTTCATTTTTGAAGCTCATCTTTCTCCGTGCAGCGAGCTGTCTCCGACACAAAAGCCGTCGTATATCATGTTATTCACAGCTAATGGAGCAAACAGTACGGGAGCCACCCTCTTTCGCCCTTTATGCGACACACAAGTGTATGGAAAGTCATTTTTACGTGACACCGAATCATCTGAATCATCAGGGCAGCAGTCTGAATAGGTGACTTTTTGGAGTTTCCCCCTCACAGGTGACTGACAGCACATTTATTCAGCTGTCAGCGTAGACAGTACACAAAGGACAGCTGCTTCCTGGTTTTAAGGACATCAACACACCACACAGGTAAACCACTGAAATAACTCCACGCAGAGAAATAGTTTTTAAAGAGCTGTTATTTAATCATCAAGGAAATAACTAACTGCTTTGTGAAACATGATTAGCTACAAGGCATGTTAGCGACTTTCTCTTTCTATGAAGTGGATCACATCATATCAGGTTTTCAGGCACGTGCAGCTATTGTGAATCGATACATCATGAAAGCAGTAAGACTTCATGGTCTTTACGTTATCCACTGAGGACCAAAAGAACAACGAGGCCTTGAATAGTGCGTGGGTATTAGATGACTAATATCATCTTGTGATTCAAGCCCAGAACTCTTTGTCTCTTTGCTGCCGTAGAAAAAGAAAAAAAAGCTCATATCCTGTCAGTCGAGGGTTTCAAGCGAGGCTAATGCAGCTCATTTTTGATACATAACATTAACACTGTCAATCAATGATAGACAGTGTACTCAAAGAAAAGAGCAATGGTGATTGAGTGTCCACCAAAGGCATATAGTGCTTCGCTGTCAGATATTTACTGCAAACCATCACAGTTAAATATGGGGGGGAGGGAAAAAGCAATCACTTCTAGGGCTGTAAAGTCCGAGTCGACTGGTCGACTTATTGGTCGATACATGCTGAGTCGACCAAAACTCTGATTGATCGACTCGATTTTTTCCGGGTCAATTAACGGTCTATGGTTAATTTCATCAAGAGGAACGTACCAAGTGCTAATGGGGGTGTTTTCAGAGCAACCCTGTTTCACAGGTCTCAGAACACCCCCCTTGTTTTCACCATTTTGGATTCCCCCATCCTACTAGAGACTGGCTGAAGACAGGAAAATTGAAGAGCATCCACGTCGATCAACGTCTCGTAGTTTGCTGAGTATTTATTTTTATTTTGAGCGTTTAAACTTGCCTTTTGTGTTTAATTGCCTTCTTGTGCTGATATCAGTATATTTTTACCCTGCCAAGCCACGCTACACCGAGCCACGTCGTCCTCCACTGCAGAAGGGTTCACCATCGGAGTCGGAACCCCCCCGATTAGTCGATTTTTGGACAAAATTGTCATGGTTCTAGTCAATCAGGAACTTCTTTGGTTGATTACAGCCCTACACTGTTCAAAAGATTCTGCCAAAGACGTTCAATATTCATTTAAGGATAAACAGTTTTACCAAAAAAAAAGATTCAATTAGTCCTATTTTTCAAATTGTGAGTACCCCATAAAAATACATTCACCATCAATGATCATTGAAGTCACAATCTTACACCCCCTGTTTGTAGAAAAAAAAAACACACCTGAGTTTTAGTTCATGACAAAGTCTGTCTCTGACTTGTCATACAGTCACAAGGGAGCTGAGAGCAGCTCTGAACATCAAACCTGAAAAAAAAAAACCTTCTTACCTATGAATCGGATAATGCGACGGATAAGGGGGTTGAGGTAACAACAGTCTCCTGTCACGATGGTTTTCTCCTGGACCAGGAGAGCTTCCCTTGTGGATTTCATCACATACATGGACACCTCTCCGATGAAAATCTGTAGAATAAACGTAGACGTGTAAATTACATCAGAGAGTGACACAGAAACAGGAAAAGATGCAGCAAGAGCAGGATAGAAAGAAAAGACAAAGTTCAGTATCACAGAGGGAGAAGACTTTGACCCTGTTCAGCCTCTGAACATAAACCAGTGTCTCTTAATGCAGCCTTTCTTCAGGTCCATTATAGACTGGACATTACATCAGATCTAATGGGAAAACCGCTGCTGGAAACACAAAATGAAACTCACTGCTCCTGCCTTGGGTGATGCAGGCTGCAGCAGAAATATGTGCGTGTTTATGAGCGGGTATGTGTGTACACTGTCAGCGCATATGTGTGTGTGCGCACATGGGTTTTGGCCTTTGATGTGTGTGGGTGTGTGGATGTGTGTTCATGAAGGAGTTTGTTTTGAGGCACAAGACAGGTAACAGAATTCCTGTGTTGTGCTCCATCTATCACAAATACTTTTATATCAACAGCTTGTTGTTGTGAATTCAGCTCTGAGTTCTTTTTTTTTTTTTCATGGCTGAAAAAATGGAGGCGACTGATGATGTGACGTTTAAAAACATTTTGAAAAAAACGACAAAGACCGTCTGACGGCAGTCACATAAATCTGTTATAGACGTTTTAAAGCCGGGCACTGGATTCAGTCCTGTCTTATTTTTCAGCAAAAGAAAACTGAATTACTGTTATCAAACGTGTTTTTTCAGCGAATGATGACTGACTTTGCATTTAAATACCAAATGAAAGAATCATCAAATGCATAATAACAGAAAAAATCCATCTTCTGATGCGTAATGACCTAAAAACATCTGCCTTCAAAGGCAACGCAACCCAAAAAAGGCCTTTATCTTCAAAGCCGCTAGGATCACAAAAGCTCGGGAACTTGTGTCGTGCAGTTTGGAAACCACTGAGCAGTGGTTGTGACAAACTAAAATGCACTTTGCTGAAGCCAAAAAGGAGAGCGGTTGTTAGTGTAGCAGCTGACATAACCTCACCACAGGTACAGATTCAGGTGCTCAAACAAACTTCTGTAGCTTACATCTGAAACACAGGGCAGTAATATAGATCAGTGTTTTATTGCGATTTCTCCAGTTCTTTGAAAGGCCGCTTATCAGTGAGCTATTTCTAGATACTCTCCCTAAATGATGACTTTAACATTTTCAAGCTACTAGTAATTGCCTCGAGGTATTTGTCTCACTAGAGTCTGCCCCAGCTTTGAAAAGGTTACCTAACACTGACTGATCATCTTATTTCAGCTCATGTACCACCAGCGCTCCTTTATACAAATGTCATGAAACTAAAATTAACTGACTGGAAACAACCATCCCCAAATACAACACGTCAGAAACACAGGCAGACTGGCATTCAGCTGACACTGGCGTCTGAACAGGAAATGAAAAGGTTCAAACACAGACGCAGAAATAAGATACAAATCTTTAAAAGGGCGATGACTTCTTGGGAGTAATTTGTTTGACAAAAACAATGTCGGGCAACATATTTCTGGTTCATCTGATATTTTAATAACACTGACCTATCCACCACTGAAACTGATTTATGGGATTGGAGAAATGCCAATAAAAGGTCCTTTGGGGACTTTTACATGTGAGTAGATAACTTCCCTAAGTTTCTAGGAACAGTTATTTGCTGATATTTCAACCTGTTTACTCAGTTTGACAACTTTTCTCTGGAGAAAGCCATGAATGATTCATAGTCCAGCTCATTTTTATCATATTAACCGCTACAACAAAGCAAATATTTGATGCAGTGTGAGGCAGCAGAAACCTGTCTTGATTCTGTGTGATAAATGACTCAAATTTGAATCAAAGCAATCCTTTATGGGTCAGGCTAGGGCTGGGCGATAAACTGAAAATTTACCACAATAACGGACGTCATTTTGCCCAATATATTCGGTGTCACATAAATAAATAAAAGTTGGTTTTGGATGTGTGTAGATAGGCTACAGTCTCATGTCCCTTTAAGACACTGTCCTACATCAGAGACATGACTCCATCCCAGGAAATGGAGGATGGTTCAAAAGTTGTAGCGGCTGGAGCGACGGCTGAAGTCGACAAAGTTAATGTGGAAGCAGGTGAGCAGCTTGTGGAGTAGTTATCATCCATTTATCGTTATCGTTAGGTAAACTGCTCAATATATAGTGATATTGATTTCAGGCCATATCGCCCAGCCCTAGATCAGGCAGATTAAAGTTTGAATGGAACATACGCAATGTGAATTACTGGGTGGCTAAAACAGCCCCCTAAAGGACCAAAACAATCAAAAATCCTGTCTTGAAAATTAGTTTTGCTTCTCTTCCCGCTCTTTTGTTTTTTCCAGCTTGATTTGATCAAAACTAAAGCTTAAGACAAAAGGCGGGTAGCACCCATCATACCTCAGCATAATGGCTAAGAGCCAAAAACACACTCAAGTAAAACTCCTCCTATAGCAGCTCTGATTAATGGCGTTCTATAAATAGTTGCTAGAATTACCATACATAATATGATCGATGTCTCTCTCCGTCATGAACCAACAAAAACACCAACCGAATCTTGAGTCTCTCTGTGTTCGGGGAGGTTTTCAACACCTTTCAGCTGCACACTGTTGAAGCCAAGATCACTGCTTGGTTTACACTCACACTTATCATCAGCATTGTATTACAGACAGCAGGCTAACAGGCAGTGATAAACCTACTTTTCAGCTCCGAACCAGCACTAAATAGTGCCTGAAGCAAGTAGTGGAGCATTAAACAGCTAAAGAGTAAAATGTCTCTCTCAGGAGTCGTTAAAGTGAAGATATGATGCTTAATATTGGACTTACCCTCATTAGTAGGCCAGACACAACACTCTAATTGAATGATACGTAGAGCTTTTTGGTTTAGACCAAATTAATGCTAACATTAAAAAAAAAAAAAAACAGTTAATGACCCTTAAATGTCTTCTTAATGGGCCGATCATTTTCAGTAGTGCAACCAATACACACGTAAAAGAAAGTGGAGTAAGCCATCAAGGAGTGAAATTAGAGTGGATAAAATGCACCGGAGCAGCAAACTGAATATTTACTCTAAAACAACCCCTCTCTGATAGATTTCTGACAAGATTATACAGTCTGGAGTCTCAGGGTCAGAAACGCAGCTCCTGATATTTTACCTGTCCCTGGCTGAACGGGTTTGCAGACCATAGTCGAATACGACCCCTTTAACCTCCACGGCGTCCCTCGGGTCCAGTCATTTAAAGATTCAATATAAGTTACGGCCTGCTAATTGGCAAACAAACTGGGTATGTCATCATTAATTCTTATTGGCTGCTTCTCTGCTTTATGATGCATGTTGATGGGGCAATATATAGAGTCAAGCACGACTCAAACACCTGACACAGCATTCTCAAAGGGCACCATTAAAAAGTTTGGAATAGCTTATGGATTAACAGAGGGACTGCGAAATACAAAGACCAAATTTAGACCAATGAGAGGGAGGAAGAGATGTGGAATTATGGGGAATTACCGGCAACTGCTACGACATTTCCTAAGATCAGGATGATGTAAGGAAAAATATGATCGTATTAAAGATTCTTTCTACGTTGAAATGAATCTGAGTGACCATGAAGTAAAATAAAAATCCTATTTTCAGCGTGAGAAGTAAACTGAGCATAAGACTGATGAAACTATATGCGTCTGCACTTTCACTACATCAGCTGTAAATAACATGGTCTGTCACATCCTGCAGCCAATTAGAGCGCTCTTCCAGATTCCACCCAATTCATTTTATTTTATTGCTTACAGTGTATCCGAGTGTGTTTGAGCATGAGAACAGACTTTTAACACCACGGCCTGCTGATGTATCAGATACAAAGAGGAAATGCGTGTACAGGACCTGTTTCATTTGTTCAGAGAAAGACACGATCATTTGGATATTTTCTTAATCGTGTTATTCCAGCGAACATTTCCAGTATTCAAAGCCTGAATGTGATGAACAAAATGTCCCAGATGATAAACACAAAAAATTACAGGCACAAAGAGACAGAAGAACAGCAATATCTCATTACAAATAAATGTGCGGTGCGTGCTCAGGAACAAGACGTCTCTTACTATCGAATCCCTGATATAGTGCTTCTTCGAGTTGTAAGAAAAAAAACTGTGTTGTCTGTTCACAAAGAGCACCTGGAGAGGAAAATGAGACAGTCAGTCACTGCCGACAGCCTCTCTATAGCACTCACATTGATTCATTGGAAAGGAAACGTCCGATGCTGGTACGATTGACAAAAATTTCAGATTTCAGAAAACATCTAAACGGACATGGCTTGTGGTTCTCAACCATGAGACGACATGTGTGCCAAATTTCAAACTGAAATGGCTAATATTGAAGATACTCTAGAAGTGCAGGGTTTAATGAAGATGTATAACTGCAAAGGGACAATTTCACCTGCCCACATGTGTCGTGCAGAAACCTCCAGTCATGAGAAATGAAGCGGATGCAGGAGTGTTGAAAACTGCAGTTCCCCAAGTGTCTGCTTGGGGCTGGATGCAGAAGCAGCGGAAACCATGTTCACACTGAGCCAAAAGTCCCATTTTTGGAGCAAAAATAAACATGTTTATAGCCTGGATTTAAAAATAACAGCTTTGTTCTGATTAACTCGTGGCTCCCATGGCACCCAGATGGTACAGGGAGTGAATTTTCTTGTTACACTGGTGTAAGAGTTACTCAGGTTTCTAGATCGGCGAACCAGGAGCACAGCTGACCTGAATGACAGGAAGACACACTGTTACCATATGCAAGGACGCTTGCGTCTGTAAAGGGTGACAGAATGATTGGTAAGGACAGCATTACCAATATGGCAACTGGCAGCAACTGACTTCAAAAGTGCTCCAGAAACAGATGGCACCAGTGCTACATCCACTGCACCTGACTTCCTCAATAATCTTCACATACGTTATTTGGATTATCCTCCAGAACAGACCCTTAAAAGACGCATAACTGCAGTTCATTACATTTATACACTGCAGTCTTAAAACACCTGAAAGCAAAACTGAGGGTAGTGCGCAACAGTCGACAACATGCTCCTTATAGCTGATTCGACTGTTTCTATTTTTAGACACTGACTGATTTTCCTCAATATGGACTATTTTCAATGTGATATTAGAATTTGTATAACAAAACACAACCTGCAAATGCATGTTGGGAAGTGTTCATTAAATATTTGACATGAGTTTAAAAATGAACTGAGCCAGGGACCTTGAGACTCGGTGGACTGGTCCTTTTTGCAGGTTTGGAGAGGATGAGCATGGAGCCACAGTGACACCCTGTGGCTGAATGTTGCAACTCCTTAAACAGTCATCTACAGCTCTCACCCAACTTCATCATGTGTGACAGCTTTGAAAAGTTTCAACTTCTTTTCTAAATTATTTCACTTAAGATGTGGCAGTACTTGCCTGTGTTTATACTTGCTTCCTTTCACCATCTATAACAGTATTATTTATATTTGTACCCACCTTACTATAGCAATTCCAATTTAAAAACCCCTCACATATTCTAAGTCACATCTGTGATTTTTATATCCACCATCAAAATTGAATTTCAGAGATTACCTTGACGATTTTTTTTTTTTTGTCATATAATTTATTCTCAATTATTCCAAGTTGGTGAGCTCCTTGATTTCGTAAGTAAACTGCAAAGAGGAGAGAGGATGTCCTCAACAGCACACTTAAAAAAACAACAGTTTTACTCAAAACACTGTTAGGTCATTTTGCCCTTTTTTCTCTACTCTTGTTAAACAGCAGATGTATTAGGGCGAGTCTAAAGGCATTGGGTTGGAGGCAGCTAGACTTGCTCAAAAAGTTACACAATTGCATGGATTTCCCTCAGTAGAACTGAATGATTTATGAATGAATGGTGAAACAGCAAGAAACAGGAAATCCTCTTGCCTTTTATGGTCAGGGCAGCTGGGGATCTCTATGGACATACTTCTCAAGGAATTATACACTCCAGTTAAAGGTGCAGTGTGTGAAATATTCAGCAGAACAGAAATATAACATTTATACATGAAATTGGATTTAGTTTTTACAAGTTTATTCAAATAAGTTTAAAATCACTTTATACAAAATCTAATTTGTTTTTGTTCATTAATTTAGTTAATAGACTCAAAATCATAATACTCTGTCTAAATGCAAAAGATTTAAAACTAACTGCAAAACCAATTTTGATGCCTGAAACTGGTGTGAGGAGATGAGAGTTTATTTTAGTCAAAAAAAAAAAAACTCCCTAAGCCAGATAAGCAAGGACTGTCTTGTTCATAGGAGGCAGCAAACTGATGCAAACTGGAAGTTCCTCACTGGAGCTTTGATTAAGGACAAGAGGTTTTCTTTTAATAGACATTGGAGCATGTCCCCTCTCACATAGGCTGCCATATTTCTACCAAAGCACAGAATGGACGACACCGGCATTTGCGCAGTAGCGTTTGGTGGGAGAATCGCTGTCATAATGCTCAGCTCAAATGGCAGAATGTTGCGAACGATATACCAATCCTTTTATGCTAATTGACTGACTGCAAGTATCAATCATAGAAAATATGACATAATTTAACGTTTGAATAACTCCTAATAACTTTTCAAAAATTGAGCTGCACAGAAAAAAAGAGGATTTGAGCACGAACCAGTCTAATAATAACTACATGTCAACATCCCAAACAGGGATGAGAAAAAAATCTATGACTTGTATTTAATTTTTAAAGTTTGTCCACAGCTCCATTCATTTTATTGGAGGAGGGGTTTATGACCTATATTGCATCCAGTCACCAGGGGGTGCTGTTCTCGTGGAGGGTTCATCCAGCAAGGAGGCAGATGACATCCATTCTTTATACACTCTATGGAACAAACTAATAACATGCGCATATGAAGACAAAAAAGAAGAAAGAGGTTGTTGTGCACACAACAATTTGAACTTTTCTGTAAAAATGAATAAATAAATAATAAAATAAAAATAAAAGAAATCATGCATTACAGGAGCTTCCTGTCCCCCAAAAGCCATCATTACTTCCCTCACAGGACAGGTGAGCAAAGGAGAATTTGATCCATGTAATTTAATAACCCCATTTTTATACACCGACTAAACCATTATACGCTTACTTTGACTGAGCATGGCTATGTTTTAAGTCTGTATAAATGGCTTTTTTATTCAGTATTCAGAGGTGTACAATTTCAAATCTTTTCTTCCTAATACAGACAAAAATACTTGAGCTGAGAGTTGGCAGATGCAGAGAACACCTCAGATAACGCTGTGATGAAAAACTAAACATATCAATAACAGAAAACTCTTATTACTAACATTTTCCGGGCACTAATTGCACTTTTTGCCAGCAGCCTCTTATTTCCACACAATATAAACCATAGACATAATATGCATAGGCGCCTCATTACATGCTGAAACATAATCCAGCATTGCCGCCATATTGGATGGGTCTCCTCACTTTAGGCCTGCTCTAGAGCCAAGCGGAGTCAACAGAGAATGAGCAACTAAGCCTGTGTTTTATGCACCCTATGGCTGCAAAAACCAACGTAGATATCATAAAATTACAAGATTAAAAGAAAACAGGTTATTTTTAATGTGTGACAGCATCCCATATCATAGCTAAATATCTGTGGTTTGTAAAAAACCAAACCGTGTGAAAATTGGGTGAAAATTCGGGGAGTTCTTATTAATATAGTTTGGCATTCCTATCTTCCTCAGTAGAAATAAATGCACTGGGGGGGGGGGGGGGGGGACTGGGTACCCATCCAAGATGGCAGCCGTGTTGGTACGTGAGCTCCAATAGGCAGAGTCAGTCTATGAGGTGTCTAAGTGTGTTACAAGATATTTCTTTAATCCTCCCATGAGGAAATTCCAAAAGTAAAAGTAGGTCACGTTAAGTTTGTTAGATTCCTTTTTTCTTGCTACATGCAGAGGTGGTCAACTGTGGTTACCCTGTGTTTTTTTCACAGTCTCTTATTTTTGTCCTTTTTTATCACCACATGTTGAACTTGTGTTATTTTATCTAGTCTCTGAGAACAGAAGCCAACTCTTCAGTAATTTAGGCACATCAAACAGTTATAAAAACTTTTACTTCATAGCTTCATTTTCCCCTGCTGTGTTTACTCATTTCTCGGCCCATTACATCCCCAGGAAAGTGCCTGTTCATCTGTTTCCAGTACCATCAGATTAACAGTACATAGATGCTTAAATGCTTCAGTCTGTTTTACTTCACTGGTATAAACTTGAAAGGAAACCTGTTTTCTTGTGCGTTACTTTTGGTTTACAGGTGTTGAGTCGGCAAAAACAACACAGAAGTCGAGATTTATAAAAAGTAAAAATACAAACATGAGCCGGATTTCCCACAAGAGATGAAAAATACACTTTTTAGAGCGCTTCTTTGTTGTACAGAGGTTGCATCAAACACTTCTGATGCCCTACAGGTAATCTGCTGATGGACTCGGTTATAGGGGTGAATAAAATATCACCACATTACCACAAATGGAAGCAGGACGTCATCACAGCAGTGTATATCTCACCTGCTTTTGCTCTCCATGTGGACTGTTTACAAAGAGTCAACTGGTGAATACTACTCTGACTAAATGTACTATAAATAGAACAGAACATCCACACGCTGAAAATCCAGATTCCTATGTGTCGCCACAAGAACAAACTAAGTATGGTGAGCTGTTATCAGCGAATAAACTGTTGCTATTCCATATGAAAACAGCTTTATACCACATATGATTTACTTCAGCACGAGTGTGGTTTAGAAGTCTGTGCCAATATACGAGAAAAATTGTGCTTTTTACTTACTATAGCAGTGGGCGCAGCAGCCACCACACAGTAGAGGATGAGAGGTGGGATGAAGCCGGATTCCTCTGAGCCTGGATACGGCTTCATCAGCTCAGCATCATTACAGAAGAAACCTTGAACGTGGACGCTGAACAGATCCGTACACTCCATGTAGTAGGCCAACAACACCGTGCCGGACATGATGACGAGCTGGAAGAAAAACATGCCGGTGTGAGGCTAATTAAGAGTGAAGAGAAAGTTGAAAAAGAGGAGATGATGAAGAAGAGGAGGGAAGCAGGGACTTGATAGCTGTATATCCAGTACTCTAGAGGCAATCCTCTGAGGCTCCGTTTTTAGTGATGAAAAGTGGAGTTATTTGAACGACTTGTTCCTCAGCTGTTCCCTGAACATAACTCTGGTTCTATCTCAGTGGTGACGTGTGTGTGTACCAGGTTTTCATACAAAACAACCGAATAAATCCTCTCAAACATTCCCTTTCCTCTCTCTCTCCCTCCCTCTCTCTCCTTCCATCTCATGCTCACTCATCATGTTCACCCCTCCACCACCACCATCACTTACCACCTCCTCTCCTCCCTCACCCCCTCATCCTTTTATCCTTCTAACGTCGTCTTTTGTCTCTGGCCTCCTTTCGCTCTCTATCCAGAATTGGCTGCGGGCGATATTGTTTTTTATACATACGTATGCTATCCTTAGTCACTGATAAGGAACCAACACTGGGATATAAAATGTAAGACACTGCGAAGGGAGATTTTTCATTCAGTTTCTATAAATCATCTGCATTTGGATAATTCTGTTGCTAATATGCCGGCACTGCTGCCGTAGATGGCACTATTCTGGGATTTTCAAATCAAAAGGAAGTGATGAGATTCGAGAGAGGCTGCCAGCTGGAAGTGAAGCCTTACTACGTCACTAGAACCTAAAAGGAGCAGGAAATCTTAGTCACGCAGAAGTACTATCATACATTTCATTATTAGTCACATGGCTGTCATACTTGAGTAACAGTTTATCTGCTTTTATGTCACGGTAAAAACAAAAAAAATACAATTACTTATCTTTAAGAGAGGGAAGAAAACTACAATTTAATGCTTCACTGATCTCCCAGATTTGTATTAAATAAAAAATAAGCAGTAAGATGTGTGCTGTATTGAGATGTGAGAGCAAAAGAGGAGAAACTGTCTAATATTTCTAAATGGTGTAAAAGAGTTATTCTCATCTTCGGCATCTGGGATCCTACACAGATGGACTTTCCATACTTTTCCATACCCTACTTTTAAGAACTATTTTTGGAAATACCCACTTTTCTATTTTAGGAAACAGGATTTTTTTAACTGTGGTAATATAGTCTGTTAACATTAATATTTTTCCATACTTTATTTTTCATTTACTATACTTTTTAAGACCTGGAAATTGATCAAATTACTTCCATACTTTTCCATACTTTCCATGCTGCAACATGGACATGTCAGGCAGGTAATACTCCCGTAAACCACTAGGTGTCACTATGTTTCTGCAGAAAGATCAGCACTGCTCCAAGAGTGGAACAATACAAGACATGTACTTATATATTAAACACTTTGGCATATATTTTGGCCCAAAGTGATGAATGTTAAGAGCGAATACAAAGCAAGCAAGATCCAGGTAGAAGGAAATAACATTGATAAGAGCCGAAAACTGCTATAAGTGCAACTGAATATAGTGCTGTTAAGCAGTAAATGTGGCAATACACTTTTTTTTTAACTGATGTCAAACCACAATCCATCCATCAACTGAAGTGATTTACCAAGTTGAAATATCACACTGTCATCATTGTATCCTTCACTAACGCCAGACACCTTCACAAAGAGCCGGGCAAAGTGTCTCAAAGTAAAAGGGGTCATTTGTTTAAGAAGTCATTCTACTGGACCACAGAGGAGAAGAGCTGAGCTGAAGTGCATAGCTGTTCTGTAGTTTTTCTTAAAGGTAGAAAGGGACTCTGCAGAACTGATAGTTCGAGAAAACAGCATTAGCCATCACACTATGTGGTCTGTTCAGAGTTCTACGTCTCACCAGCAGGTGGTGCTATGAAAAAAGAAAAAAAGAGGGCAAGTGCATATTTTTGTAGGTATTTTCAGAAAGAAATTCCATCTGACATGTGAAGTTTGAGGCAGTTTGGACCCTGAATATCGAGTTAAAGTAGTTTTCTATTATATGACAAGACATCAGACTTGGACAAGATACCATATAAACAAGCTTGTTTCCTCGGGTTACTTCTGGAGTGGCTCTTCTGTTTGTGGCTTTTAATACCTACAACATTTTAATCCTTACTGAATAACTTTGCATGGCGAACTTACACTCCAGGACTAAATAAACGGTAATGGTGATAAAAATATAACTTTGAGGTCTGAGAATCCCAACAATGTGAACAAATCTATGGCTGCCATAGGACCTAATATTGACTTCTTCAGTGGAAAGGATAGTAGTGTTTGTAATGACGAGCTTTGTGTTAGCATTAGCAACAGTTGCTCCTGAAAAGCAATATCGTTCATGTTAAATTTAGGCCCCTTTCTTAAGTTAGACACTATAATATAATTAAGAGATACAACCTCAACCATGCGCCCTAAATCTGAACATTGTTCCTGTGAAATAAAAACCAGTTCTATAAGTCATTTAGATGAGAAGGCAAGAAAGTAACTGTGTTTACAGAGGACAGGAGAGAAATGTTGGCAGATCCAGCAGAGTGACAGATGGCTGTGTGGAGATGTCCAGGTGTGTGTGTCTGTCTGTGTGTGTTTGTTTGTGTCTCTTTAGTTGGTTTCTGTGCCAGTTTTTTAGATAACACTGTGCTAGTTAGTAATATTTTTTGGCTCTATGTTGGCATCACAGAAGCACCCCGCTGAGAGACGGCTTTTTTTTTATAGTTCACACACAATCACAACTGCTGTGAAGGAACCATACACTGAGACTTGGCTGCACATCATACCCACCTACATTATGGTTATACTCAAAAATAAAAGGTATAAAGCAACACAAAGTCAGGCAAAAATTAAATACTAGGTTTGAAGTAATCCAGAATTAATACTTTGCTTCACTGTGAGTCGAGTAGATTTGTGGAAATATCATGATTTCTTGTTGTTCCACAAGCAAATTTAAGCAGGATAATCTGCTAAAACATTGTGCATATATCTTCTCTGAAATATGCAAATTCCTTCACTCGCAGGTTTACCTTCTAATACCTTGTGGGATCTGAAGCTTTGGATGACAGGTTTACAAGAAAATGCCTGAAAAGAGCAGGAAAAAAGAGAAGAGGAACACATTCCATGAAGTTCATTTTTAAGCCGTAAACTAATTTATTTTGACCTTTGGATTATTAGAAAAAAAGAAAACAGCTGCCACTGGGTTTTTGTATATTCAGCAGCTTGGATGCAGCAGCCTAGAAGTTGGTGTTCTGGTACTAATTATGAAGCTTGTTAGAAAGACAAAGATTTCTTTCTTTGTTTCTTCTTTTCTTTTACTCAATCTTCTCCTCATATCTCTCACTTTCACAGTCTTTCACTCTATAACGATACTTCTTCACAACATTAATCACAGGAGTCCATAAAAAACGAGCAGATTACCGAACAGGCCGCAGGAGACAGCCAATCCCATCGTGCGCAGCCTGATTTTACGCCTATCTCTGCTTGTCTGACCTGCCGTTGGTTCAAACACAGCTTGGTTTTGAGACTGCTTACCTTTAAGAGACATGCCCTCGACTGCATTGAACAAAAAAACTAGCAGTACATTGGATTTCTGGAGGCTGGAAGCTATTTCTGTGATTTCTTCATAAAGGCTGCTTTGTGTGACAGTCCTACACTTGGACAAGTGTCCCTTTCGCAGTTAAAGCAGAACTTGTGGCTCTATTATATTCACTCCACAGTCAGTGTCATGCTGCATTAGCTGTGTGAAGGCCAGACTGAGGAGAGTGTCTGTCGTAAAAATGGCAATACAAAGTTACTGCGGCACACCATTGTCCTTCCGCCTTGGAGGGCACAATTCTCTTCTTTTTACTAACATCCTGGCAGGGCATCTTGAAGCAGTAATCCACCTCTGTGGAGTTTCAACAAACCACTCTTCTCAGTGCCCTTCAGCCAAATACATCACATCAGAGGAGCAGACAAAAAAATTCCTACTGTTACCATTTCAAACACAATCGCCAACAACTTGGACCTCCAACTATTTCTAATCTTGAAAACTCTTAAAGGGATATTCCAGCGTAAAATTAAGTTTTCGTCAAACACACCGTAACACCGAGTTAGAAATTCCTCGAGAGATGTAAATTGCCGACCGCTTGCATCTCTATCTATACCAACTTCAGCAATGACCCCATGATAGCAATACACAGCAGTCTATGTCTTCACGCATAAACCTCAACCAAGAAGCCACTCTTTGGCCACATATAATGCTCAGAACAGCACCTAACTTCATCAACAGTACATGCAGGGTCCCAGCCATAGTACTAGACACCGAACATTTTTTTAGTTTTGCCTAATTTCTTTAGCAAAGAGACTAAACACAACTCACCCACTCTCCTCCTGCAGCCCCTCTTTGTGGGGGAGCCCTGACGAGTCGATCACCGAGTGCAGTGGAGTTTCGCAGCTCAAGGAAGAACATTTATGATCATTTCTTCATGCAATCATGAAGTAACATTGCAATCAGACTGAGACGCTAAGGCAGAAGAACTACTGCAAATTGATTATATAATTTTATAATTTATACATAATTATAGCCATTATATAAATTAACTCCAAATTCACCTTTTCCTTTATTCCTGACACAACTTTGTATAAGGGCTGAGCTACACCACACCATCAGCAACAATACGGTAAGGCTGCACGATATTGGAAAAAAATAATATTGCGATTTTTTCAACCCTGCGATATATATTGCGATATTAAAAATACAATATTTTCACCAGATGACCTGAATAGCACTTAATGTTATGCTGCACTGCTGAAATCTTGAGGACAGTTAATCTGCTCTGATCTTACCTCTTTTTGTGAATGTTAGTAGAACGGCTTCTGTCTGTCTCAGAGATATTTTTAGCTTTTATTGTGCTGGGACGTTATTGTGGCAACAGATGAACACAGAAGACGTGTTTTGGTCGACATCATCCTTCTTTTAACCGAAATAATTCCAGATAACTGACTTTCCTTTTCTTTTTGGCAACAAATCTTCATTTTCGGTGGTTTTCGCTTGTTCGTTGTTCATTTTGCGATCGTTGTTCTTGTTGTTAGCGGTGTTGTGCCGAGAAACGCATGTCCTCCGAGAATTGCATGCACCTCGCAAAACGCGCACTGCTTATAGTAGAGTGGTCCACGGAAATGTACAATTTAAAACCCATACAGTTCTTATTTGTTGGGCTTAATAGTCATGAGTAAAGTTCCGAAAGTAATTCTCAGCGGACACACGTCTCCCTCCATGTGCAGGGGTGGGTTTTCTCCTCCCTGATTTTGATTGACAGCTGGCAGGGTAGTCTGATTGGCAACTGAGAAGTGAGTGTTTGGCAACTGAGTTAAGGACGAAGGCGATTGGTGGATCGCTGCACAGCACATGCAGAGTCACATGGAGTGTATCTCAGTCGCTTACCCTTGAAATTAAATGAGTTAATTCACCTCCAATATCGCAGGCTCTGCGATGTGACTATCGCACACACGTACATCGCGATGACGATAGTCAAACGATATATCGTTCAGGCCTAACAATACGGTTTAAATTTGTATGTGATAAAATAGTGTGTTGTTGCAATACTGATGATGAGATGATGCCAAGCAGACCATCACACTTGCTGACCGAAAAGAATCACCTGGTGGGTGCGACCCAAATATACTGAAATATCATGATGTAATACTAAAGCTATATCACCTCCCCAAACTTTGTATTATCAGCTCATCAAGTATTTAAAACACAGAAAAGCCAATTTCATCATACCCATTTAATTTTTACCCATCATTCCTTCTCCGCTTCTACCAATCTCCTCTTTTTTACTTTCCTTCACTCCAAAGTCTTTTAACTGTCAGTTTCAACACACATCTCCACCCTCACACCATAAAAACAACCTGAAAAAAAACATTACATAATCCAACACCAAGTCCTAGATTTTCTTTTCCCTGTCACGTTGAGTTAGTGAACTAGAAAAAGGACAGACAGATATGGGCATCGTAGCCTGGCTTGTCTGGATTCAGACCTTAAAATTTCCCTTCAGATGTCAAACCCATCTGTAGGTTAGCGGTAAAAAAACAGCAATATGTTATTTAAGCTTGACTGCACTGATGGAAACTCACCTGTGTAAATGAGAGTGTGAGCTAAACATCAGATTCATCACAAACACAAATGTATAGAAATTATATATACACTGAAAAATGACACTTAACTGTAGGTTCATCATGATTACAGCACAAGAAAAGTTGTACTACACTTAGAGCTGTTTGTGTTTCATGGATGATCACCAGAGACCTGTACGGTTTGTCTCCTGTTGGCCACATTTCTTGATCTCTCTCTGTGTAAACTTTCTGCTGTAAATATAGTACATTGATCAAGCAGACACACCACAATAAACTCAGAGTTTGGGTTTTAATCTACAAATGTTCGCAAGGTGCATCTTTCACTGGGTTCCATACACATTTTACATTATACTACAAAAACTGAGTAGAGAGACCTCAAAAAGTCTAATTCATTTTCTTCTTGGTTTTCCAGTGATACACAAAAAGCAAACACTAAGTTAGTCAGAGAAATTGCCCTGCCCCTGGACGGCATGCACAAACAATACACATGTTGGATGGTTTACATAAGAAAGACAGTTTTTTGATATTTTATGACCTGATGGTTTTACTGAATCTGTAATTAGAATAATAATTAATACAGAGACACTGTAAAAGAACATAAAAGAGGAATAAATTTCATTGCTTAGGCGTATGGTTATTTGAGCTTTTAGAGGGCACAAATGCTCAAAGTGCAGAGAAATCATCAAAGTCGACACTATCGCTGTGTTCTCCAGGAACTGCATCTCCCTTTTTCTTGCTTGTTACTGAAGACAGTCATTTGTGTATTGTCCTTTGTGTCATTGCCCATAAAGGTGACCTGATTTCTGCTGAAAAGCTAATGTGAGAAGTCCTCAAGGATATGCATCCAGTATGAGCTCCTTTCTTTCTGCTGCTTTGATAAGTTAAACCAGCTGAAACTCTTATCATAACACACATTTACACATGAAGACTGTCAAAAGTCTAAAACATCATTACCCCACACTGTAAGATTAAATAAGACAAAAAAAATCAAATCTCTAAAGTTGGATTTCTTTGTCTCCTGTACTACATGGTCCTTTGAAAAGTACTGTCCCTCCTCAGCCTGATTTATATCTTAGTTGATGAAGTCTGAAAAGTAATGGTGGTCCTAGTTAGATTAATGAAAGCCCGGGGCAGGATTGCATAATCTCATACATGGGAACGTGCAGGATGTATCTGTTCTCTTCACTTTCAGCAGAACTCGCCTCCCTGTAATTAATTTCTCGTTTTTTTGCAACCTTTCACTTCCTTCCCCTGTTTCTATCATCTTCCTCCTCATCTCATTTCTGTCTCCTCCCTTGAGTTCCATCTTTCGGTTGCACACCATCTAACTCCCTCCTCCTACTCCTTTAATTATTCCCACTTCGTAGTCCTCATTGCCTCTCCACAGTTGCTCTCACAGTATTGAAAAATAGCAGAAAAAAATGTCATCCTGTTCAATAATAGAAGAAAGAAAAGCAACAGCTTTCATGGCTATATACACAAATCATCATAAATAAACATCCTCCTTCTAACACTCCCTTAGGCTCTGAAATACAGGACCATGCTGATCCAATCAGGATGCTTTGTTTCAGTCATGTGACCTCACGGTTCCTCTGCCTTGCTAAGTTTACAACAGGCAAGGTGAGAAAGGAGAGAAAAATGAAAGATGGAGTGAAAGAGTGAGGCGCAATGAGATGTTGCATTACAGTGAAGAACAATGAAGGTGAGGGAAGGAAGAGCTCGGTGACACTGAGGAATGGAAGGAGATGAGGGGAGAGATTGAGGGAGAAAGGAGCTTAGCAGAGGAGGGAGGAGGCAGAGAGAAATGAGCCTGTGTGGATGTGACAGAGACATCAAAGACAGGAATAAAAGGGAAAAGGGGAGATGGATGGGATGCCTTTGAGAGCCGCTCTTGCAGAGGAGAGGGACTAACTGAAAACTGAGTAATGAAATTAAAGACAGCTTACACTCTACGGGCTTTTACAGTATGTCTCTCAAGAGCGCAGTTCATGCTGCACTGAAAAAAAGAGAAAATACCCAAGTAACAGTAAGATTAAAAGAGTAAAACGGGACACTGAGTGATTCAAACATGTACCCCGTTTATGGAGGCTAGTGTTCTTGTTACAGTGGATGCTGGTTCGATTCCCAGCCACAATCCTTTGATGCGTGTTTTACCCCTGCTCTCTGCTCCTCTTGTTTCCCCCTAACATTATCCTCTCTATCTGCTATTATCCTAGTTTACATATAGATTTGTAAGCTGTACGTAAGCTGTTTGCAGGATATTCAGCAAGAAACAGATTAACAGAAGTTAAGCTGCCCCATTAGACCAGTAATAGGCCACAGTATATAAATACAGTGTTTTTACACCGTTTGTCTACCTGATGCAAGTTCATACAAGCTCTCTATTGAAACTGTGATTTCTGCAAATTGTATGTAAATGAGATTACGCTAAAGACAGGTTTCTGGACAAACTGATTCATTTTTATAACCAAACAAGAGCAAAGATGTGTGAAGTCTTGGGATATAACAAGGTGTCTAAGGAAGATTAGCAATATGCAGTTTGTAAGACAGAGGGACTTACAACTGTTTACTCATATATCAGATCTCAATAATCATTGAAAATCAGAGACAAATGAATACACAAAAAGCCACAATACCAATATCAGCTATCAGCATGTGCTAAATATAGTTTAAACCTCAATGTCAGCTCAGATTCTTCACATCACTCATTTTCTAGGTGACGTAAACATGAATTAAATCATCAAAATCTGATGAGCGGTTTTCTTTTCATTTGTGACACCTTTATTATTATTATTATTATTATTATTATTATTATTATTATTATTATTATTATTATTATTGTTATTATTATTATTATTATCATTATTATCTTAAGTATTCATTTAAATATGCAGATAATGAAAGCCAACATTACTGCTCTTCACTCTGTAAGAATATTTAAAAAAAATCTTAGTTGCTTGTTTTTTTTTCCAGAACCACTGGTTCTTGTGACTCTCCTTTTTACACTTTAAAGAAAGTATGTCTGTTTTTAAGAGAACCATATTTCAAATTTTAAGCACCACTTTATCAGCATCTTTAATATCAGGGTTAGAATCAGATTTAATGGCCAACAGTGTGAGCACATGCAAGGGATTTGACTCTGTATAAACTGTTACATACATGCCCACATTATCACTAAACATCACTAAACCAATAAAGGTATAAAGACCAATGCAAGACAATAGTGCGATAGTGAGGAGAGAAGATGATGCTGCAGTTAACAATGATAAAAATGTACTTATAAAAGATACAATTTTCAGAGTTTTCTACTAACATGGGGATCTGGGATCCTGCCTGAACATATAATAATTATTATTTATCTATTAACCCCCTCTAGTTACACATCCTAATTAAACAAATTGCACAGCTGTGATTAGCCATGTCCAACTGAGCATGTCGTGCTGCGTTCCAGCCAAGACACTTGAAAGCTGTAAATGAGCAAATTGGTGCACAGAGACGACAGGCTGTCCAACAGAAGGACTGTCAACAAAAGCTGAAGGACTGTCTGATAATCTACCATGTGAAGCAATTCAAAAGAATAGATAAATAAATAAATGAAGGGTGGCACTTCAAGTGAGTCCATGTTCAATGTCTTTACTTAAGTCTGCAGGCTGTGTGGAGCTAAAAGAAACATTTAATAGACACTCAGGACTTTAGTGCAGCATTTCAGATCAAGACATACTGCATGTGACTTGTTTTGACAAACTTAGAGCATGTATCATGAGCAAGGAAACAGTACTGTCACTGATGCATCCTAATGGGTCTAAGATGTGTATTTTTTTTTTTGCAAACAGTAATAGAAATTTAATCTCCATTCTGGATTCGCTTCAGTATACTAAAGGGTACAGTGCATCTTAGTCATTTTGAGAATAGCTTATATCTGACAGCAACCCTCAAAATCTGATTTCCCTTCAGCAGGCATGGCGGGGGGGGTGGCAGAGCTCAAGGGCAAAGTTAAACTGTGAAAAATCTACATCAAACTGAGACTTTGCATTGAATTAAAATAGAAATTATCTCAAGACTGCAGGCAGATTTTTGCTCGAGCTCTGTGATTACAAACACAGATTTGTGTTGTTTATAACTGTCCGATTAATCAGCAGGGGTCACATTAAAAATACTGAGACATAAAAAACAGAAAAGTCCAAGACACCAGGGATCACACATCAAAGTGAAAGTAGGGATGGGAATCACTAGTGGCCTCAAGATACGATATTATTGCGATTTTTAACATTATGCAATACAGTGAGTATTGTGATACAATATATTGCGATTTATATAATTTTTTCAATTGTTTAGCTAATTTAGCATTTGGCTTTCCTTTATGTTTGTCTTATTTACACTATATTTTATTTTCATGTAGCTCATCTTGCAAGCCTTATAAATATATTTGTTGTACAAACTTTCTCCTGCTCTATCATGTCACCTTTGCCAACCTCACTGGACAAACAGTTGATCTTATTTTTTCATTATCATAGATTTAACTTCATATTAACATAGGACTGAGCGATTATATGATCGTGATTAATGATCATGATAAATTTCAGTTCGATCAAAGTGATCAGCTGTGAGCTTATTTACTCGATCAAACATGGCGAAAGTTTGCATCACAACAGCCAATCAGAGTGGAGCTTTTCTTGCTCACTTCATTAAGTTGCTGGACAAGTAAACAGAGTAACCAAACATGAAGCTGAGGGCAGTAAAATAGATGTCAGCCATGACTTTGAGTCAACCTCCAAAGATGTTATTGTTGAGAAGAAAAGTTATTTAACATCTTATTTAGTATTTATCTACTTATTTTTTAGTTTTAAGTACAGATGCTTTAAAACTGGCTGTTTAAAAAAAAATCGGAATAATAATCGAGATCGGACAATATGACAAAGTACATCGTGATCATCTTTTTGGCCAAATTGCCCAGTCCCATATTAACAATTAATTCTAAAAAGCTATACTTGGTCAATTAGACGACACATTATATCACCAGACAAAATATCGGGATACGATGCTGTATCAATTTTTTCTCCCACCCCAGAGTGAAACACGTCAAATAATTCACTTTACTTTTCACTTATGTAGTAGGACAGACTTCAACATGCCAGCATAGCTGACAGTTGAATTAATTTACAGTATGAAACGATGTTTTGATGGAAGGTTGTCAGATATGCGTAAAAGGGGTCAGTCAAGAGGAAGGCTCGGGATGAAGAGATGACATGTTTCCTCAGAGAAATGTGTGTGAGTGTGGAAGAGAAAGAGTGAGGGGAGAGCGAGTAATGCAAGGCGTCCTGAGACATCTCTCTGATTAAGGACTTTAGCTGACATGGTAATTAAATATGGAGGAGTTGTAGCACACACACACACACATGCACACACACACAAAGACCTTTCCACTCATTTCAAACCTCGCTCTGGCTAACAGAATATATGTCAACAGAGGAGGTCACATTCTCAAACCTGGATTAAAATTCATGCACACGTATGGATGTAAAATACTGTTTGTGCAAAAGTGCAAATTATCAGCCGGACACACACTGCACATGCACACACTGCCTCTTACCTCTACAAAGATAAAACATGGGATGATGGAGTAACTGCGCAGGGTGTTGTTGGACGCCATCTTGCCTCCTGTCAGGAGACTTCTCCTTGCTGGATTCACAGCAGCTCACTCTGCAGAGATAAGAAAACGAGGTGTTAGCATACATTATCTGCAAAATGACAGAATGGCTAAATCCCGCCTACATCACTGAACATGTAAGGAGGCTCACTCAGTGACATGGAGCACTGAGAAGATTGATTCTTGATAATGACTGATGCCCTGCAGCTTCAGGTGTTTTATTACCTGAAATGATTATATGTACTCGGCTTAACAGTCATTTGAATTCTAATGTTCATCCATATATCAAAGAAAAGGCTGGAGTCCAAAGCTGCAAACTGAATCAAATTTTCATCATCAGCAGGATATAATCAGCTTCTGAAACACACATACACACACATACACACACACATACACACACGCACAAATGCCTCCTGTTCCTCTCCTCTCTCCACCTGTGGCTGCACGTCAGTTTTTACTGCCATAGCACAGCATGTTTAAGAAGCAGCAAACTGCAATTAACTTCAGCTTCCTAGTGCTTGCAAACTTTGTTGCACATAAATCTGAGTTCAGGATCATTAAGTGAAAGTGAGAGCTAATCGTTCATCGTTCTAAACTACACCGATCAGCCGTCATATTATGACTGCCTATGACAAATATAATGTAGCTGTGGTATCTGGCAACAAGACAATACCGGCAAATTAACTTCCCACTGAGCAATAGACGGCTATTAGACGCCTAGTTTTTTTTTTAGACCATATTTCAATCGTCTAGATTCTGTATATTTTTAGATGGAATTTATTCTATGCACTTTAACCCACTATTCGAAAACTATTTATTTAAAAAAATCAACTGTGAGTTGCAGAACCTCCAAGAATCTCCAAGTACTTAATCAAAATAGTTAGAGACTTTCATTTTTAGACCTGTGGTAGCCTGATTTTAGACCAGTCGTCTAGGCTACATTTAGACCTCTTCTAGACCAAAAAATGCTCATTGGGTAAGTCCTGGAATTTGTGGGGTGGGGTCTCCATGGATCTGGCTTGGTTGTTCCGCACATCCCACAGATGCTGGATAGGATTAGGATCTAGGGAATTTGGAGATCAAGTTCACACCGTCAGGTTAAACTGATCCAATTGTAATGCTCATATGCCCATTGTGGGCTCTGTTGGCCAAGGGTAGGGGTCAGCACAGGCACTCTGACCATCCAAATCCTGCCATGAAGCACTGCATGCTGACAAACTTTGGAACTATTTTGGTATTGTGAAAACTGTATTGTACAAGCATTGGTATTTTCACTGTTAAACATGTGTTTACTTGATATTATCACACTTACAAAACACAGACTGTACATAAAAACTTTCTTTGAATGTTTCTTAACAAACTAATGGCACCATATATTAAATCTAGCACGACTGCAGTATTGTCTATTATAATCTCAATTTCAACATTTTCACTTACACTGACTGTCACTCTTTCTTTGTCTCTCTGTTTTCCACCTGTATCGACGTTTAAAATTCTGGTATCATACCCCTCCTCGGTGTACGCTTAAAGCACTCTGTGATGTTTTTTTTTTCTGCAGGAGCAATATTCACCACATCTCTAACTCATCCATTCACACTTGAGCTGTTTCTCCTCAGTCCCATTAGCATAGAAGGACAAGAAGAAAAGCTGAATTGACCTTTTTTTTTTTTTTTCCCCTTTGCAAATTCTCTCTGGGGGATCACAAGAACTCTCAGAGCAGCCACAAGATTTAATCCCTCTGTTGTGTCCCGGGTCTAACCTTGGGTCTCCTTCCAGTGCTCACAATCCTCCAGACGAAGGGCTGTAAAGGCTTCCTCAGTGACTAAAACAGCAGAGGACTGAGAGGACCGATCAGAACTCGGAGTTTTATCTGTATTTTTATTTTCATTGTTTTGCACAATATATATCAAAGACTCTATCTGAAATCTAATGTTATATTTTCACCCTGTTTTTTTATAAGTGTGGAATAACTTGAAATTATTTGATTAGTTAGAAAGCCAACCCTCTTACCATGAGTCTTTCAAATAACACATCATTGAGTTTATTGCTTTTTCAAGAGATAATAGACTAGACTTTCAGAACAAACTGCAATAATAATAAATAAACTTGGTCTTTATAACGTGCACACAGAGAAGTGTTTTATTGACAGGTAGCTGAGTGGAGAAATAAGAAAATCTATCTTAACTAACACATTTATGAAAATCAATTCTTGCAGAGAAATCGTTGCTTTTCTGTGCATGGACTGTAAATCATTTTGCTGAAATTATGAAAACAGTTCAGCGTTTTTCCCCCCTCTGTGATCGACACATAAGAATCAGATCTAATATTCAAGCACTGCTTGTTATTGCCATGTGCTCTTCGTTTGACAGTCCTTGTCAACCTTGTTTTGAAGTTGAGAAACATTCATGTGCCACTCAGTGAAACACTATCTGCCTGGTATAACTGTAAATCTGATTTAATGTATCTCACAAAGCCATCACTCCAAATGACACAATGAGGTCATAAAACTTAGCAACAACATGATCTGGAGATATTGTGAAACCACATGATAAATATATTAAGTTACTGAATACAGTTTTTCAATGGCCTATGCTGATACCGAACTCAGTGAATGTTTGCTGAATGATTGGTGTCTGAATATGAGTCTGAAGAAATCAAACATCAGACTTTACAAGGAGGAGGTACACTGTGTACCTTCATGTAGCGTCGTATGCTGAAAGCCAGCCGGTGTTATGATGAATTTTGCTTCCTTGTCAAAAAATGCTACTCTAGCACAAATCCATAGATTCTCCAACGAAATCTGAATGTAGAGAACATTAAACTTGGAGAGTTATTGTGTATTTATGTCAGACCATCAACCTACATACTTGTTATTACCTGAGCAGACACTACAGTTTGCTTTTTTTCCCCCTACATCTGTCTTTTGTCCTCCTATCTTTTATAACGACACTCCCAGTCTCATCTTTAAACATTGTATCCACAGCTCATCTCTTTTCTTCAAGCTGCAGGTTGTAATAAGACGCTAATCTGAATTATTGAATTTCCCCTTTGGGGATCAATAAAGTTCTTCTTATCTTATCTTATTTTTTGTGATGCCAGCTGCCACATTGAGGTCTGTTAGGCTTTTGATAGGATCGCTGATAGCTAGCTAATTCAGTCCTACCACTGTAAAGAGACTCCTTAGTGACATGCACCAGGTGGAAAATCATCTAATGGCAATGGGAAAGATGAGTTGAGAATATGTAACGGCACACTTGTTGAAGTGAAATGATTGGTTTAAAAGGGTAAACAAACAGTTGTCCACCAAAGATAGCCAACAAGTTTGTCGGCATTTAAAACAGATTTTCAGCCTAACTTTTATTTTCCACATCATTGTCTCAATTTAGTCAAGGAGAAGTAATGATTGGTCAATATTTACATCCCTAACAACTCAAACAGGACCAGCAAAAATGGAAGTTGGCATTGAGTTAAAATGTTAAAATTAAGTTGGTGAGCTTGTTTTGATTCTGATTCCTCTGACTCTGGACTTTCATTTTCACTTGGTATTTCTAATGATTTACGCCCACAACTATTCTCAAGGCATGATGTTGTTTTGCAAGCTCGTCTAGTTTATTTGCAGGAGATGAAAACTTAACTCAGAATAAAACTCTACAGCAGAAAACTGGAGCACAATTAACTTGAACTACTGTTTCAGGCTGGAGGCAGATGGAATTTATCTCCTTTACACAAACACACACAGACACAAAAACACACACAAACACACTTTTTAACTTTCCTACTGCCATTTGGTTTCACTACATTTCTCTCTGATTGGCCTCTGATTGTCACAAACAATGCTGTACATTTCCCCATAGACAGTTTGCTCATTAGATGGCCTTGCAGAGGGATATAAAATGAAGAGGTAAGAACCGACAAAACTACTTTGATATTTGTTATTTTGGCTCTCGATGTTGCAGAATAAGTTTGTCTCTCATTTGTTTTCACTTGTAGAGGGCTGACAGGGTGAGAAAAATGCTTTTGGTATTTTCTGTGGGTGTAGATATGGTGGATTTTCTAAGTGGTTTTGGAAAATCGTGACATCCACTATCTGCTCAGGAATTTATGATTTATTGGTATAACTTAGCAAAACTGTGACCCCCTGCTGATATTCAGTGCTTATAAATGTGCTATGGGGCTGTAATCATACTTAATTCTCCATTAAATATTAATGTTGTGTCTGATTAGAGCTTCTCTCCAGCTCTTCCCACTGTGCAGTTCTGAATAATGAAAAGAGTCGGATGAGTGCGGAGAGGAGGAGGTCTGTGGTCAAGCCACGTGGAAGAGAAAGGCAGTAGTTGAGTGTTCAAAAGAGTAAACATAGAGTGCAGACATAGATATCGGTTGGATAGAGGTGTGTTAATGTATTGAACACACATCTCCACAAACTTCAGAAAGTAATTCTGCTTTATGGTCTTATCTGTCAAGTTTTCTATTTGCCATTTCATCTGAGGAAAAATTTATAAAATTATCACCACAATCTGACCAACAGTCTGATGCTCAGTGTACAGAGCAGATAACTATGACTGACTGGTCAGGTGAACAGTACGGGCTAGTAGCCAAAGAGAGAAGACACTAAAATATGACTCTACAAAACCCTTGTCAGTGCTCTGGAAAAGACACTGGGTGTTCATGTTAGGCCTGGACGATATAGAAAAAAAGCATATCGATAAAAAATAAATCATATTGATCGATATCGATAATTATCGATATAATTATTATAATTATTTAACATATATTTTAATTGCAGCCCTGGATGTTTTATGCTATTGCTTAATGACCTACTTTTAATAAAGAACACACAAGCACTGAATTCAAATTCAAACCTTTATTCAACCACCTTTTTTATTTTACAACTGAAAGTTTTTTAAAAAAGAACTAAAAAAAAAGAAATCAACTTAAGTGGCCTGAGTGACGTCAGTAAATACTGACAAACATAAAGACTAAAGTGACCAGAAAATCTGATAAATAAATATTTAAATAGTCTTTTGATGAAAATAAACAAAACTAACAAATATATAAATAAACAGAATAGCTTTAGGTGGGAATAGCATACTACCACTTCTAACTGTGTGGGAAACTGCCCACAGCCTGGTGTCTGAACACTGAAATATTTCTCCCGGGGTCGGGAGATTTATTTTTTTTAATTATCATGTGATTGACTTAATACACAAACTAAGCACGCGAAGCAGGACTTATCCACGCCGGTGTTGTGTCGTAGAATGCACCCCTGCCGAATGCACCCCCTGCTAGCAGCCATGATCCAAATACTCGCGTCTTTGTAAAATATGAGCTCATTTTCTTCCACTCTAAGAAGCTAATGAGTGGACGGGATGCAGGGATGCATTCTACAGCACAACACCGGAACGTATTTCCTCCGCACCCTTCTCACCTTATCAACCCCTGACCCATTTTCATGCCTGAAGCGCTGTGTTTGAGAAATACTTGCGGCCGGGCACTTCATACCGCGGGTCGAGAGTGGCTAGAAGCTGGTCGAAGCCAGGCTTTTCAACGGTAGTTATTGGCAGTGTGTCCCTCGCTATGGAGCATGTTACTGCATGGGTGATGTCCTTATGCCGCTCGGACGCTCTGTCGTATTTTGGCAAGAAACGAAGTCCAGTTTGGTCTGCTTCACATGCTTTGTGCTGGTGCTGGCAGCGGTTCCAGAGGATTCCTCCGACGACGTGGAGCCGCGGCGCGACCGACACAGCTCGTACTCCTGCGGGTGCGATCGGTTTAGATGGTAAAACAAGTTGGGTGTGTTACCAGACTTGGTTTTTACTAATTCTCTGCAAATTTTGCAAACGACCGCTGTTCGCTTCTTGTCAGACTTCTAAAAACCAAAACATTGCCATGCTGGAGAACTACTGAAACCTTTTTTCGGGACAATGTCCTCCGCTTCTCCTTGCTGTATCATTTTTTCTAATACACGTGCTGTCTGTTGTGGTTTGATAGGGGCTGGGCTTGGTGCCGTAGCGTACCTGGGTCTGCGTTTGTGATTGGTTGGGAGGAAGTAACGACTGTAGTAAAAGCTACATGATAGGCTATGATGAAAAAGAAAGGGAAACTGTTTTCTATCGAACTTTTTATCGACCCGTTTTTTTTCTATCGCACCACACGTCTATCGATCGATATATATTGTTATCGAATTATCGTCCAGCACTAGTTCATGTACTTCTTGTTAAACTTTCTTTCCTTTGAAAACAGCTTGTCAAAATGCTAGGCCTGGAGCAAATCGAGCAGTCTGACATTGATCCAGATCTCCTCACAGCCTCTCTACTACATGGACACTCTATCCTTAAACAACTGTCTGATGGAGGGTGGCGCAGGGTTATAACTTTCAAATACTCTCTAAGCTTCTTTTCGTCTTTTCAAACACTGATAGCAGCAATTTACACAACGTCACACTCACCCATACACACCATAGTCATGCACTGACAGCAGCAGGTGCTGTCTGAAGAGATCTTAACTATTTATTTATCCCACTCATTTAAGCACCGCTGCCTACGCCACTCAGAGCAATCTGGGGTTCAGTCAGTACATTTCCATGCACAGTTAAGTCAAGCCACAGCTACATCAGTTAGGTGACTTAACTAAACTACTGCCCTTGTCCCAGGTTACAAGCCATGGGTGAGACTTGAATCATAGACAGAAGCATGTCCAACCCTGCTACAGCAGGTGGTGACATGCCCCCTTTTAGCCTGTTACTACTGGATTGTCTCCAAGTAGACGTATCACGTATCAAAATAGTCATCAAAGAATGTTAGCAAGAGGCTAACAGGATGTATATCAAAGTATGAAAATTCTATGAAAATACTGTCACGATGAAAATACTGTTGTGGTTTTGTTTACAATGCGTCTTCCTATCAACACGTCCATGCAAGTGAACATTGGAGCATGACAGAGAAAATCAACACCCAATGTCTATGAGAAGTTTGATCATCAATAACATTATTTAGAAAGCAACTTTAAAAGCTGAAGTTTATGGGGCATGCAGATAGCCTAGCGGGTTAGCGTGCCCCACGTATGGGAACTAAAGTCCCTGCAGGAGTTGAGGTTTCAAGTCCCAGCCACAAATATTTACTGCATGTCATCCCCTCTCTCTCCCACGTTTCCTGTCTCTCTCCAATGTCTCATCATTAAAGACAAAAATAATAATAAGTTTACAGAAAGCTTTGACAGACAAAGTAGAGTAAATACCAGTTATAACAGCATGGGAGAAATAAATCAGAATGCAGTTAAGATTCCCAGAAGAGTGAAAAGAAAAACCAATGAGTAAAAGAGAGAAAAAAGAGGGGAAAAAAGCCAAACTGTACACAACATCACATCAGAATAAAATTAAGATACAAATAAACCAACCAATAACTAAACTGACAAATAAGTAAATAACTAAAATGAATGTTATCAAGGACAGTCAATTAGAGGGTCAGATGATAAAAGCACTGATATCAGTTCTTCAATAAAATGAACTTAACAAGTTAAAATTGAAAAGTAGTTCAAAAGTAAATTCACATAAAAGTCAGTCTGTAAAAGTGAGTTGGCCATGTTAGAGGCCGATGCGAATCTCATGTCAAAATGCCAGTGATCGACACCATTTATCTGCCAGCCAGTTAATTAATCTCTCTCTAGTTTTAAATACAGTCAAACACTTTTTTCCATCTTCATCTTCAGTTTTTTCATCTACCAAGAGTATCTTTTTCTTTTTGTTGCTCTTTTGCATTCTTGAAGCAAGTTAGACAAAAGAGTGATACCCCTCCCGTGTCTAACAGCCTGTTCTAACAGCAAGTTAGCTTAGTGTGCAGTATAAACTGGAGTTAACAGACCGACAGAAAAGCAGAAAGCTAAAGCATATAGGTCTCCTGGGAGCTCACAGAGAGCTTTCCTAAACACATCATTTTCAATATCCCGACTTTATATGATTCACTCTTATGTCTACATATGCACGTACTTATACTGTACAAATAACTATAAAATATTGAACACAATTATAAAAAGGTTTACTAATAGTGTGCTAAAAAAAGCATCTTGAACCTTTTCACGAACCAAAAACTTCATCTGTCTGAGTCATTGGATGCAGGCAAACAGTGATGCAATTGGACAGTGATGCAGGCAGGTCTAATTAGTCCCTACGTGCCTGTCCCATCTCATTTAGCACTCCAAACAGGCTTAACAACCCGACATCAGATTAAAACAATCTGACCATCAGTCTCCCAGCTTTTCACTTGGTGGAACAAAAGAAGAGTCCGCAGGCTGTCTGCACGTTAAAGACAAATTAGACCATAATTTAACCCTGACCTTTGTGGTACTAAAAACATAGATGCATGCAACAGAACTGAAGAAAACATATTATTTCAACCTTTTATAGGTAGATCACAATACAGAAATGAAGTTTGTGCACACTACAGAGGTAGTACTGTCCCTTCTGTTCAAGGACTTTGAGAGAGAAAGATGGCTGTTAGATTAAACTAAGGTTTCCTATCTGATGGATGGTCCTCCATTAAAAAGGGATTCAGTCTACCACCTCAAAAGTCTTACATGCCACATAAATTTAACTGCTTTCGGTACAACAGTAAAAAAAAAAAAGAAAAGAAACTGCCTGACATCCAGACAACCCATCTCAACGCACACTAACAGTATAATCTGCCCCCAGTGACTCAGTGACTTTTCAGATTATGGCGGTGAGGTGGAGAAAACATCAACCACAGAGAGTCGTCATGCTCGTAATGTGATAAAAGCCCTCAGAATTAAATGACCACACTAATCACATTTACACAGTAACGCTGCAGATATTTCAAGATATGTGCCGTTTTGAAAAATACTCTCTTCAACCACCAACAGAATTAAATTATTCATCGGTTCTGCAGCTTGCACCTCAGCCACGATTTTATCAAACCAGTCAAATGAAAAGAGTTGATGGATCAAACTGTGATTTTTATCTCAGTGAAAAAAGAAACACACTCTGTAATCCGCATTGTTCTTTACTCATGCACTGGTAATAAAAAAGACAGTTAAGTCAGTTAAATTAATGTTTATCAATCATATTATTTTAGGCCTGAGACGTGAGACAGTTGTTGTGTCTGGTTACAGGTTGATGATATGGCTCTAAAATGCTCTGCCACACATGTAAATAAGCAAAGATGACAAAAAGCATCTTTTAGCATGGCGTAACTTAATCTAGAAAATTGAAACAAATATTAGGTTGTGTCCGAGACTTAAATCGACCCTTAAATTCAGTCTATGAGTAGGGGTGGGAGAAAAATCGATACAGCATAGTATCACAATATTTTGTCTTTCGTGATATTTAGTGATATATCATATCGTCTCATTTACCAAGTTTCGATTTTTCAAATTAATTTGACCCACCCTAGGAATCTGCAGAGATAAAGTTTTGATTCCACAGAGAACCACTCTGATTCTGCAGAGAGCAATTCTTGATTTCGCGGAAATCCGAGGTCTTGCTGCTGACGTCATTAGATTTTACTCCATTAAAAATGTGCCATCCGCTCTACAACCCGCCTTTCCATCTGGGATCCTCCTCACACACACGCACCAGATCGCACAAGCGGCCAGGCAACGCCAAACCTTTCCACATTCGGCTATGAGTTCCCGTTCCCATCTATCTGACCTCGTCATTGAGCGGCCAGGATGAAAACTACATGTAAAATATATCATTCTGCACCACACCTTGTATACCGCGGACCACTTTAATTTCCACGGAGGACTTTAAAATCTGCGATAATTTCCGCAATCGTTGAATCGCGGATTCCTGGAGGGTCTAATCAATTGCTAATATGAAGTCAAATCGATGATAATGGAAAAATTAAATCAACTGTTTGTCCAATGCGGTTGGAAGAGGTGACATCATAGAGCAGGAGAAAGTTAGTACAACTAATATAGAAGGTTAGCAAGATGTGCAACATGAAAATAAAATACTGTGAAAATAAGACAAACAGAAAGGAAATGTTAAAAAAGGCAAAGGCAAAAAGGCAATATCGTACCGTGGCCCAAGTATCGTGATAATATCATATTGTGTGGGCCACTAGTGGTTCCCACCCCTATCTGTGAGTATCTATATTTAAGAAAGACTTTTCAGTTGAAGCTTTTATTTTGTAGGCAACTGTACCAAGGGAGCAAGGGAAAAGAAATCCGGCAATCTGACAGTTGGATTGTGAGCTTGATGATCTGACTCGGGGCTCTGTGACAGATGACTCGAATCAGAAAATTTAAGGGGGCAACACTCAAATGTCAAAGAGTTTACACCACATTCATTTATTTTCTCCTCTCCAGCACATAGCTGCCTCCTAGCTGTGAGGAGTCAGAGCGCTGAACAACTGAACCTTGTGGTCACAGTATTTAACAACAGTATATCTCCTTTTATCAAGCCTCAGGATTTCAAAGATTCATAGGGTTTGCCGAATTTATTACCAAGGATTTTTTTTTTCTGAAACAATCTTGGAAATCATAATAGGACTTAAATAAGAGGTGATTAGATTATCCCTATCAAGGACGGCTCATCAAACAAACGGCCCACAGGCCCTGTCAAGATTCATCAGCATCCCCTGTCCACTCAGCCAGCCCTGTGATGACTTTGTCTAGACGCCACTTCTCTCCTCTTTAGCCACAAAAGATAAGCGATAAAACACGAAGCCCAGGAATATCGTCTGATTGACCATCTCTGAGACTAAAGCTGAGTTTTTCACATTGATTGCCTAAAGAGGTCTAAACTGTCACCATGACAGAGTCGGTAATAAAGGCAACAGTCCATTCCTGGGCATGTGAAGATGAAATGTTACACTCTGCGATCACTTCATTTTGATGTTGAAGCCCTGTGCCCTTTTCAGCCACTTGAAAGGAGATATATCAGTTAATGAAGTGTTAAAACGCTGGATTTTAAAGCTGCACGCACTACTTCCCTGCATGAAAGGCTCAGATACAAAGAAAGTAAATGTGTGGACAGCTCTGGTCTTTGAACCACCCCTTTCATGGCATCAATTTCTGTATATGAGAGAACTCCAATGCAACAAGCAGATGTGAACAACTGTCATTTCACGATTGTCCTTTCCTGCACAAACTCCAAAAAAGGACACCTGAGTATTGACGAATACCAAGCTAACCCGCATACAAGTGCAAAAAGCAAACAAACAAACAAACAAACAAACAAGCAAAGACTAGCTAATTATCAGTGTACACTTGCGGTGTGACTTTTTTATGTTGGTCTCAAACAGCTGTTGCTAGGATATACATTAAATTGCATATTATCAGTAAAATGCTATTGTTTAAGAGTAGATGAATAATTAACACTGTTTTTTAGATACCTAAAAAATAATAATCATAATAATAATAACAATAATAATAACTTTATTTATATAGCACTTTTAAAAACAAAGATTTACAAAGTGCTTTAACATGCAGGAAAAGAAAGAAGATAAAAACAACATAAAAACAGCAAAAGAGCACTTGGGGGAATTTCACAAAACTGGCAATAAAGAAATTAGATAAAATAAAAATCCATGGAAGGCATAAAAGCTCTGATGAATGTCACATGAACTGAGACGTCATTAAAACGAAGGCATTTAAACAAAGACATCATAGTTACAGCTGCATAATATAGATGTTTTGCTACAATCTGATAAGCCAATGTTGCAAACTCATTCTGGCCAATAATGAAACTGTTTTTTTTCATTGTAAAGAATACAACATTTCTCCAGGAACAGAACTGACTTATATCTCTTCTTTTGACAGCAGAGACACAGCATATAATGCTACCAAAGATAATAACTGTTAGGGATGTCCTCAGCCAATATTGATATCGGATATTGGTCGGATATCAGAAAAAAACTATTGTTGTATTATATCCGCTTGCACCGCTCGATATCAGCACTCCGATACAAGCCGTCCATTTCAGACTCTACCAGCAGCGTCCGGATCCAGCATGCAGAGCCCACATCCAACAAAAACACCTTAATGTGTACTAGGGTAAATAGCAAGGTGTGTGGTGGTCTAAAAAAAGACATTGCAGCTGAGTGCAAAACTTGCCATGCACAAGTTTGTGCTAATATCAGATCAATATCGGCCAATACTGAAGGCTACAACATCAGTTTTGTGTCGGAAGTAAAAAGTTGAATCGGGGCACCCCTAATAACTGTGTTATCGCTAAATGCAGACATTCAGTAATGCATGAGTGACCTGTTTCCAACTCCTCATAACACTTCTACACAGCCAACATGAGCAAGCCGTCATCACTTGCACATGAATAATGAATCATCTTTTTGGCCTGTAATTATTCATGCAGAACCTGCTATATTTGCTAAGACCATAATTCACTTTTTAAGCTGTTATCTGCTGATACTGATCTCATGCTAATGGTGCTGTGCATCTCTAAGCATGGTATAAGATGATTGTGTTGACATTTTAGAACGAATCAGGGCAGCTCTTTCACTGGTATCCATATCTCAACAATGTCAGTTCAATGAAAACACTTGTCATTACTTCATTTCTCATTGTTTGCCCTGTCGTTCAGTCCAAGTTTCTCCTGGCTGCAACTTTGCACTTAACCTGAGGATATGACAGAGTTGTCACCTTCTTCATATGACTCATTCCTGTTTCCGTCTGCTCCTATGGCATGTATAAAACTCTAAAATGTAAATGTGTTTATCACGATTTTAAGTTTTTGTGTTTCCTGGGCATACTTAGAGTTCAGGAAATAGGTTGCATAAATGAGTCTATTTTAAGGGTCTTTCTTCCCCCCCTGCACATAACAAAGGAAAATGATTTACTGGGAATATTGCATCTCAGCATTTAGTTCATTTCCAAACCTTGCCTACACTTTTTTGTGCCTTTTTATTTGAGTTCAGAAAAATCCTGTGTTTCAAATAACAGTGTTTCATTGTCCTCAAATGCCTTTTTTTAATATATAATGTGACACAACCCTTTTATCTAAGAAATCATAACCCAAGGAAGAAATTCATTGCCAACAAGGTATGCATGCATTATTTTATAGTCCTTATCTGCCGACTGCACAGCAGACAAAAGCATGCACAATCTCTCTCTGACAAACAAAGAGCTGTCCCATGGCTACCACTCTTGCCAAGTGAGCATCTTTAATGCTATAAATAGTCCGTTTTCATGCTTCCCCTGTGGCTTACTTGCACTTATTCATGGGAAATCAATCCTTTATTCCAGCAAACTGTAGAAAACCATTTTAATGAGTTTCACTTGCATAATTTGTGGACAAATATGTATTTTCTTTTAATATGCAATAAATATATTTGCACTGTCTTTCTTTTATTTTTTGTTTGTTAGTTTTTTTGTTCAGGCATCTTACAATAACCAACAGTTAGAGGGATTATATGCAGTTACATACATAACCATGCAATTATAAGTTGAAATAAAACAGTACTGTCATCCTTCCTCCTCTTTCTTCCCTTAGAGCTTAACATCAAACAGGAAAGTGACTCATGGTGGAAAGAGCAGGACAAGTGGAACAGTGAGATACAGAGAGAGAAAGAAATGTTATGAAAAAGACGACAAAACGAAAAGGTAAAAGGTAAAATGATAACCAAACAGTTTGTAGAGGATGGTTCATTTGAGGGGAAAAGAACTATTTCTACCCCATCCGGGACATGCTGCTGTCATTTTAGGAAGAGTTATGAGCAAAGTATTCATAATTGATTTGATTTCCCCTCCTTTTTTACAGCTTAGGTTCTTGGCTCTTTCTCCTGTCACACCCACTACTTGAAATCTAACATGTTTTTAAGTACTTTATTACCTATGATTTGACTGATAATCTTTAAAAGAAATCTTTAAAAATTATCTCTATCAAAATGTAGATTGTGGATCTAGTCTTGGCTTCTTCATTACCATGGATGAATTTGTACAACAGCAGAAAAGATGAGGGTTTTTTCTATGAAAACTGTGCACTTTGTCCTGTATTGTATTATCTGAGAGAGATTGAAAATCTTCCTATTTCAGAAACTCAAATCACAGACACTTATATTGTATATTGTGCAGAAGAAAAACAGAGATTTATTCCCAAATACTGGCTGCTTTTAACCCCACAGCAAATCCTGCATCAACCAACTTTAAGTACAATCTCACCTGCAGTTGTCTAATGCAGGAAGCTCATTTTTGTCTGATTTTGTGAAAACTTATGTTTCCTCCATTTCACCAGCCTGTGACAGGTGTCTTTTTGAAGGAGACACTGACATTTTTACTACCCTTTTAGGATGATTTATGTCCTGTACTGTAAAATCACACTTTTATTTTGAAATTAGAAGGTATGAAGGATTTTCAGTAGATCATAAAAACAGCTGAAAGAACAACTAAAAGTGATCAATTCAGGAGACCCTGTGAAAATCACTAAGTCATATGTTGATTTTGGATACAGAAAACTGCAAAATCTCCAGCTAGCTAACAGCTGCTGCTACATCTTTGTTTTCTTCGTCTTACGAGAGGTGGCAACCAGCGTGAAGGACAACTATTGCCCTCTACTTGTGAACAATCACTACCATGGTATTACAGTAAGCCTATTATAGCAAAGAATCGATATTTTACAATTAAAAAATTTACATATTCCAACAGCTCTAACTCTAGCCATTGACTTTGGATGGATTAAGATGGAAAAAAAATGTTTGCAAGTTTCTGCAGCTGCACTGCACTCATCAATTTTAACATCAGCTACCCGAGATAAAAAGTCTGTTTGTACAGTATTAGAACTAAAAAGGCAAAAACAGACTGACACAGATTTTAAAAACATATAGCTGACTGAATTGATTCAGGCCCGGCTAAACTGTTGGCTATGTGGTCACCAGGTAAAGCCAAGTGTATAAGGAGACTTTCCTTTTCTGCTGAATCATTTTAGTGCATTATTTTGGACTGTCATCATGTCAACCATCCTCACCTCAGTGCATTTCTACATCACACCCATGCCCTTTAAAGCTCTCTTTAGAGGCCTTTTGTTTAAAAACACCTGATTATACTTTATGTGCCTTTTTTGGCATATTAAGGGGTTGGAGCAACAATTGAAACCACAATTACAGTTTGTACCACAAAACATTTTTTTAATTTGTGGCAACTCTAATATACAACTTTTTTTGAACTTTATCACAAGATTGTGAGGATTGTTGTAAAATTCTAATTTTGTCTTCCTTACAGAAAGCTTTGGCATAGGAATGATAACAACAGAGGACATAAAAATGTCAAATACAGAAGAAGTAAGATGAGACAGGAAACAGGAAGAAGTTGATAGAATGAGAAGATCAGGGACATCCTTTTGGAAAGGACTCAAAACTTTTCAAACTGAAATAAAAAAGAGAAGAAACAATCCCTGGAGACAGGGTGCGTGGGAAAGGAGAAGCAGAGAAGCAGAGGAGAAGAGCCGGGGACAAGATACATTAAGTTTGTTCCTTCTGATGCTGCTTACTGCTGACACACTCACATGTCAAGTGTCGAAAGTTTTTTAAGTACAGATTTATCACTTCAACGAGCACTTGCCAGCATCTGGTCAGATTTTCCACATTTTGTCCTTTTTCACAAAACAAAGTCCTTAATTTGTCTAAAGCTCATTAAGTTCCCCGCCTACTCAGTATTTTTGCTTCAATATTATGAAGTCAACTGTAGCAAAAAACAAAAAATACATCACTTGCTTTTTTCTAATCATAAACAACCCTCCTATTTCGTTAAAAAGCAAAAATCACCTCTTCTGACCTACAGTATTTGCACGTCAAACAGAAGCTTCAATAGGGGTCAGTTTCGTTTCCTAATGTGGAATTGTTCTAATAATTTGTCATCTTTATCTACATTAATAAAACAACAATTCTGGTTAACCTCATGCGGTACATTTATCCAGAAGGACTGTTGCGTGATGCTTTGCTTCCTTACAAGTGCCAATGGAAAATAACTGCGAGTGCTTCAGGTACATCTGCATATGTATAAATGTAAATTTCTTAAGTTGGGAAAATGGGTTTACACAAGAGCTCCAAGGCTTCTGTATGTGTGCGCTTGTGCATGTGTGTGTGTTGAATCCTGAATGCTACTGTGCAAGTTTTTTCCAATGCTGCCTTGTAACATCTCCAGATTTCAGTCTATATTAAGATCAAACAAGCCCTTGATCTCCGAGTGTTCAGCTATTTTTCAGCCATCAGACCCATCACAATACCGTCCTCATGATGCAGCAGGAGAGACAGAAGTTTTCCCCCGCTGAGATTTCTCAATATTCCTGCAGTATCATGCTAGCGCTGCTTGCTCTTATCTTTGCAGTAATTCAATTTAAAGATAGGGGAAAGCAGACTTTAGGTTTCGTTCTGCAACAAGCGGAGTGTGAGGAAAAAGAGAATTTATTACCTACACTGCAATAAAGTGGGTGATTATAGCAATGAGACAAAGTTAAGAGGTTTTAAACTTAAAATCTTAACCTGTTTTGTATCTTAAAGGCACAAGACATATTGATGTACTCTAATTAGGGTTGGGGATCAAGACCCAGTTTAATTAAAAACGCGGCTCCATCCCCGTAATGCCTCTCAATTTTGTGATGGAGTCCTCTGAGTGTGATGGAGTAGTATTATACTTAAAGGGATATTTTGGTGTAAAATTAAGTTAGGGTCAAACACACCGTAACACCAAGTTAGACACCCCCTCAAGAGATGAATGTTGCCAACTGCTTGCTTCTCTACTTAAACCAACTTCAGTAACGACCACACAATAGCAATATGCAGCCTTCACCTCAACCAAAACGCCACTTTACACCAAAATGCCACTTTACAGCCACATATAATGCTCAGAACAGCATCTAACTTCATAAACGGTACATATAGGGTCCCAGGCATAGTACTAGCCATCAAACATCTTTTTAGCTTTACCTAATTTCTTTAGCAAAGAGACTAAACACAATTCACCCACTCTCCTCCAGCAGCCGCTTGTTTGTAGGGAGAGCTAGAAGGACACGTCATCATGAACTATTCTCTACTTTCACCCAAATCTTTTTTGACCGACCCGACCTTGAACACCTCACAATTCGATCGTCTGTCATCTCAATTAGTTGGCTGACTAACCTGCTGATGTCAACATGGATTTCAACACTGAATTTGAGAAAGACTGGAAAGCAATTTTTAATAAACTGGACTTGGTGCAAAGTCTGACCGTGCTTACCCCAGGGCCTTAAGTGAAGAGGAGGATGGCAGCAGCTGGAGTTGGTAAAATGGAGCCACATTCCTCACAGGTTCAGCCATTATTGAGAGTAACTGACCACCAGAAATTTCCTGTGTGCTTTTATACCTGTTCACTGTTTGAGCGCTTTATTAGAAAGTCTATTAATGTGCATGCAAAATTGATTTTATTACCATGATGTGACTTAACTCAAAGTGTAATGTTACTTCACATGACCCAACAGACTTGATAGCAGACTCGATATTGAGTTTCAGGTATTTGATGGACCCATCCCTAGTCATGCTTTGAGTTAAGTTATGTCATGCAAATTTAATCAATGATGCACTCACATTAAAAGACTGTCTAATAACGTTTTTGAACAAGAAATGAATTGGCAGCTAACAAGAGTTAAACTACACTAAGAAGAGTCCTGGTGGTCAGAAGCTCTCAACAATGGCCAAACATGCAAAGCGCTCCAAAGTGTGGCTCCATTTTACCAAAGTTTCAGATAGGGACAGAGCAAAATGCAACTGCGAAAGCACATCGGCACTGTGCATCAACTCAAGCCCAAATCCAGAGCCTTCGACTATCTGAGGCTCGAAACAACTTCATCAACTCCAGTTGCTGCTGCTGCTTCTGATGCTGCCATCCACCTCTTCCATCCAAAGCAAGCTCCCTTAGTTCAAAACCATAAGCCGTTATTTATCAATGATAAAATCAGCAGGTGAAACGACTTCGTTAACTAACTGGGGTGACAATTACATTTTGAAGTGTTCAAAGTTGGATCAGTAACACAGGGAGAAAGCAAAATGAAATACAATCATGATGTGTTCAAATGTTGCGATCAGGAAATTAAAAAAAGCTTTTTGGTGAAAAATCTGATCAGATTAATTTAAGACTACGAGCTCTAATTGACTCAAACACCTGCTGTGTTTTTGAGGGTTGAAAATTCCACTTGCTCACTAATGAAAGCAATGCCAGTTCTGTTAAAAACATATTGCCATCTTGTCTTGCCACCAAACAACAGAAAAGACTAGATAGTTGAATCGATAAGGACTTGAATCATTAAAAAACCAAGGCGGCGATGTGAAAAGACAACTTAAAGTACAAAAAAGTTAAATAAGAAGCATTTGTTTTTCTTTTCACCTTATTAAGGCATATTCAGTATACAGTATTCGGGTATATATACAGTTCTGCATGTTTCTACAGCAGAGAGTCATGGAGCTCATGAAGTAAAGTGGCATTAAACAAGCAAAATTCATGTTTTTTTATGTTTTACACAGATTTCTTCTCATTCACATCAATTTTTTCACAATTTTAGAATTTATTCTCCTCTGGGCAAATTATTACCGGGTTTATAAAACATATGCTTATAGAAACCACTTAAATGTTTCAGTGTCCAGTTTTTATTGGCCAAAAATAAAAAAATAAACATGATTCCCTTGATATAATTAGAAGATGCAAATTTATGCAAGTGTTGTAACAAAAGCCACATAGGGGACATTTGACATTTTGGCTTTGTTCTCCCCTTTAGTGAAATAAGATCTATTTATGACCATATTTTACCAGAAGACAGACATCAGAGCTTTTACTCTGATTTTAGCTCGAGGGGTGCAATGAGTAGAGATTGACAAAATTATCTCCCAACAAATTTAATTTGTATTTTACGCCACGTTCCATGTTTTCCATGCTCTGAGCTTACACAACATGACATTGTTTACTGCAACTGAGTTGCCAAAGGGTGAGCTATTTCACATCCCCACTTCTTTGCTAAGTACAGCTTCACAAAAATAGTAGATGGGGATGTCAGATGCAACACTGTGGTGTCCTAAAACCTGTCAAGTTTGGGAGCATTTACACTCGAAGCTGCAAAGACAAGAATGCCCTGCAAAACTTGCAAAGCAGGCCATGCTTATCATTGAAGGTACACAGGCATGGGTTAGGAGATGGTATGTTAGACATCTCTTTCACATATCAACTGAGGCATTCAAAGTTACTGCCTCTTGTCATTTTTCTCTGCTTTACAATTTCAGTCCCTCACTTTAAACCTGTCTCATAAACAACTCCATCCTTTCCTCTCCTTCCTATCCACTAGTACACGATCGAAAGACTCAGCCCTGAAACAGTTGCAGCCCGAGACGGCGCTGACAAAGTGACTGAAGTGGACAAGAGGGAATCCATTAGTATTGATACAGTGTACAACAGTCTGCTTCAGGTGTAAAGATGGACACTGGCAAACATATCTGCATATCCCAGTCCAGAGTCATGAAGCCTCCGAATCACAAAGAAACTGTCAACATTACGTCACCGCTTTGATTAAAAATAGAAGCAAAGAAGTACATTTACATAACATGGAGTAGCTAGTCAGTCAAAATAGCTGGACATACACTTAGCCCACAATAAAATCACAATACTCCCTCTCATGTGATGTTACACAAGAGCAGCGCAAGTCCAGATTAGCCTCAACTTCATCAAAGCCCCAAAAGAGAGTCAAGCCAAACCATGTGAGTTATAAACACCAGATGCTCAGTTTGCAAATGATAGCGCCTGCTCTGTAATTACCCCTGAACACACTGAGTACAATAACGCAGCTCAAAACAAAAATGGAGAGATTAGACTGACAATAACGGATGATTCAGATTGTTGACTTCTATAGGAGGCAGCAAAACAACTGAACACCCATCAGACAAACAAACATTATGACCACTTGCCTGATGATATCTGACACCTTTCTGTTGTACTGCATTACATTCAACCAATTCTGCTGAGACTTGTTTTTTGGAGTATATTGTGTCTGTAAACACTGAGGGTATAGCGCAGTATTGAAAGTGGTATGGCAAAGTACATTTTTAAAATTAAATTCCTGATCTTTTTACTGTCCATGCACCAGGTCTTGACATTGCAAATCTATATTTTACTTAATTTTTAACACCTTCAAGTTAATTTGTGTGAGTGTGTAAATAAAAAAAAGGCTTTTCCATGCAAAAGTTTTGTACTACAGGACATATAAATGATTAAATCATAAAAATAAAGTCGGGCTGGGCAATATGGCCTCAAATCAATATCACGGTATATTGAGCAGTTCACCTCGATAACAATAAATGGACGATAACTACTCCACAAGCTGCTCACCCCCTCCCATATTAACTTAATCTACTACCACCGTCCTCCATCTCCTCACCTGTCTTTCCCTCTTTGTTACGGACTGGATGGGGTGGAGACATGTCTCGGCGTATTAAAGCATCTGAAAAGGATCATGAGACCATAGCCTACCTACCTACCCTAGCACCCAAAACTCCTTCTTACTGTGGTCAGTTACCATGCAAAAAAAACTGAAAACACAACTGGGGTTCTCAGCCTCCTTGGGGATTTGGCTGGAGTTTTAAGTAGTTCTCAATTTGCATGCATTTGGACTAATTATATACACAAGCCTGAGCTGTACTCTGGCATACAACAAATACTTGATGCTTGTTGCACGTCAGCCAACATTTCACTTTTACCTCATATCAATCAAGCAGCTTTGTAAACATAGATGTTCAGCCACATTAAACTCTACTCTTTTGTCTTCTCCAGGTCCAACTGTGTCTGAGTCTTCCTGTCATGATCTCACCCGTATCTGTCCCCTTTTATAGATAAAGGGAGGACCATTCAATCTCATGAGGCAGGCAGTATCTCACTTTAAGGGTTATTTTTCCCCCAGGGACATCATAGTGACAGATCTATTGCCCAATCAGGACACCACCACTGGTCCAATAACACCACCCCCACATCTAGTGGTAATCAAATACCTGCTAACATTGGACCATAGAAAGGGTTTATGTGTGTGCTCATAATCAATAACCAGTCTCTGGTGTGAGCAGGGAAGGGTAAGATATCCAGCTTGGGTTCAGGGGTCAGTCCTTCCTGCAGAATCACTCCAAGTCTGTCTGGTGATTTTTTTTTAATCATTTTTATTTTTAATGCAACCGTTCGCGTCTCTTTGTAAATATGCAATTTTCTCACACATCAGCAGAGCAACAAACATGCATTGTTTGCATGCATTAACAACACTAGCAGATGATATGACGGTAAACAGGACAGTACTGTGTCTGGAGCTGAACAGAAATTAACTTTACAAACTTCATTTCAAATGAATGACGCATTATTTTATTCTGCTTTCATGAACACGCACTGCTCAGGAGGCCTGCTACACATCACTTGTTTTGTATGTTTTGATTTTTCACTCACAATGTGATGAGGCAATCATATAGTACAGCTGAGTTTCATCCCACAATACTCATGGGATGCTCTACTCTGCTTCAAGCAACACTCACAGTTCTCCCCTTTAAAAAGTAGGATGATAAAACAAGCAAAGTTATGCTATCAAATCTTATCAGCGCCTCAGGTTTGCTGGGATGAATGTGGAAAAGCTGCAACTGCATGTTAGACAAACAAGGATTTGAAAAAAATATTAAAATAAAAAAAAAAAGAAACGGTGTTGACTACACAAGACATGTTTAACCACAATATCGATAGCAAGATCTGAACATATAACAGTAAAACATTCACAGCTTTCTCTGTTATTCACATTTAAACCGTCTTTGTGTTATACGTCATTGTTGAACAGAAAACGCAGACTTATTTAAGATTCTGTATCAAGATGGTAACACAATGACGCCAGTTTGGATAAATTAGTTCACGCTATCAAAACTGCCATAAAGAATGACAACAGACAGGATTTCACTAAGTGCTGCTGTTGATGTCATGAGTGAACAGGCATTCAGGATACAATTCCTGGGCAGGATGGTGTCATTCTGACCTCAGCCTGTTTGTTATCTAACTGATCAAAAATGACAACATCTCTTAACAAATGGCAAATTCAAACACGCATACGCACTGTGTAGCAAAAGGGCCTTCTGTCTAAAAAGTACGGAATGGGAACTTTTAACAATACTGCGAACCTGCTCTCAAAGAGCAGCCAAGTCTGGTCTCTCTGAATTTTCTTTTTCAATCAATCAATCAATCGAACTTTATTTACATAGCACCAATTCACAATAGTCGTTATCCCAAGACACTAGGGGTGTGCCAAAAAATTGATTCACACAAGAATCGTGATTCTAATTTGCTACAATTCCGAATCTATTTAAAATGTTCCAAAATCAATTTTGAAAGATTAGATATCCGCTGCCTGTCCGCCTCCATTTTGGAACTACGCTGGACATCCTGACGTCATCACGCAGCCGGTTCTGGAACGCACGCATGCGCAGAAGGCACCAAAACAAAGAGGGAAATACAATGATGGGGAAAAGGAGATCCAGTTGGCCCCGTCTTCACTAAAAGCTAAAATTTGGCGTCATTTCGGATTTTACCACTGAGCTAGACATGACGCACGCAGTGTGCCAACATTGTAACACTAGAATCAAGTATTTCAGCAACACGACAAATGTGCGGGCTCACATTATGAGGCATCACCCGGAGATGAGAGACACGGAGCAGACTCAGCCACCAGCTGCAGACCAATGCACGGTGCAGGCCTTCACGAAGCTCTCCGCCAGCTCCGAGCAGGCAAAAAAAATAGCCCAGTCTATCGCTTAGTGCTTGTAAAAATTCCACCTAAGCTTGGATAAATGCTTAAAGCTTAATAAATGTGAAAAAGTAACTTTAATGTCTTCACTTGTCATTCTGTCTTGCACAGCAGACGGGAGTAGATCAGGTCAGAAATCATTATGAATAAAATCGTTTTGAATCGAAAATCGATTTTAAATCTAATGGTGAGACAGTAAAAGATTCCCACCCCTACTTTCCAAAGAAAAAGAGCAGGTCTTGACCAGCTCATTGATGAATTATCAAGACCAAACGTTAAGACGGGACAGACTTGACCCATCTCATCTAACATGAGTAACAGTGGCAAGGAAACACTTCTTTTTAACAGGCAGAAACTTGGGAAGGACCAGACTCGTGCTAGACAGCCACCAAGCCTTTTCCATGTTTTTTGTTGTGGTTTTTTTCAGCTGCTCACAGAGAAAAGTTTACTCACAAGAAAAGCTTCTTTGTTGAGGCAAATCTGGACATATGCTAGAGCTAGTGTCAAGAAGAAAGAAGGAGGTCTGGCTTTATTTGTTAACCAGAGATGGTGAAACTCTTCACACATAACTATCGAAGAGAAGTTGTGTTGTCCAGATACTGAACTGTTAGGCAGTTGGCCTTATTATGTTCCACGGGAGTTCAGTCATATCATAACATGACTTGTATACATGTATTCTCCATGATACTGTTGCTAGGATACAGACTCAACATCCTGAGGCACATGAGACTTCAACCATGTTACCCTCTCCTCTCACCTGACGGGATTCACACAGTTTGTTAAGTGTCCCTCCAGAGATTCCTGACAAATTAAGTTCTCTTTGAGGATAAATAAGGTTAGTCTATTGCACTGTAGTATTTGAGCAGATAAGCTCTGTGTGGCAGCTGCATTTGCACCTCAAACCTGATACACACATGCATAGAATGAATGCAGACTTGTGCTTTTATGTATGGTGGGTGTATGCCAAGAGGAATCTTGCATTTTACAGGCTCTGCTGACAGCAAAAAAAAAGTCTCACCTGATGCCCAGCCACCTGCCATCTGTCTGCTGAATAATACCATGTCTGCAATACACTACAGGGACCAGTATGAATCCCTCTGTCAGGTATAAACACACACACACAGCATAAACTCACAGGTTTTGGCTGCTGAAAATTGGTGCCTGATACTATCTCATTTTCAGTACCCAGCCTGGCAAGACAAAGATGTGCAGAAATAAAAAAAAGCAGCAAGAGCAATAAACAGAAAACAGTTTCTCTATCAAGGAGCAACTGATAAAAAAAAACAAAGAGCAGAGTCAACATGGACTTCTTCGTCACTAAGAGTCCACGGCCTGCTGAGAAAGTCAGCTCATCTGCATTGCCTCTCTTCTGCAGATGTGTTTTTATCACGTTGTTAGTCACCTTAAGGCTACACCCTCAAATGCATCTTCAATCTGAAATGCATTATGTGATACAATAATGAGCTCTTAGAGGTTTAAAGAAGCTGAACTGAAAGATGTGACATTTCAAGCTCAATGCATGGTCATTTTTATGCAAAACACAGAAGACAGGTTTACTCTCTTTGCCATTTCTATCACTGATGCTCTTGGCTTGGCTGGCAGAGGCAAACGCTGCACATTCACAGCACTGTAAAGGATAGTATAAGAGGTAATCAGTGGAAGATGACAGAACATGCAGCACTTAATTAATCAATGCATCTTGATACACAGAGGATTTCAGTCTTGGAGTGATCTGAACGTTATCAACCGCGTTGTGCATGTCTAAGGGGGGCTGGTTGAGGAGAAATATCCACCCTATGATGTTGGGGGGCGGGGAGATGGGCCAAAATTTTCCTACCGGACTCGAGATAAATTTGCACGACAACAGAGGAGCAACATTTGGCACAGATTTTGGTTTGCTGTCCTAAATATGTGGTGCGCAATAATAAAGCGCAAAATACGCGTAAAATTGACATGTAAACGAGCTCGAATCAGCGCTGGAGGGCGGTCACTGTTGCTGGTAGAGACAGGTGTCTATCCAAATACCGATATCGATTCTTTTCATTCATTCAAGAATAATCTCATTTCAAATCTTCCAATCTGTTACAATGACAAACCTGTGTCCGATACGATATTTTATTCGGTTAATCTGGTCAGACTCCCGTGTTGTGACTTGATTCGGGTCCGAACTTGCCTCAGCAACAGACAATAGCTGCACAGTCCCGTTTCCCCTTACTTCTCCCCCACACACAGCATCTGCAGGCACCGCGCACACTTACCACGATTTGACGAAGCAGTATTCCAGAGAAAATGCGAATCCATTAAAGGAATAAAGGAGGAGAAAGGGTGAAAAGAACCCGTGAGCGCTCCCACTACTACGCGTACTACTACTCCATGGGCACAGCACAGCTCGGTTTGTGATGAGGATCACGCAGCGTGTGAGCGCATGAGGATGGATGCTGTGCTTTGTCGGGGGGGCGGGGCCAAGACGCGTTCTCGGGTCCGCTGAAGCGTGGTTAATTCTGTGTAGGGACCTTGTGTTACAAGCGAGGCCGCTGTCTAGCTCCGCATATTCCCAGGCACAGTGCCCTAGAGACCCCCGGGTCCTGTAGGAATAGTGCTCTTCAACCTTTTCCCCCTGCTTTTTGTCCGTGGAGCTTCATATCATTACTGGTAAATGTTTAATTGAGTGATGACTTCAGTGGTTGAAGTCTGAAGGCATATGTTAATACCTCTTTTTTGTTGTTGAACACATTTATCAGAGGAGAGGATTATTCATGTATTCATTCTTGCCAAATATTCAGGTTTTCTGTGTTAACATTAAAGCTACTCTGATGAACTTTTAGTTGGTGTCAACTTTGGCGCCCCTTGTGGACAACAAAGTCTTTCTTCAATCTTTCTTTTGAAGGGTTTCGTAATGTCTTGGTGACTTCAGACAGTCAAATATATCATTTATTGTGATTACTTTAAATGGAAATTACAGGGTCCGTCAGATCAGGGTCCGTCAGATCCCAAAGCGTCCCCCATCATTTATGCTTCATTGATTATGACCCGGATTTTTAGCTCTTGTCTGGTCTACCTCCGTTTTAAGCGTCCATTATTCCACCAGAGTCTCCGGTATTGACTTTATTTTCTTGCTTGTGTTGGCAGTTGTAGCCAAAGGACAATTCAGACATTTTCCGTACTTTCTGGTTGGTTTCTACTGTCCGATATTGTAGCATGCTATTTTTGTTTGGTGAACTTTGCTCGTGAACGTTATTCCACGATGTGGAGCATCTGCCTCACAACCAATCATCATGAAGGAGCAGGGTCCGCCTCACAACCAATCAGGTTGAGGACGGGCGGAGAACGGCTTTGTTTACAGTCAGAAAGAGCGGGCTGCTCGAAAATTTTAAAATGTTGACTACGCAGACATAACAAAACACAGCAATATCGTTATATTCTACTTATTTTACCAAATGTCATCAATAACTAATAGCTGTTGACTGATATTAAAAGCTTTTTCATATTGTAGCTTGAAGTTTATTTTGATTCAACCCAGAAAATTAAATCAAATTAAGGTTATCCTATATGGGAACTATTCATTTATTTTGTAAGTAATACTGTTTCTTTCATTTTCCTTTCATTGTACTCTCTGGCATCACGCTGATTAAAAGCCCATTCTCGGTAAATTTGGTCAGCTGCCATCTTTGATTCTCCCTCCTCTTCATCAAGCTGTTGCTCCACTACATTGTATGATATTTGTTATCTCAAGGGATGATCTTAATCTTCAGTCCCACCTCTGTGATCTGGCTAGCATACGCACTATAAGGGCACTGCTGCCAAAACTGGGACAGACATGAAGTGAAACCCTGGTGCCCATCTCTGCAACAAGAATTTACTGAAGAAACACTGGTGTGTTCAGTGATCTAGATTCAGGGCGCACGCTACATTAAACTCTGCGCTCTGGCTCCCCCTCTTCCAGTCCTCTGCTGTTTCAATACAGTTCCACCGCTCCTCCTCTCTCCTCTTGTCTGTGGCCTTCAGTCACATTAACCAAACTGGGCATAAAAATTGAAAATACTGTAAAATCAAGACATGTTCAGTCAGCACGAACCAATCTCAACTACTGCGCTGATTTGGATGGAAGAGGGGGTGGGTGAATTTGGCCCTAATTTAGTTTTGTACTGGATCTTAACAGGGGCATGGGAAGCCTAGAGGAATATCAAGCTTGTGGCCAGAGGGCTGAGAGAAAAAAAAGTATGATTTTAGATAGAACAAGACAAGAAATGACAAATTCAGCTAAATAAACCGCAGGGTATAACCAAAGGATATGGGGCAGCTGCTGTTTGTAAAGGCAGAAAACAGTTGATTTATAAGTCACTCCTGGAAATTATATGAATGTGAAGAAGAAACGGTTCTTGGCAAGAGAAAGCAATGATTTTCAACAAATTCACAATGAAATCTGAACTCTTTCTAGCAGAGATAAGATGTCAGAAAAGACTGTGAACTGCTGTACCTGGTCAGGAAAGGCCATAGGTCATAGCGTCTTTGTTGTCTGCTCTGTCCTTACCTCAGAAAAGAAACACAATGAAACAGAATTAACAGAACAGAAAAAGTGCAGTTATAAAAGTATTAACAAACAAATGCTTATAAAAGCTAAAGCATGTGGCAACCATTCTTACCCTTTGGTGTAAAAGACTATTTTTAATAATGCATGATTTCTTTAGTGAAATGTCCTCTCTAAACAACTAAGTGGTGCATGACACATATTTAAAGTGAAGAAAGTATTATCTCTCCACAGACATCTCAGTTTCATCAATCTGGGCCAAAAGGTCAGGTTCCCATGGTTTCCCCATGGAATGTGTTCTGTGGGACAGAAACTCAAGCTGTTTTGGTAAACAAATATTTTGAGTCCAGGAGAGACTGTTTACTTTCTACAATAGCTGTGTTTTAAGGGTGATTTACAGTATACGCTCTTGTCCTTCATTCACTGTTGGTTTCTTTCATAGGTAAAAGAAAAAGTGTTTTCCAAACTGACAAACTTCTGCTCAAAAAGAGAATCAAAGGCAACCATGGCTCCAAGTTTGAAATTTATAAAAACAGGGTCAGAAGGGTTTAACTGATTCTGACTTTCCAGAGAAACATGTTTTATGTCTTTTTTCTTTTGAAAACTAAATTATTTCTTCAACCAGATGCATTGAGTTTTCTATTCCATGTTGCCTTGAGCTCAAGAGAAAGAAGCAAAGACTTAAATGCACAGCTGGAGGGGTTAAAGAGTCTTTGCTGACATGATAGAGGTCACGTAACAGTCATCCAAACGCACAGTTTAGGAGTAGAGATGGGAAAAAGACTTTTTGGATTTAACAGCTCTGTTCTCTTAACATTTAGCCAGGAGGCTGACATTGTGTAGATTAAACAATAGGTTGGTGTCTATGATGTGAGTTGGTGTCACGGATTTGTTCGGGACAAAAACTGATGGCCCAGTAGAAACTTCAATGTGGTGAGTTTTTATTCACACCAACTCCCCAAAAACAGCAAACAGTGGCAAAATATTTACAATGTAGGAAACAAAACAACAAACAAACAAACAAACAAACAAAAAGGCAAATAAATGAAGTATTTACAGCAGGTTTTCAGAAAGACTTACACTTGTTCGCTTGTAACCCATGATGCTACTAGGCCAACAGCTCCCTTCAGAGTGAGCGAAGGGCTTGTTAAATACCCCTTAGCCCCTCCCCTGGGCGCATCCATGAACAAATTATAGGGGTTTAAGATACAATAAGCGAAATACAACTCAAAATTCATCAATAAATTAGACATTTCAAAATGGACAAAGGGGCACTAATAGGCCTCCATACAGCTGTGACCTTAATCATGGACAACACACAGTAAATCAGACCAAAATACCACAAATGACTAATGGTGAGGTCCGGCGGTCATATAACCCGCAAAATGGCGCCGCCTTGCGCTATTTACTGAGGGACCAGGAAGTGCTTCGGTTTCGCTCGGAAGATGGCAGCAGGTGAGTTGGCGTGTGTGTGAGTGTGTGGCGTGTAGTCGTTGAGTGTGCGCCCTCAAACGCTTACAGTGGGGAGAAACGAGTCCAGGTAAAAAGGGAAACGTTTGGTTGGAGTGCAGGACTGCGGGACACAGGTGCAGGGAAACAGTTAAGATTGGCTCCGCGAGGAACATGTGCGCTCCGTGCGCACTCCCGCCACGAGAGAATGACCCGCGCCAGTCGGGGAATGACGGGGCGTTTAAAGGCGCTCCGACACATTTGCCTTTAGCGCCAATTCACAACCAGTGCTACCCCAAGACCCATAACAAAAAACGGGTCTAGACTAGACTCTATTTACAAAACCCAATGTAAAGATGGGATCAAATTTGGCTCCATCCTTAAAGATCAGACCCACTCCCAACCCATCTTAAACCACATGAGTGAAACACTTCACAGCATTTCAAGTTACAGTGAAGAGGAAGAACTTCCTTAAGCAGACAGAAACCCCAAGCAGAACCAGACTCATGTTAGACAGTCATCTGCTGAGACTGCATTGGGTTTAGAGAGGGTAGAGAGGGGGATGCAGGAAGAGAGAGATGGACAGAGGTGAGACTGATGCATATAGTTAAAGCAGCTGGAAAGCAGGGAGCTCCATGGCAGCTAAACGTTTGCAGCAGTGATCCAGAGGAACCTTTGACATGATGGAGCTCAGACACTCACCGAAAAGGCCGTGTATGAGTGATTCTAATGGGACATGATGATTCAAAGTTAATGATACAGACAAAAAGAGGACGGAGAAGGAGGGAAAGGTGCTCAGTGTGCCAGTACTCTCAGCTGTCAGAACCCTTAGCAGCATAACTAAGAGCAGGCCCAAGCCCGAGCCAGCCCTCATTATAAGCTTTTTCAGACTGGAGAGTCTTAATATAATTTAATTACCTAAACAATTATCACTCACTGGTCTAATCCAAATCTTGACTCCAAAGCTTGAAAATGATACTCCCCTGAACTTAACTGAAATTAAGTTGCACAGCATGAGGCTATTAGGGTTCAAACTAGTACTAAAAGAAGAAACACACCACTGAGCCCTCAGACGTTTAATGAAAACATGCCTCAAAGTCTGCTCTAAGTGTAGAACTTGGGATAGGGCCGACTGTACAACCAAATGGACTGACTAGGTTTTTTCTTCGTTTACAGGCAGATTGCAAACAACCCGAGGGAAAACTGCCTTTAGCACCACCAACTGGCCTTTAGCAGAACATGGTAAGTAGATCGAGGGTGGGGATCTTAATAAAACTGTTGTCAAACAAAGGTCTAATGGATTTGTTAGCCATCAGAAAGAACCAAGCCAAATCACTCGGCTTGGTTGCATAGAATAAAATTTGTCAAATCATCAGAAGCTCGATTTACAGTATCTGCATCTTTCTTAAAACCTCTTAGATTTCATGCAAAACAAAGGAGTCATAGATTTGATGGAGCAGTGCATGGAGGACCCTTTTAATCATGAGGCCTGTGTGCACTCTTGCCCT